TCCATCGCGCTTCCTACATCATCCCCTTCCCCCCCACATTTCCCCTCAAAATTTTTTCCAAGAAGTACATTTCACTTGACTATGACCTCCATACCAGGTAACATGATATAAAACATGCTTTACATCAAAATGCAATCTAAAATTATATCTAAATCAATCTTACTCTATAAATAGGTTTCTTCTCTGGTTTACAATATTAAAGTGTCTCATTCAATTTTAATAGCATCTCTTCTTCTTTGAGATTCTAAAATAGATAATAAACATCTGCTTCCAAATCAGACATTTTGATTCCTTCTCCATTTACTATACCTGAAACCACTTTAAAATATTTATCAATGTCTTCACAGAAAGAAGCGTTTTTCAAAATAGCTAAATAAATTATTTCTATCTTTAATTTAGTATACTTGACAGCATAAACTAATCTTATCTCCAATATTTATTTATATTCAAGTAAGGATTAAATAATGTACTTTAAGTTTGACTTTATCATTTAATGTTAATTCAGATATTTACATAGGTTTCTTAGGAAGCTGAAAAAAGGTGATTGATTAATTTAATGATTAAGAATATACTATTTCTTTTATCTAATGAGTTATTTCCTCTCATTTATTTAAAGTTCAAGGATAACAAATTATCCACACTCTTCTTTTTAAAATAGAAAGATCTATGAACTAAAGATCGATGGAAATTAATTTAAGAAACAGTTTCCCAAACTTATTTAGCTTTGGTATTTCGTGTTTTTATCAATTCATTTAATTTTTACTTGACTCTTTTAAATAAAATTTAACACTTTCAACAAACTTGGTTTAAAACAATTATAGGATATCATTTTGATCCTAAATTTGATTTCTGTAGAATTAATTGAACAAACTCAAGATTTATTAATTTTTAATTAAAATTTTTAGAATAATGTTAATTCATAAATTTAATATTCTAATAAAGAGATTAAGTAGGATGATAATATATCTTTAGTAAATTAAATCTAAACATTTAATTTTGATTTATACAATCAGATGAAAGTTTTGTCATTGGAATATTAACTATTAAATATCATCTGATTTTCGCTAAGATATCTATAACTGTATTATTTTGGAGATGGTGCTTTTTCTAATAATTTATGTGCTAGTTATTCGAGTAATTAATTAATATGAGTATAGAATCCATTATTTTCAGTAAGTTGTTTTCCAAATTTTTGATTAACATTTTTCGGAATATTAGTTTAAATTATTTCTCTCAATTTTTTATTTTTGTTTTCTCCTCAACTCATATCATTTAATATTTCAGTAGAAGACGACACTTAAATTACATCAAAAATGGAGATATTTTAATTAATTAAAATTTTAAAGATCAAATAATATACTGCAGTATTTTAAAAGCCTTAATCATTCAAGAATTTCTTCTTTATTTTGCTTTTATCTATGTAAATGAAAATTATATTTAATAAATCAAATAATATATATGTAATTCAAAATTATTTCTATACTGGTCTGATGAAAAAAAGGGATTATTTGAATTGTATGGCTTAAGACTAAGCGTAAAAATATTAGATAATTAATTATCTATAAAATTCATAGTTTATAATAAGAGATTAGAGATAAATTATACTGATTATCAGACTAATGGCGATATTGCTCTCCTTTTTAAAATAGTGTTTTTACTACTGTCTAATTGCATTTCTATCCTCAAAGCATTCCTCAGCTTTGTCTTACTCAGCGCATTTCTTTGATTTCGTTGGTTCTATTTATATCTTCCAAATCCATTAGGTAAATTTAATGGAAAGATGATGGGAGAGTCTTGAAAACTAGTATTTTATTTTGAGGTTACTCTTTTTGTGGATTTTCTTTCAATTAATGGTTCGCAAATCTCACTTGTGTGATTGACTATTTATGCACAACCCATTGAGTATTTAATTTTAAGAGAAATTAAAATTAATCTTGAATTATTTTTTTTATTATGAATTTAAATTGGAATTTGGCTATTTGATGCAAAATAAAGCCAGTGCATATATTGAGATACCCTGCTTTGAATATTTATATTATTGAGATACACATAAATAAGATTGATTCAATAATATATTAATAATTATTTTGTATTTATATTTTCTTATTTTAAAAAATATGCAATTCAAAAATTACCCCCCTAATTCAAATGAAACCTATTATAATATATCATTGAAATTTTAATGCTGGATAAGCTTAAGAAAAATTAGAGAATCGCTGCTCTTTGCAGAAACTGTGAATAGAAAGGAATTTTTCAATAAAACTTAATTATACTATATATACAGCTTAGATGATCGCTTACAATAATAATTAGGAAGTAATCAATTAGATTAGGCAATTAGAAGTTAAGTAATTAAGAAAGTTATCTTAAATTTATTTATTATTATATATTCGTAAAAAACAAATCTATTGATATACTTTTCTTAACTATAACCCTAAGATTATTATATTCAGGTAAAATTAGTAAAGGAAAAACTTCACCTTAATATAATCAAGTGAAGAACTAAAGCAGGAATTTAGTTATAAACTGAAATCTAAAAAATAAACTAACAGAAGAATTGATTAATGATTATAGTGGGCTAGAGAAAAAATAGAGAGCAAGGAGATTTAAACAATGAAATAAATAAATATGAGATCTAAGGATTAGAAAAGTTTCTTAAATAATATGCTGAATCAATTATGCAGTCGGTAAGACTATCCTCTTTATAAATTTAAATTGATTTTGACTATTTATCGATTAATTATTGATTTAATTAAAAATATCTAATTTATATTTCAAGAAGAAAATAGAATAATATTCTTATCACAAGGGTACAAAAAAGTATTGAGAGTATGTTTTGACTTATGTTAATCCAATTCTAACATCTTTGTATAGACGCAGATCACCTAAAAAGGGTTATAAATCTTATAATGCATGATCTCCTTATTCACCATGCCAAGACCTTATTTATATACCATTTTGAGGACTAAGGAGAAAATTAAACGGGTCATTATCCACTATAATATACTTATTTGGAGGTCTCCCCAACAATGTTAAATCTTTAATTAATACTTTTTCATATTTCATTAGATGATTTCTATTAAGTTGATGTTTGATAATTGAATTTTCGTCAATTATTGGAATAATTCTAAATAAAGACAGGTAAATACTTTTCCATTTCTAATTATGGCAGGTGACCAAAAACAACGATTTCGTAATATCGACTGAGTTCTTCAAGAAACTCTTATAGAAATGGTCTCTTCTTTATTTAAGATTTATCATCTATGTGGATCAAGGTTTCCTCTAAATCTAGTATTAGTGTGTATTCTTTTTCATTTTTAGGTAGGAAATAAAGATTCTCCTGGATTGACTCTATAATTTTTTTCAGTTTGTCTATAAAATCGCTTGTTTTTTATTCAATCTTCATAAATAAGAATTCTCTAATTTATTGCTTTAATTAATAATTAACAATAGTTCTTCATAAATGAATTACTTAGTACTTAATTAAATCATCAATTGTTTTATCAATGTATTTATTGAGTAAGTCTATCTACTTAGGAATTAACGGATTGGCTTATTGAAGTTAATAGAACAAATGCATGTAGGTCTTAAATCCTGGGACATGAATTTACAATTTATGAATGACATTACAGGCATTTTATTAATGTTAATATAAGATTAGTTTTTCCAACCTACTCAATTCATCTTTTTTGATCAAATTATATTTGATTAAGAAATACAAGATGATACACAAGAATTCAGTCAATATGAATTGCTTGTATTATATATCAAATTCCTAGAAAAAAATGAAATAAAATGATTACTGCTACATAGTCAATGGTATTTGAATTTTGGTCATTCAGATATTAATACATAGATTTAATGCTTATAAATTAAAGTAATTCTTATAATTTAAAGAATCTTTTTTGTAATTTTTGACAGCTAAAGTATAATCTAATTTTCTATGGGATATTCAATTGTTTATCTAAATCGTACTCCAGATCAGTTTTAGTGTTTTTTAATATGATACAATTTTTCTCCTATTTTCGAATCGGACTATTATTAAAAGTAGTAGGTTCTGTGATTATTTTGTTAAATTATAATGAAATTTTTCTCGGAGTTGGTAAGAAGTAACCTTAAACAATATTATTAAACTGAGTCTCTTCTTAATAGGCGCTATGCTTAATAATCTTAGGTGAATAACCAATGTTTTTGATTTATCTGGGAGTATAGAGTTAGGAAATGATGTTCTCGTATCCATCTATTCTAGTTAGATTGACTCTTTTTTTGATGGGAGTAAGATTAATTTGAGGATGTTTAAAGATTGTTTACTAATTGTAGTTATCTTCATTTCTAGTGCTTAGACTTCTTTTATAAAATTTACTTGGCATCATAATAGTTTTATAAGTTAATTAATAAATTAATTTAATGTAACATTTTGTAACAGGAATATTATAATCATTTGGTTTATGTGGACTAAGGAACAAGTTGGTTCATTTGATAGCTTTCAGGCCTCCAGAAGCTTCATACGAGTTAAGATTGAGGAAATCAAACAATTAAAAGACTCACACGAAATAGAGATACACATCATCAGATGATAACTAAATTCCCGATTAATCTTAACGAAATGAATTATCGACTCATAGAAAGACTTAATCCCAATATATCTAAAGAAGAAGGAGATAGATACGAAATACTGAGTAATATTGAATAATATCATAAAAATAAGAGAGTATCCAGAATATGATTTTATCAAACTTTCAGATAAATCAAGAGATCAAAATGAAGATTTTGTAGTTACTTCCGATATTTGTAGTGTTACAGCCTATTTTTTAAATTAAAAGAAGGACAAACAAATGGCATGTGTCTACCTAAATAGAAATAGCGAATAAATCATATTATTCAGTCACGGCAACGCTTGTGATTTGGGTATGATGATTGACAAACTTATAAGTAATCTTATCCATAATAACTATATAAGAATTGGTCTAGTAGACAAACACCAGTGTTTTTGCTTATGAGTACAGTGGTTATGGATAAAGTGATGGAGTTAGTAATGATATCAACGTTATTCGTAATGTTTATACTGCCTACAATTTTTTGATCCATTAACTAGGTTACAAGGCAACATAAATTATAGTTTATGGATACAGTATAGGATCTGGACCAAGTGTGACCTTGGCTTCCAATCCTTAATATCCAGTTGGAGGACTTATCATATAAAGTGGGTTTAGTTCTGGCTTAAGGGTTATTTCTAACAAGATTGATGAAACTCCCTTTTATGATATGTTCCCTAATATTGATAGAATATAGTTAGTTACATGTCCAGTCTTCATTATGCATGGGGCCAATGATAAAATTATATCTGATGAACATGCAAAACAGTTAGCTAGCAAGACAAATAATTTATATGAACTATGGATTCCTGAAAATGTAGGTCATTGTGGAATAGAAACAGACATCCAGAACCGATAATAATATTTTCAGAAGCTCTCTAGATTTATTAAATGTAATAGTTACCATTTATATAGATATACAATTATTAAATGAGAGTATTCCAGATTTGTTAAAGAAAAACACAGCAATTTCTGATGGAAAGACACCATGCAAATCACATTTTTACTAAACTAAAATATTTTGAACTGTTATATATTATAGTTATCATATCAAATCATTTATAATTATTAATATAGAAATTTCTTGCATTTAGAATATAAATTACAGGTTAAATTCTAAGATTCAACAGGATTATAAGTGCAGTCAAAATTTATAAATCTTGGTAATATATTAGTTAATTTGTAAAATACATTAATCAAATGTTTAGGAGTGGAGTATAATAATAATATTATAAAGAAATTATCATGTATGATTTAGTTAAATTAAAAAATAAATATAAATGGAATATAATAACAAAATCATATTCTAAATTAATTTTATAAAATTACAAGAATTACTAATGATCTTAATCAGAAATCACTAATTGGTCATTTATAAGAAATATACCACCAACCAACTATAAATAGAATTGTAATCTTCGCAGTTTAACATTTTATTTATTAAATTAGTTATCAAAATTAATTAAACAAAATCAATGAAGACGTATATTATGAAAATATATATTTATTGATTTAGGATTGGCTAAATTTATTTAATAACATTATAATTAATCTTTCACTTTTTCAAACCTGGTGAATTTGAGGTTTAACTAAGAGATTTAGCTATATAATAATTACTTCATTATTTTTGCTTTATTCAATGTTTAAGCCTAATCTTAATCACCTTTTTCTGCCTTGTTCTTGTCAGCTAAATATTAATATTAAATATTTTACCCTCGCTCATGGGTCCTAATTGTAGATCTTTCAATCTCTTTTCTATGTTGACTTCTGCTGCAATTTACTTAACTTGATTCCATATAGGAGAATCTTTTCCTAAACTGATTAACCAATTTTGTTTTTGCTATTATAATAAAATGAATAAGGTACTAATAAAAAGATCTGTTGTGGTCCCAAAATACTGCCTGGTCTACATATACGGATCCAACCTATAAAATCTGGAGCAGGGAATCTATTGCATAATGGATGAAGCATTACCTATAATGTTTGATCACATATGCTGCAATCAATGTTCCTGTTCTACCGAGTCCTGCTTTACAATGGACAGCGACCACATTCTCTTTTTCAGCAATTTCAAGGAATCTCAATATCTTATCATCTCCTGGGACTGAACCATCTAAGAAGTAGATTTCTTCATGTTTGATGCCATTTTTGATAAATCTTTATTCTTCATAAGCCTTCTTATTCAATCTGACAACACAAGTCACTCCAAATTACTTGAAGATGGGCACATATTCTTCTGGAGTGAATGTACGATTCTAATTAGAGAGAGATTACTTACTCCATCAGCATCTTTTTAGGTTGCAGATGGTCCTGAGAAGGCTATGAATTTGTTTGGAACAATCCAATTTAAATCTCCATTTTCGACTCTTTCATAAAATTCATAATCTCTAAGATTGAATTTTCTAACATCAAACCATTTCAACTTGATTGCGTATTCTAAGCCTCTCAAACAATGTAAAATCTAAAAGAATATAGTCAACCAAATATACCGTGCATTTGTAAGTACATTGTCCATAACTTGCATCTCTGAAATCTTGGAATGCAGGCTTCACTGATTGGAATGGTTTCCAAGCATCATCTGCACTTATTTTCAAGATGATCACTTGAAATGCTCCCATCAAATAGGCAGCATTGGCTCTTTTGGCACTGTCCAAACTAGTATAGTGATAGATGGCATATTGTTAATATGTCTTATCACTAAGCAATTTCTCCAATTCAGTCACAAATCTGTAAGTGTGGCCTAGATTCAATGGACCGAAATCTGCGAAAAAAGGCTCATACACAAGATCCTGAAAACAAATTAGACTCTATCCCATACCTGATCGATGCAAAAATAGAATGCATTTGGCTGGTTTCTGGGAGCTTGTCGATCAGAAATCCAATAGAGTTTGTCTCAGAATACAAGAGAGATGTTACCTTTTATAATCTCGACTGATCCTGGAATCGGAGATTGATTTTGATTAGACTACATAAATATAATATAATTTCAATATTTTTATGCTTATTATAATTATAAACTCATCATTTAAATAGACTCCATCCTTATTTAATTAACTATCAAATAAACCTCATTATTGATATTCAAACTAAACTCGTCAAACATCAACAAAATAGTGTCAGCTATTCTAAATAATCTTTTGTTTTATAAACCTATGAACTTCTCGAATAGAAAAATCTTTAGAATGAGCCCAATTATTCCTGTAATGCTTCACTTCGAATAATAGATTCCTCAAAAATTTAGAATTGCTATGTGTTTGCTCTTTATATCACCATAGAATCGATAAATACCCTAAATGAAGTCATAATTGCTAATATAGAAGCTTATTGCCCCCATTAAATCTTTATTTATTTAAATGATGTTTTCTGGAGAGACCTCGTCATGTTGAATAGCTTGTTCCAAAAAGGCCTTGAGAACTTCATAGCAATTATCAAGTAGCTAACCCACAATTTGTCTCAAAGAATGAGTTTGTAAGACACTTTTCATCATTTTTATTAATTTATTAATAAAGAATTAATAAGTGATTCACAAGGTTATCTTTAAGTTAAATGGCCTTCCTTCTTAAAAGGTTATCATTCTGACAATTCTAACATCATCACCGTTATGGAAAATGTATAATAATAAATAATATATATATATATCTACTATGCAAATTATATTTATCACTTCCGTATAATATGTATTGGAAAATTGAGAGTTATTTTGAACCCATCAAACATTATCACTAGTAAGTTCACTTCGAAATCAACTATAAAATAATCTCTATTATATTACCACTGAACTCTTTGAATTAAAAGTTGGAACATGAAAAGAATTTCGGAAAGATCATATTAAATGGGACCTGGATTCCTTTCGTTATGTTTCCATCCACTATCTATATCAATTGTATTTCTGTAGCTTCTAGTACCTTCCCAGATTTATTTTCGAATTTCTCAACTCGAATCATCTGCAAATCTATTGTTCTGATTTCTGATTCACATTCCTCAACACAAACAGTTCCATTGAATCCTTCTTAGAATTAACAGGTAGTGGAATCGATTATTCCATTAATCTTGAATTTTGCATTCTACTTATTTTGTACACTCGAACTTCCAAGCAGTCTGTCAGGAGTGATCATAAATTATTCTTATTTTAAATGAAGCTCCTTAAAATTAATATGCTCTCCCCCTTTATCAACCCCTATACATTAGACATAAAATGGCGTAGAATTTCGAACTGCAACACCATTATTCAATATTAATTCCACTTAAATTTCGTAGGCGATTGCTACATAAACGCCAACGTAGGTTTCCAATATTCTACTATCTCCATAAGGGGTCAATTAATATTTGAATTAAAAAGTGTTTTTCTCTTGTAAACTAAATTTAAATTATAATCGAACATATGTTTTTCTTGTGTGAATTCCCCTTGATTCAAATGAAGCAATTGAGGATTTTAGTTTTGCATAAGCTTTTACAATTCTTTGTGTGAATCCTTATTCTAACAAGATATTGCACCTTCAGATCTCCATTTCAATGATGAAATCTCCAACCTTTTCTAATTGGGGTCTGAAAAACTAACAGTGGCTTGCCCAGATATGAAATCCTGATTGTAACATCAAAACTTACATTGGGTTTGTATGTATTATTAGCTTTATCAAATTTTATGACTATGCAGTATTGGGCTTACATAAAATAATTAAATTTAATACAATAAAGTTTTATATAAATCAAAAAAGAGTATTAAAAATTGTATTAGAAACAATATCATATTTTTATACAATAACTAATAATTGGATTAGATTTTCTATAAATCAGAACATTACATAAAAGTTCTGAGATGTATTTTGAAGTTCTCCAATTTAATAGAGTATTCATGAAAAATAACTCAAATTCTTTATTTAATACTAAATATTAGAAGCCAGTAGATATTAAGCAAATAAACTTCATTTGAATAATTGAGTGATCATGTCGCATATCCAAATAATTACAGGTATATAGTAGGAAAAATAAATTTATATTTAAATTAATATGGACATCATTATGCTCTGATAAAAAGAAGGATTACCTTTTTTATTAGTTTATACAAAATTAATTAAACTTTAAAAGAGAAATCAAATGATAGATTCACTTATAAGTCTAATGAAAATTGTTTAAAATATTGAAAAAGCAAAAAGACATTTAATACGATCGATAGGATTTGCTGCTTTTTTAAAGAGTAGATATGATTATATAAATGCTTGAATTGATATAAAATTGGATATATATCAATGTTTGGTTTCTTATGGTTTTGGTGCGCTACTTCCACCTCCAGTAGTTTATAATCCTACGGCTGTTTTGAAACTGTCATAAATCCACCATTATAAACCTGTGAGTGTACCAATCATAATAATTCTGGTGCCTAATCCTCTCCATAATCCTGAGAATCCAATTTCTTTGTAGATCTTGCCTACGTTTTCACCCAAAGATCCTAAGATAATAAGATGTCCATACCTCCTGTTTAGATTGAGTTCAATTTTGAGACAATAGTGTCAGCAGGGTGTGATACAATAGCGCAGAAAATACCAGCCAAATATCCTGATGCAAATGTCACTGACAATTATGTGAATTTAGAGTAAGAGTCCTTTGGTTTAGTGAACACATTTTCATAGAATAATGCAACAATTTATTCAAAAGCAACGAACTTGACGATTGTGTATGGCACTTGTCTGGCCCAAAGTGGTCCCAAACCTTTGTAGAGTCCATTGATGCCTGAAATTACATATTGACTATAAATACCTTCATTGCCTTTGACTTAATTGAATGCTTGAACTCCGCTTGTTGTGAATGAACCTGGTTTAGAAGTTTACATTCTGACTTTGATTGCTTCCATTGGGCATAAGAGAGTGTCGGCAATGACTTCAGCACTTCCTGAAGCAATAGACCAACCGATTCTTCTATATTTATTAGCGTTTTCTTCTCCAACAACCCATTTGTAAACATCCTTGAAGATTTCATAGAATCCGAATTTGCCTAATCCTTAAAGAGAGTATCCAATCAAAGTTGGTCCCCAAGCCAATGTAAGTCCTCCGAATCCTTCAGTTTTACTAATTGTGCTTAATCCATCACCCAAAGATTTGTACAAAGTTGGGAAAACCTACACAAAAATTAACAGGATTATATACTTATCTTCTACACTTGACAACATCTAATGGGACAATTGCAGTATGTGTAAGACCACAGGCCAAGGTGCCACCAATCATACATTTAACATAATAACTCAAATCGTGTTTATCTCCACCCATTAAAAATATAAAATATCTTTAATTTAATAAAATAGAGATTCGTTATTCTTAAATATCACAAACACACTTAGTATTGTATATATTTCCTTATTTTCCATTTCAATGCAATTAAAATACAATATATAAAATTATTTGTGTAATTTACAATCTTGATTTAATCATAATATTCTCATTTAACATTCTAATCATTTAAAAGTCCATTGTTTTGTGATCTCAGGTAAAGACTCTCTTTTTATTGTAAAACTTGCAAATGTCTTCGATCTATAGAAATAGTTTCTAGCATCATCATGCTTCTTCTTAGAAGGTATCATTTGAATAGTGTTAACCAATTAACATCGAATAGGATAGAGTTCTTCTTCAGGTTCTATATAAAATAATTATGCTTTTCAAATACCATATTCTTAGGTGATTGTGACTTGATTATCTAGAAATTGGGAAGAGGCAATGTGGAGTTCTTATTCTTCCATGATGGTTGAAAGAAAAGCCTTAGGCATGGATTATTTAGATTCAACTTTAAGGTTTTATCTGATGTTCACAAACCATTAATGAATCAAAGCCATCTCTACTGTCATTTTAGAAGAAAGTAATTGATTTAATAAATCAAGCTAACTAACACGATACAAAAATCTATATTTAGTTCTTTATGAGTTGGGTTCTGACCATTGATTCATTAAAGATTAAATTAGATTTAGATTAACATCTTTCACTATTTCCCCCTTCAAAGTATGAAATGTGATTTAATAGATTAGTTTTCCGAGACTACAAATATCCTTCTCTATATTCTTGTTATTATTCTCTTTATATTTTGGAAATAGTAAAGTAATTTGAAGAGTTTATGAATCAATATTGACATAGATATTCGATAGACTGATGTTTCCATGATAGATGCCTTTGGCTTGATATTTTTGGATGGTTTGCAGGACCATGTAAATGATGGACACAAACGGCACTTCTTTAAAATCGAATCCATTCAATAAGAGCGATTCCAAAGATTATAATTTCATGTTTTCTCCTAGTATATAATATCTTGAAGCATCTTCACAAAGTCTAAAGACATTAGGCATCAATTAGAAAGCATGCATGATGGTTAATTGATTATGAAATGTCTGTAGTTCTTGAGGATCCTCAAGCAATTTCTTTTCGAATTTGATTGTTGAGAAATATTGATTATTTTTCTAATTTTATGTATATATTTTAATACTTTATATGATTAGGAAAGAGGTAGACAATTTTGTTGTTCAATAAATCTGTACCTTCCACTGTAATTTTTGTGAACGCAAAACTTTTTCAGATAGATCTTCAATCTGAGACACTGTTGAGAATTTGAAGTGATTAGGAATTCTTTACCAGCAGTACTCTTGATAATAATGATATTAATTCCTTCGCTATATTTAGGCTTGCTTAATTTCTACTCGAATTAGCATTTGCTCAATTCGATGAACTAATTCTCTATTATCAGAGTGTTGAATGATATCACTATTTCCTTTTGGATAAATTCCTTTGATTTTTGGACATAGATTATGACTTATTCTTTAAGTAATTCCTTGACACATAATTTCTCAGCCAATGTTCCCTCCAATTTCTAAAATAAACTCTTGGAATCGTGCATTTTATACTCATCTATCAACTAAGAATAGTGCTATTAAATTTACATAATATTAAATAATTTGATATTTCCATCTTTCAATTTATGCACCAAAAGAAACGAATATTTTGGTAATTGTATATCATATTGATCGTGGTAATTCTACGTTTTTGAATTCTTACGACCTTTCCTCAGAATTATGCTATAGAAATGGACAAACAAATTTATTAAGCACTCAATTATATAAGTTAGTATTCATAACTCAAATTACTTATATATTTTTGCAGTAAGCCTTAAAGAAACCTTCTTTTATAATGAAAAACATTTTTTGTCATAGAATGTTAATTAACAAAACTGCCTACTTTAGTGTCTTGATCTTATACAATGAAGGAACTATGGAAGATTAGAAGAACTAATTACTAATTTGAATTAATAAATTATATAGTTATATTTATTATGTAGAATTTAAAAGTTTTATAAAATCGTGATTTATTATTATAATAATACTATTATTAACTCTATCTCATACATATCAGTCTTCTTGAAAATTAATAATTGTATCTGATTCCTCATGCTAAATCTTTTAAACATTCAAAGATGATTTATGTTATCTATTTTTAGAATCACACATATAAAAATTGGGATTTTGCTCTATTTTTATACTAAAGACTATTCTGTTTAACAATCCTAACCGTTCTAAATTAGAATTGCATTCAAAAACTATCATTTAATGTTAAAGTGTTTCCAATATTCATGGAACTCATATTTTATTAATACATAACTATAATTCAATTATATTTAATCATATAATAACTCTATTATATGATTAAATAACTCTATTTAATTTTAAATATATTTTAATCATTCTATTTGATTAGATAGATTCTGTTTAAATGCGTTCTCTAAAATTTATTTTTATTAATTATAATCAAAAATGAGCCAAAATCCAGAAAATTTCTTCTAACGCATGTATTCCAAAGCTGGAAAATCAAGTGCTCAAATATTTGCTCATCTGTTGGGAAAAACAATCAAATCTTATTCAGCATCAAAATCATTAGATTCCTAATTTATAACTAATACACCTAATAAAAGATCTAAAAAGCCGTTAAAATAATAACCCTTTAGCCAGGGTTTATCCAGAGAATATCTGCATAAATTATAGAGTTAAGGAAAACCTAATTTACCAATTGGAATTTATAATCCAAAATATTCTGCTGTTTAGAAGTAAAAATTAAATCTAATAAGGAAGTCTGATTTAGGTGGTAAATTTGCAGTTGAACACAAGATTACTATAAAGCAAGGGAGTGATTCTTAGGCTTCTAGTGAATTGAGAAATCTAAAATCTAGAAGAACAAAGGGATAATCGGATCTCAGGAGGTAGGCAACTAGATAGCAATATGATGGGTAACAAAATTGTTTATCGAATACAATCTTGAATGAGTTTTTATCAATTAATACAAATTCAATTAGAGGGTATAATTTTATTCTATCAAATTTAACAGATCTCAAAGTGCACATCTTAAAGGATCTGGCTATTCATTTAATTATAACAAAAATAATTTTTTTAAAACTCTTTGTGATACTGATTGTGAAGTTGGAAAGCGAAAGAGGAATTGTTTTTGGGCTACTATTGAAAAATAGACAGTCAGGGATTGCTTTATGAATAAATCAGTTTGTTTAAGAGATTAATCAATATATCAATATGATCAATTTTCAAATTCAAATTCAATTATTAGTCCAATAACTACGAAAATATTTAATGATATCAACAAGGTATTTGGAAGGACACTTAGTCTTAAAAGAAAAGCAATTACGATAACAACGAATAATTACAAAATAATAGATCTAATCCATGATGATGGATGAAGATAAGATAATATTATATAATGATTATAAATGCAGTTAGAGGCTAAAATTCAATTTATTAATATTAAATTATTATCACATAATATATTATTTAAACTTCCATTATCTTAATTTTGATTAAACTAAACTATAATTTATGCAAATAAAAGGGAATGTACTTCATAAAGTCTATATATAATAATATGATTATAATAATAATCAAATATATCATTTTGGTTGTTAATATCTAAAATGTTATTTTTTGAATGAAATTAATAATGTTACAATTATGAGTATAAAAATATTCAATCCTATAATTTTTCTGAACTTTATTAGTCTAAAGGTTCTTCATTTTACTATTCAAAATCAATAGTTTGAATATTTTGATGATTCTATTGAGGACTATTAGATTCCTGGTTCAGTTGCTCTTAGTTTTCTTCTGCATTGGCCATCAAGTTATTGGCTTCATTTTACTATTGTAAATCTTATTCTTGCTCATTATTCTGATTTTCGTCTTAGTCTTTGCTTTACAGATTATCGGTTGCCACAATTTCCGGATTTTCTTATGGGATTGGTTAGTCTTGATGATTTTGATCATCAGCAACTTAAATTTGTTCTTTTTTAACTTCTTATTCTTAGAGTTAAGGCTTTTCAATGATCTCATTAACTATTTTGCTCACTTTGTCTTGATAGGGCTCGTAAGGTTAGAAATCAGATTCAAAGAGACTTCTAGTTGTATGATAATATGGTTATACTACCTTTGCTAATTTTCTTAATTGGTCAAGAGCTATCTGGAATCTGTATTGTTGTTGTCTTGCCTGGCTCTTTATCTGAATAGATTAATAATAGTGGATACTTATTTTATTGGCTTTTGATTTCTAAGGGATCTAATTTCTTGTTGTTAAGATTATCTCTTTCTATAAATATAACTTCTGAATTGTTACTTTATAATTAGGACTCGCTAATTCTTGAGTTGGTCCAATATTGTACTAGAGTTTTGGTGGGTTTGAAATCCTTATAGGGATATTCGGATATATTGGAGATATATTTTTCAACCCATTTTCGCTCTTGATTCCAATCCTTAACATTGTATTGTGATTTCTAATCTTAGATTCTCTTCAAGAGTTGCTAATTCTCCATGACGATCTTAATTAATTCTTTCTTCCTGTAATCTTTGTTGAGTGACTTCTTTTGGGCAATACTCATGGTGGCAGATTTCTTAATTGCCAGAGTGGAGATGGAATTATCTAAATTAGTATGAAATGATGACTTGTTTATTATTGCATAATAGTGGTAAGTTTGGATATGAGATTTTAGTTTTCTCTGTCTATTTCTTATTGCTTCTGTGATTTGATGGCATCCTTGATCTTTTTGTTTTTGAGGAAATCATATTGTTTAGGTGCACTCGTATTGATTTATGGTCTCATAGTCAAGAGATGAGTATTAAGAATGACTTGGTTCTAGAATATTTCTTTTGTTGCACATATTTTATTGCCAATCGGGATGTTTCGATTCATTTAATAATATTTATATCATTCTCATAAAGTTCTTATAAATAAATCATGATTTTCCATATAATTCTTGGTACACCCTCTCCTCTAGCAAATACTTCATAATTTTCTATTAAATAGCCACCAAATCATACCTTGACTCTGTCATAACTGTAGAACTTGTTCAGAAAAGAGAACATGGCAAATTGCACCATTAAGGAATAGACTACGTAATTCAAGACGAAGCTAGTCAAATAGGCCAACGCCCAATATTGCGACTCTTGAATTGACTTATAGTTAGCCAAGCTTCCCAACAGGATAAAGTAGAAAAACGAAATAGCAAATAATATCAATGTCAAGCCTATGATCTTTAAGATCTGGACTTTATTGTGAATAAGGAATGAAAATATCTTACAAAAAATTAACCCAAATAGTGATTGCAATATAGACAGTGCTAGAATTGTGTTTAGACTTATAATCTAAATTTAAATTCAATTAATTTACTTCTCCAAAAAATGTCAATATGCAAATCTCACCAATGATTGACATATAAACAATGATGGTTCTGTAGACTCGGGACTGCTACTCATTATAAAGATAATAGAGACTCATCAACACATGATTGATCTAAAAATACTATTAAAATCTACTTTGAAATAAAGGAAGAATCCTTAATGAAATTTCACTTATGAGTTATGAATTGAGTTGAAGATTGAATCCTCCCTTTTTGGAGAATTCTGATCCTTTTGTTCATCCAAAATTGGAGTCCCTGAGAGTTGATTGCCTTCTGTTTCTTCGATTGCTTTTCCAGACCGTCCGTTTGAATCGAGTGCCATACTACGCTTACTAGAAAGTGCTGAATCAATTTATCGGTTTTAATTATCTTCTGAAGGTTGCTTGTCATTTTACATCTTGATGCTATTTCTTTTGCTATGTTGATTATTTAGTTTCATTTATTGTCTTCCTGCCTACTGTTCCAATTAAGCCAGTTCATCAATACTGCCAGCTCTTTCCTTTTCTGGGAATTCATCCCAAGATTGTGGCATAACTTTGGCTGATAAGAACGATCCAGAATTAAGTTAATTTTAATCTAATCTATGTCCTATATAGAGAGATAATAAGAAGATTATAGTGAACAAGATTAATATGTACAAGAACAGCATCTACTCATAAGGACATTGATTTATTTTGTTAATTGTATCTGCAGAAAAGAAGGAAGCCAATTGACCTGCTAATTATTGCACTGCGTCAATCAGAGTAATGATTGATATCTTCTAACATTCACAGATCATTTTCGAAGCTTCTTAACTAGTAGTGCAGGCATCTAAACTCCATGAATCCTCTATTTTCATAACACATTCATAAAATTTGTTGTCATTCTCAGGCTTAGGAAATTCATAAGTTAAAGTTGTCATTGAATCCGTAAGTTGAGTTTAGTTTTCTTCAAAAGTAACCTTTGGATCATACAGCATGGCATTAGTTTGATTTTTGTTGATCTCCATGAAGTCCGAATCATATAGATACGGATTAGAGGCATACTTGATGAACTTATACTCAAAACGAGCTGATTTGTTTTCTGATGAATAATCTGTCTCTTCGTCACTTACTTGTTACTTCTAGGATGTCAATACATTCCCTAATGCTGATTGTAATAATTTGGAAGTGACTCTCTAAGTAGATATGTTAAACCAATTAGTCTAAATTGATAACTTCTTACTGTTGATCATCTATTAACTCAATTGTATCTTTGTAATTACATTAAGTGAATCTACGATTTGCTAATTGTTTATTTTAATTTAGTCTTAATTTTCAATTAATTGTCTTCTGAATTTACTTGATATCTAATTCTTATTGAACAACTCTGCTATATATTAAGCATATCCTAACATCTCTTCATGCAGAAACACATTTGAAAATAGTTATTTGGATCTGTCGAAACTATTTTCCATTAGACTAGTTTATTATTTGAGTAATTATTCTATTTCATTAAGTCTGGATTTTGAACTATTCAATTCCGAATTAATTTACTGATAAGACACAGATTAACTCTATTGTACCAGTAACTTTTTGAGGAATAATTACTAATTCACATCGTATTCACAATTACACTGACTTTATTGTAGAGTGTTCTAGAAGGCTTTATCAGTTACTAATTGAGGTGCTGATTGATTGTTATTTTCAGAATTCAACATTAATAAAATTGAAGATTTTAAGTCTGGCTGAGTAGACATCATTGTTTAAACTTACTCTGACTAAGTAGATGTAACATTCACAACCAGAGTATAGTTACTGACCCCATTTAATGTATCCTTCACTTAGACAACCAAATATGTTTAACCCTTCCCAACTAACTTTGTTTTGTAGACAGGATCATATTGGTATGGATTCAGCACCACGCCTTTATACAATTATCCAATAGAGTAATCGTAATTTAAATCAGATTGAGTCTAGTACAATAGTATTCTGTACTATAGGGATTGATTAATATCAATACATTTCTTGGTGGATATTGTGAAATCTGTCAATAATGATTCCCCTGATGTGGGTTCAATGCCAACTATGCATTATTTGGGAGGCAAATTGAGGTAGATATTCATAATTATTGTGGATGGTTAAAAGTAATTAGGATTGTGAATAGAGATTTTCAAAGTTAATTTCTCTGACAATTCCTCTAATTTCAAGTAATCCCAGATTTGCAATTTCAACTCCAAATAATCAAAACTAAATTGAGCTATAACTCTTTCATTTGTATACAACAATCCTATGTATTACAAAGTATCTGGATTTACATTCAAATCCATGAATTTCAGTTTGATGTTTATCTGATCATAGAAATTGATAAATCCAGAATAGATATCTGGAGTCGTCTCAAAATCAACTTTGGGCACATCTGTCTCAACTATCTATAATTATATCTGCTCCTTCATACTTTTATAAACCACAGATATAATGATGGTCTGAAATGGGTTAAAGGTATCTGCAGGAATATTGATACTTCCATCATACCCTAAATTCAACATTTGATTATTCCTCATGCATAATTCATTCTCAAGAACATCAAAGCATTCCCAGATAAATCTTTCATTTCCTTAGCCGTTTGTTACATAAGCCTATAGATTGATCGATTGTCTATAATTAAAGGAAGTGCTTGTTGATTTTAATACCAGTCTTTAGATGTTATCAACCACTTTTAAATTAATTGACTACTCATTCACTAACTTATCTTAAAAGAGCGTTTTGATGTTTAGACTATACACTCCTATTTTTAAAGATTATGGTTTGAGAGCAAATATGTAGTATTACCCAATCAAATTGTCTTATTGATATAATTGGCCATCAATTGAAATTAGATAGTTGACTCTATCGTAATTCGAAAATATTGGGCTTGGACAATAATATGAAATTAGTGATATTTAAATTTCTTAGGAGATCTAATATGGAGTTTATTAGAAAGCTATTTCAGTTGTGATTTTGCCAAACTCTTGGACAACCACCAATTGTGATGAATATACTTAATTCACTACATTAGCATATTGCAATTCAATTATGATTTCATTCTCCTCATCTAGTATATTCCCTGGGAATTCAAAATATTAAGTTATTGGATTTGCTTAGATCTACTAATTTAAGAATTTCATAAAGTTATCCAATTTAGGATCCCATTATTTCTTCTATATCAGAAACCATGATAACAACTGGATATTATCCTGATTCAGAAATGAAAGTAAGAGATTCTATTTTTGACAGCGAGATAGGTAAATCTTACTTTAAACAAACTGCAGCTTATCTTTTGGCTAATTAGCCTATCCCAAAATGTTCAACTCATTATTATAAAAAGTCTGTATAACACTTGGGCATTTTTCAAATTAAATAATATTTGGATAAAATACTATTAGATCTCCTTATTTTAGACTAGCTTTAGGTCCCATCTTCACTTAAATCTTGTTCTCATCCTTAAAACACAAAGGATTCTCACCTAATAATTCAATAGTTTATTGCTGAAAAATATGGTTGCAGTTAGTATACAAATCTTTGATATTCCACTTGAAATTGATAATTAAGATAGTCAAATCATAATTCAATGAGATGCTTAGACTAGCAATTGTGCAAGCTTGAATTATATACATAAATAACTTACTTGTACACCAAATAGAATTCTCAATCTCAACTGAATTATTTGGACAAGAGCAGTCAGGGAGTGAAATCCTATTTCCAGAACAAGAAGTACATTTATCGGCATATTAAGTACAAGTCTTACATTATGAACTACACTTATAACATACATTGGTTGCACTTTCGTAATATCCTTTTTAAAGGTAATAATGAAATAAGTACCATCTTAACATTAACATGTAGGAGGATTCACGAATCCATTTGCACAATAGACACACACATTAAAGGATGAACATGTGTTACAGTTGTATTAACATTTCAAGCACATTGCATCATCATAATAGTATCCATTTTCACAAGATTTACAAAAAGGGAGTTAAATTAAATGGGATCCAATCTTACATTAATTACAAGTAAGACCATCTATGCAATTCTGGCATTCTGCTTTGCATTTTAGACATTCCGCCTTGTTATCTTCATAATAACCTTCTAAACAACTGCAGTCTGAATTCCTATTATAAGTTATGTCACAAATTGCACATTTTTTGTTTATTAATTAAAAACCTAAAACACATAATGAACATTCAGTTTCAGCACATTAAGCACAATTAAAATCACAATAATCAATTAATATATGCAAATCTGTGATTCCTACACTACTTTCAAAGGAAGACCGCATCGAATTTGAAACAAATCTAATATCTGCTGAGTTGGAAGTATGTGCAATATCTAATTCTATTTTTTCTATTTAATCAGGAAAGGAGCCATAGAATAAATTTGTAGCAGTGTTTTTGACCTTTTTTTCATAAACGATCGTCCCATCAACAATTATTTAAAATACATCATTTGACCATTTGTCTATGAACCAAACCTCCAAATAAAGTCTAAGACGATTATGTGGATTTAAACTATAATACATTATACTGAAGTAACCCTCACTCCAAACTCCATATCCTCCCAAGAGTAATTTATCTTGATATATTGAATATTTCGAGCCAGTCCAAAAAGAGTATGAGAAGGATTGCGAAAATTCAAACCTGCTCACCTACTACTGATAGTTACTATCTAAACTGTAAAAATAACTGCCTAAATATTCGGAGCCTTGAATTATATAATTATAATATACCATATTCTTTCATCTCTTTATAATCAATACACTTGGTTGTGCCATCGAATTAACTATTGCTGGGACATTCCTTAACACATTTACCTAAATATAGAAGGTATCCTTCTTCACATTTATTGCAGGATTTAATTCCACAAATTTAACAATTTAAAGAACATTCTAATATACATTAATTGTCAAGATTGGCAATATAGTATTTTGGGCATGATAACACACATTTGTTAGCATATTGGTAGAGTCCCGATTAACAGTAACATTTACCGGAATTTATAGCGCCATATGGACAACTTAAACATTAATCGATTTTTGGCCCACTACAGGTTTTGCAACTGAAATCACACAATGTTGGAATTATGACGAAATTCTTAATTGCGATCATCTAGCAGACTCCAATACCTCCGATATCACATGTAAATGACCCTTTTATTTCAATTAGGGGATTTCTTTTAGAATGAGACATAGTCTAATAAACCGTGATTAACTTTTATTAGGTAGCCACAGCACTTCATATATATTAAATTCATACTTTATTTTGTTTAACTTACAGTATGTACTCGATGTTTTGAAGGTACTTGAAGATAGACCACTTTCAGAAAATATGTTGGTAGAGTCAATATCAATTTTGAGGTAAGATGAACCTTCCCATCTACCAGTGAATAATATATCAAAAGAAATCTATATCTCACTGTGGGCACCCAAGTCAGATAGTTATTTATGGAGATTTTTGTCGATTAAACCAAGATATGGACCGTTAAGATCATCACAAATGTGTTATGTTTCGAATACGGATTGATCGTCAGCTATCCAATTTTCTGGAATCCAAGGTTCTCCCTCTTAAAGTTCTGTGATTGTAGTAGATTTTGTCACTAAATTTAGTGAAAGGAAAAGTAAAAACATCTCGAGTTTATATAATAATTCTTAGGCATTATACAGATGACTTTAAATAATTTATGTCTATCATATTTCATCAGATGTTAATCGTCATTTAATAAATCTTCTAGATTATTTCATTGTTTTATTTAATGTTGATAAGATGCACAATTATAATATAATATTTAATAAGCTTTAATTAATAAGAACAAAGGTTTATGATATAAAATAGTAATTAGAGATTTAAAGCTAAATATTTGGTTTCTCAGAATTGGTCTTGTTATACACTTTTGGTATTTTATTATAAATAATAATATGATCAAAAAATATACATTAACATTTAATTCATCTGAACTTGAATAATCTTTCAAGCTATGGGTAATTGATTAAAATCAAATCATGTATGAAATTACATTGTCCACCCTCTCAATATACCTGATTCTCAACCTCATCAACTACGCCTCAAACATTATTTATTTGATCACCACATCAGTGACTCTCTGCCTAGAATTGACGATGCTTTTCTTTTTCAGAAGATACCCTATGCAAAGAGAGAACATCAAAAGTTTAAATTTGATAGTTATTAACATACTAATAGACATTTATATATGGCTAAACTTTGCCTAAAACTTATATTTAGAAGTCGGAGCAGTTAGATTATGTAAACCCCTATTTCTTATTATTCCCAAGGTCTCTATCTGCAAGGCAACAAATTTACTACTCAATCCTTTATATTTCTCTTCAGTTAGGCGGCTGAGATGTCGATCCTCCAATCCCAAATGATACCACTCATCACCTATAGTCTATTTTGTCTTTTCTTTATATTCCTTCGTTATCAGACCGAAATGAAGCGTCGTCAACATTACTTAGCTTTCAGATCCTAAATCCTATATGAGAATTTAATAGAAGAACAATTGCCAGCATGGGTTGTGTTGGTCAAATACGACAGTAAGTAAGCTTAGTTGAAAATGGACAAAATAAATAGGGTTATGAAAGACACATTTAACTTGAATTCAGATCAGAAATTTAGAGAATTCTTAAGAGATTCCAACATTTAACCGCTAGATGGCATTAACCAAAAGGCATTTAATTTTGAAGATGTTCTAATTAAAGATTTACTCCAAAAACAACAAAATGATAAGATTACTAAATTTGTAGGTAGATTCATAAACAATGATAAAAAGTGGTAGTTCCAAATCACAAAAATCTATTTTAATACTCTGGAACCTACAATATTATTGTTGTTTATAGAGGAAGGTGGTGACTTATTTGATTTTTTTACTCATCAATTGAAATGGAGAGATTAATAACTTGTTAATCATAGCAAAATGTGTTTAAATTATATCAAAGATTAGATTAATCTTCTTAAATACTTCAAACAATCAGCTAATGCCTAATAATTATATTATATCAATAATTAAATCAGTAATAGTTACATTATTTTCAATCAGAGTTTAAATATTTTGAACATCACCAAAATCATATATAATAAATTAAAATATAACATCAACTAATTCAATTTATTGGAATTAATAAATTAATTAAAAGAGGATTTAAAATTCTCAAACAAATAATTATTATTCGATCTACAATTGAAAACTGACAGATCCAAAATGATCTCTGTTATACTAAGTATCTCAGAATTCATTAGATTAATGCTAGCAATCAACACAAATGATGAAAAACAACTTTATGAAATTCATCCATTGGGTTACCCTATTTAAATCAAATTTAAAAGAATTCATTCTAACCCAGGATGTCTTTTAATTACTATGAAACACCAACTCTTAAATATTCCTGCCCCGATCCAAGAGGCTTTGTAAAAAGCAGCATCTTTTTCTGATCATAAAAAACGAAACTGGGGTGTAAACCATTATTACGAAAACATATAAAATTTAAGCGATCAATTTCACAAAATCAACGTTACTACTCAAAAAGTTACCTAAAGTTAAATGCCTTATCTGGAATTAGATCAAAATTTATAACAACAACAATAGAAGATAGGAGTCTATTTGGATGGAAGTACTGAGCCTTTCAGTACTTTAGGTCTTCCATTGGCTTAATATTTAATTTCATAAATTGGTCCTAATAATCAAATAGAATTTAAAGACAAAAAATTAAAACATGTTCCTGACCCACTTTCCTTTCGAAATGCTACAACCAAAACAAAAATATAGTTTAAAGTATATGAGGACTTAAATTAATTTATCATCCAACTAAATGAATAGGATCCCAATCCTTATTTGGACTTTTTCATTTACAATAACAGTTAGAAATCAGGCTTCAAAACATATTGCAGCATGTCTCCCCAACATGCTCGAAGAAGTGGTATGACAACCTTATTGATTAGTGGAAAAATTAATTGACCCCAACTATATTCCATCATATTTGTATTAAAATTTATTTAACATAACTTTAACTTCTGATTACAAATACTCAATTCTTTATATATTAATTAAATATAACTCTTATTATGGATATTAATATCTATTATTATTAATATTTAAGAATTCCTATGCATCCAACAAATAAACATTTTGGAATATCTTTAAATATAATATCAAAATTAAAAAAACTAAACTTTTTATAAACTAAACATAGAGTTTAATTAGCTTATTTATCATATAATTACTTTAAAAAATTTTCCTTAATTTTCTTCTTAAAATAATAGGGGATTGGAATCGAAGTGGTAATTTTTAGTTATTTTCATAACATGAATGAAACTAAATCAATAAGGCGCAGAAAAGCCTTATGGAGGCAATCCAGTGTTTGGATCAGTTCCTTTAGGCCTTCTGAATAATAATATATGTGGTTCTGGTCTATGGCATTCGTAGTGAACCCACCCTCTAGATTACTAAACACCTAAGCCTCTCCATTCCATCTCATTCAATAATTTACCTGAATGTATTGTTTAATTTTAATACCTTTTGTCAATTTTTTGAATACATGTTTAGGTAAAATGACATGTCTATATTCATAGAACTCGTCTTGATATTTGTCTGAATACTCAATGTCTTCTGGGTAATGCGGCATAAAAATAGTAGTTAATTAATTAAATTTAAAATTATTTTTAAGGCTTTATATTTTGTTTTATATACTATATTTAATAAATCATCTTCTAATGGCTAATAAGGCTAACGACATTATTGAAGAAAGCCCAAAAAATAATGAATATGCTTGATGTGTTTGTGGAGTAGGCAAAGGTTTATCAAAGTTGTCTTTAGTAGCAGGAATTGGATATAAGTTAGCCGATTCTTCATCATATTCTTGCACCAATCTTTCAATGTATGCAGATGAACAATCTGTCTACAATATTAGCTTTCATCATCATACCAAATTGAATGATCTGTACAATCTTGACATAAACCACAAATCAATATAATTGTACACTCCCTCTCTTGGCCAATTTCTACGTCCCTTCAAAATATCCTCCTCTTCTCCTCTTCTTACCATTCCTACAAATTCTACAAAGGGCATTTAATAATCCTCTTCCATATTTAATACATTTCTATTGAATCCTGTCAATTAATCGTCATCTTCATTATGAGGAACATTTTCATAGGTCTATTTTATATCTCAATTCGATTACTGTTGTTCCAATAGGCTCTTATCCCATTTGAATATCACTGATATTATCTTTTGGCACCCAACCTAAGTTAACCATCACTTGAGATTTGGTAGTTTGTTCTGGATCTTATTCTGTGTCGTTGAATTATAAAGCTGTTACAAATGGAGCAAAAACTAAGAATCCATCTCTTCCTTCTCTTTCTCTTCTTACGAAAAACCTTTCATCCTAAGAAACATAGCAATTTAGTTTGTACTCTGAAATATCCATATAATTTCACTAATTTATACTCCCATTATCTTATATTGCGTGCCCATGGGTATCTATTAGCATTGAGACCATTGATTATTATTGGTTTCCATTCAGTAATCTCATTTTCTACTTTCTCGTATAATTATTTTTATTAAGCACCCTTCCATTGATGCCAAGCACAGCCATAAGCTCCTCCAAAGAAGACTCCGTAAGCCAACAACTTAATGATACCATTACTTTGTCTTTAAGCGAACGAGTTGAATACTTGTGTTGAAAGCATAAAAGATTAAAAATATTAATATAAAAATCAATAAATAAGCTTATTTATAATTCTTAAACGAAGTAAATTCATTTGAATAAAGAAAAAGATAAATAATATATTAGAATAAATATTTCAGATTTCTGTTAATGCTAAAATTAATTGATTAATCAAACAACTGTCTTTTCTAAATCATAAATTTCTTGCTCTTTTATTGTTTTCAAAATTGCTTTGTTTTGTAAGAGTTCTGGAATGCTCATTTTTTCTCCTCTTTCTGGTTTGATTTTGTCTTGCATTTATTATTATAATATTTTTTTATGTTCTACTTTTACTTTTTTAATTTAATCTTATTTATTTTATTCTTCTTAAAAGAATCTCTCTGTATCTTCCTTCCATATTTTACCTTGAAGATCATCCAACTCTTTTTCTTATAATTTCTTTATTTATTTAAATTTAATTGATTATTCCAAGGATTAAATTGTCTTTTACTTTAATTCATTTACTCTATTTTTCTTCTTCTACTCTTCTTCTAAAAACTTCTGATCTTCAATTTTTTTCCAATATTATAATTTATCATCATCCTCTTTTTCCAATTTATATCTAAGCAACTATGATTCACTCCAAGCATTATTTTTATCTACCTTTTCCTTCTTTTTTCTATTTTCTTCAATTCTTCTTTGTTCTATTTAATCAAGTAATTCTCCATATCTATTTATCAATATATTAATATCATTACTTCTCGCAATTTGCCTATTCTAATTTCTCTTACTCTTTTTATTTCTACTAAATAACCATTTTATCAGCTTCTGATTATTTCATTACCTTAAACATATAATCTCTTTTCTTTAATTTTATTCTATTTTCCTCATCAATCTGCTTTTATAACTCATTTTGATATCTTTTGCTTATTTCCTACTTGTAATTACGTAATTCTCTATCTTCGCTATGCATTTTCTTTTTCTTATTATTTAATTAGACATCTCTCTCTGATTACAATTGCAATAATTTATTTTTTACATTTGCCTATTTTTCATATTCTTACTCATTCTTCTTCTGTAATAATTCACTTTGAAATCTGTCATATTTTTCTTCTAAATCCTTTTCCCTTTTCTTTCTGTCTTCTTTTATTTTCAACTACATATCCAACTCCTTCTTCATTTAGGCTTTCTTTTATAACAGCAATTCTTTTTTTCTTTCCTATTCCTTTTAGTACAGTTACGCATCAAATTTCATTAAAGCAGCCCATTCATCTTCCTTTAATTATGTAAGAATATTACATCCTGCCTATCTACATAGTAAACTGATTTAGGAGGTTTTTCAGAAGTTTCAGACACTTAATCATATGATTTTAAGAAAGTCCTTTAGAATGGTTGAACACGTTTAGTAAATGGTTCAAATGTTTTTCTTTGCGAATCTGCCGGAGTCTTAGAAGGTAATGCAGATTCTCCATTTCCCAAAGTTGGGAAAAATTGTTATTGCGATTGAGATTAACCAAGTTTCGATCTTAATTTTGTTACAACCGAAGAATTAGCCCCCTCTTTAAGCAAAACCTTCTGAATAGATTGCTGTAATAGCTAATTTTTTTGGGCATCTGCTGATCCATATTTTTATACAAACAAATTTACAATATCCTCTGTCATTTATATTTTGATAAATTTACTCAAATATTATAAATATTAATTTTTGCAAATGAAAGACTACCTTTTTTTGTTTTCCAACTATGAATATTTAAAGAAATTAGAAGATAATCATCAAAGCACCATAAGGTATTTAACTTCTAAAATTATAACATTCATATTAATTAATCACAATATAGCAGAAGTGTTTTTAGTAATCAATTATTTTTCTGATTTTATTCTGGATTTAAAATGAACATGCCTTTAAATTAAAATGTTTGAGGGAATTTATCATATTTTTGAATTATAATATTTATGATGTAAAATATTAAGATTGAAATTTATCATCGATTATAAATAAAGATCTTTCAAATAAAATATGTTAATTACATTTGTTAAATTGTATTTATTTTTAATTTAATACCTTGAAAACGCATTCTAAAGTAAGTTGAATTTATTGCAATATGCTGCTTCTTATAATCACATTAAAATATCAGAATTACTAATCAATTTAATAATGGTTAAAAAGTAGACTTGGAATTTAATTATTTTTAGACCTTTCTTCATAAATGATTAATTTATAGAAACAAAGACAGTCTATTTTTAATAGAATTCCTTATTTTTATAGATTACACTGATATTCTTAAGAAGAAAAAACTTAAATAATAGTCTTTAAATTATTTTTTCATAATAATAAATAACAAATTACGAAGAGTCATTTTCTTTTGTTAATTTCGGTTCCCAACAGTTTTATCTAGTCTCTAAGCTACAAATTTTCTATGAGGGTTTTCTATTTTTAAGAATTTTGATACTTCTAATACGTCTTGTATGTTAACTTTTTTTTTTAAATGTTGTATCATTTTTACGTCCTCCTTATCCAATAGATCTTATTCTTATAAAGAGGGAATTTATTTTGATATTTAATGAGCAATCTGATTGATATAGTTTGTTTTCTATTCTAATTCATTCTACAGTTAAACTATTCTAGCACATAAGCTGTCTTTTGTTTTTCTATTCTCCAATTCAAGTTCTTATACTCTTAATGAAAGAGATTCAACAACAATCCTTTCTTTTTTCGTTAAAGGAGCTTCAGGTGCTTTTTATCTGAATTATAATTCTCTTATGGCCAGAAGATCGTTAGTTAAGCATTTGTTCGATTCCTCTAGTGCAGATATTTACTTTTATTTTTAAAGACAATCGTCCTTCAATTATTCTGTTTCCTAATATTATGATATGTATGTTACATGAGAATATTTTTTTTCCAATATTTTAACCTAACTTTACATATCCTCATAATTAATTTGTGAATCTTTGTATTTTTATTCTAGAAGCGAATATTCTTGGAATTAAGATTACAATAATTTTTCTAGGTCCTTTGACTTATTTATTTTTTAATCCCGCTCTTGTTTAACATTTATTAATTCTTATGAAACCTTCTAATATTATGTAGTAATTTCATCAAATTTAATTTATAACTATAATAAATGACAAAATATACATTGTTCCTTAATTATTCACTCTATCTTAAGGTTTTTTTGGTTGTTTCAAGTTATTCCTCTTTATTTTCATAGTTAGATGAAAGTTCACTTAATTTCTATATTTATTATATATTTATTACTTTCATCAAATCTTTGTTTTCTGAAATTTGGATATAAGCAGAGGCTAGTTCTCCTTCTAATCGAAATTTATCTTGCGCTATCACTCTTAATTCTTTTAGTTCTTGCTAAATATTGTGTAAATCATCCTTAAGCTATTGATTTTATAGTTTGTAAGTATTTAACTCTTATGTAATTTTTGAGTTTTGTTAACTTGTTTCATCGATAATTTGTTATAATGCTGCACATTTTTAAACCATCCCTTCCAAAGAAAGGTTATTTTTCATTTATTTGGAGTTTTGTAGTTTTTATTATTCTTCTTGTTAATTTTTCAATAGTTAAATTTCATTTGACAATGCTTTAATTTAGTGTTATTGATCTTTAGACCTTTTATCCCAGCTTAGTAGTTCCTTCATTGGGATTGTAACCATTTTTTCTGCTGCGTTATTGTTTTACCCTTATACATTATTATTATTTTAATTTAGTTATTGAGTCTGTTTTTACTATGAGGATTGTTATTGTGATTGTTATTGTTATTATTATTATTATTATTATTATTATTATTATTATTATTAGTATAGTTATTGTTATTGCAATTATAATTATTATTCTTATTGTAATTGCTATTTAATATCTTCTAATTATTGTGTAAGTGTTTAGCAACTCTCATTTTTATGGAGTAACTCCTACTAAAGCGTGGTTAATTCTAAAAGTTAATTTGAATTTATTTGTTGTAATTCTAGAATTTGTGCATTTAAGATTATTATATCATCTTGCAATTTTTTCATTTTTCCTTCTTGAGTTTCAAATTGCTTCATGTATTATTATTCTTACTCTAAAATATATTAGTTTAATTCTTCGACTTTTTATTCAAAGGTGTTAGTTTATTCCTTTTCATATAATGCTTTATTTAAATCATCAATTTCATTCTGCAATTATTTAACAATCTATTCCCATTCATTGTCTTTTTCTTATTTTGTCTATTCAATTTGAATATTAAGCTAGTCAATCTCGATTTTGTAATTTTTAAGATTAGCATCAATTTTTTCTTCTAAATCATTGAGCTTTTCATTTAATGAATCAATTTCGCTTTATTTACCATTAACAATCAATTAATAATCATCATTTATTTCATTTATTTTCTCCTTCTCAATCATCAATGAATCAGCAAGTGTTTTAATTTCAATTTCATGTCTACTTTGAATTTCTTAAAGCTTTTGAAAAGCCTCATCACATTGAATGGTGACTTTCTTTAAATCTTCATTAAGTAGTATTATCTATTGCTCATAAGATTCTATTTAAATCTGTGACTTTTGAATTTATTCATCGCAAGATTTTCTCTCCTTATGCAGTTCAATAAGTTCAGCTTCATAATTGGCAATATTGCTTTTTTATCTTGCAATTTCTTTTTCTAATGCAATTTGATTAGCTTGTAATTCATTAGCATCTTATAACAATTTACTTCGCTCCTCCTCCAGTTATTTGATTGTCTGATCTTTTTAAGCCAATTCTTCTTGTAAATCCATTAGTAATTTAATTATATTAATTTTATTGTTCCATATGGATGTAGTAATTTTATTTGATGAATTTATGAGTCTTAGAAACAAGCCAAAACTATTATCCAGAAAGTATAAACAATTATTGAAAGTCAGATCTATTAAAATCTACTGATTTTTAAATGAAGTTGAGGTGGAATCATTAATTTGAAAAATACAAAATAGGATTAAAGACATCATAAATGATAGAGTAAAATGAAAATGTTACTACAGAAGTTATTTATTGAAAGGACATTTATTCAATGGAAACATAACTCTTATAATGATCTACTAAATGTCACATATAGAAGTATCAATTTATAATAATAACATGCCCAATTTATGCAAACTTTAATTAATTAAGTAAGCAATTTAAAAATTCTGAGATTTAGAGAAGCAGATAGAACTTTCTTTAAACGTAAGAGCCAAAAATGAACTAAAACTGAAGACCAAAAAAATATCTAATATATTTTCATGGAATACATCTCAATCTTCATTAGTTATCTCTTTTTATTCTGTTTAATAAAAAAAATAGTCAAATTTAAAGAGAAAAGCAACATTTAAAAAGGAGATTGAAATATAGAGTATCTTATCACACGGATCTATTGATATAAAATTGTGGACATAATTATTTCACATAAAAAATTTAGCCACACCTAGGAGTAAAACTGATTAATAAATTTTAATAGGTGTATTGAGCACTGGAGTAATCTGTCTATTTGGCTAACTTCATGATTTGGTTAGAACTTTCTTATAAATTGATATGCTATCCAAATTAATATTTTTTTTACCTATTCGAATGCAACAAGAGTAGTATCCATTAGAATCATATTATGTTTATAATTTTTTTTAATAAAGTTATTCTTTAAATGCAAATTTCTCTATGTTTTTTAATATATTAATAGTGTTTATATTTGTTCGTAGATTTTGATGGCAGATTGCGGAGATTGCGGAGATTGCGGAGATTGTGGAGATTGTGGAGATTGTGGAGACATGTGTGGAGTTTGTGATGATTGTGGAGATTGCTCTCACATGTATGGAGACTGTAAGAATTGTTGTTAAGACTGTTGTGATTGTAATAATTTAGATTGTGATTGTGATAATACAATTTGTAGAGGTTTCTGTTAATAGTTTTGTCAAAACCCAGTAGCCAATCATTCAAGAATAAGAAGGTTTTTATCATCATTGATTATTTTTGTATTGTTAATAGTATAATGGGTTACATCTGTTTCCAAAATATAAGAATATTAGTATAAAAAGGTTCAGATTATGAATTATTAGAATATGCTTAAAATAGGTCCAATCAATGACCTAATGTTATTGACTTAATGTCCTTCGAATACAGTATTGGTATCGAATTATATGATTCCTTCAACTGTGGCTGGATGTTATTGTCCAAATTAAAACTAGAGACTTTATTTGGAAATTTGCAATTCAACATAAACTGAATGTTCGATATTAAGTGCTTCAAATGAAATTTAAACTAGTAATTGGGGATATAATGAATCTATGGAAAGGTTTTAATTATGCGCTACAAGAACTAGCACCAGCCCTGAAAAACTTAGATAATTAAAAATAAAGGAGCCTAAAGACTGCAAAGCTAATGATTATAAGTTATGTCAAGATTTGAATAATGAGAAAAACTTTTTTTGTGTTGAGAAAACAGAAAAATGCCCAATAAAGGACATATAAAGAAGCAATGAGATTTTAAATAATTATGAAAAAATAGATTAAGCGTAAATAGTTGACAATTAATATTTAATTGTTACTAGAAACTCATCCAATAATTATTTGATCAATTTTAATATCACAAGGGGATAAGGGATTTGTGAAGATAGGAGTTTATTATCATTAGGCACAGGTGAAGATTATTACATGAATGCTTAATAATGGGAGGCTTGTAGTCTTGATCTTTCTTTTAATTAACTATTTACATTAAAATTTGAAGACTTTTTACAATTTAATGACTTAACAAATAAATTCGAATAGTCAAGACCTCTGTTTAATACTACATAAAATATTAAACTAGTTTACTAAAATTCTATTCCCACTATGAATCTAATTAGTTTTTGCTCTCTTTTTGATGATATTGAATTTGCCATAAATTTGTTATCACTAATTGTTCTGATTAGTATATCATATTGGATATACATGATAATAATTATTATAAATGAGATATGCAGATGTATTTTTAAGGCAGCAGAGAAATGTGGTTAGAAATGCAAATAACACGTTACTGCCTTTTTATTTTATTATGTTAGATTTTCAATTTAAATAACTTTAATAGTTCTTTCATTACTTGGATTTCTAGTTGTGATGTCAACTGATCGCACAACTAAAACAATTCAAGCAGAATATGTCAAGGATACGTTATCAGAGCAAATCCTAAATTTCAGTTCAAATATTTCAAACAGCATCTTAAATTAATATAAGTTATTATAAGGATTGGTGTTTGCATCGTTCCTGTTGGATAGTATCATAAGCATATGGGCTTATTATGAGGAACATAAAAGGAAGAAGTAGAAATAATATTAGCTTTATAATATAAATCAAATAGTTTCACCTTAATACCTTCAACAAACAAATTAAAGACCTAGCTAAGTTTAAACCTATAATGATGCAGTTACGAAGATTATTCGTAACATGAAGTGAATAAATACTATATTTTTTAATTTAATTATAATTAATAAAATGGAAGATAAGGTTAAATCAAGAAAACAAATCACTTTAAGTCAAACAATAAGAATGGAGTTGTCTCAATAACAAGAAGAATAGAAACCCGTTGAGGGACCTTAATTAATAAAACACAAACCATCCAGTTATGACGAAGAGACAGGATAATTGTATTCCTTCTGTGCGAGTACTGTAAATTAAACTCAACAATTTTTTCGAACATTTTCGGAGGAACATACATACCTCAATAATTAATTTAGTTTCACACATAAGTAAAAAGTCATAAAATATGTATTTGACAAAACAATGTTATGCCTGAATATGTAAGCAAAGAAATGAGAAAGACTCACTAAGAAATAGAATTAAATGAGTTGCTTCAAGTATAATATCGGACGATGCTGGTAGCTTAATTAGCTGATTGTAGAAATAGGATAGAAATCTATGCTTATTATTGGGGTGTTTTGATGGGCAGTCTTTGTATGTTACTGCCAATCTCAATCTGGAAGAAAGGGGTGATGGCAATCAGTGTACTTCATCTCTTTGGAAGTTATGTAAGCTAAGCAATTATATGCAGAGTGTTTGATAAATTATACTAGTTTTATATCTCCATTTCAAAGAAACAGAAAATATCACAGTGGGATAAATTAAACAATTATACTTCATAGGGATTTGGAAGATGTAAAAGTATTTGCATATAGAGATTTATTAGAAAAGACTCAGAAAGTATTTGCGAGAAATAAGTAAATAATAATAATAATGAGTTTTAATTGTTATTATATAATTATGGATATAATTAAAAACTGCTTCAAAAAATGTGTGTATACTTTCAATAGTAACGAGTTCATCAATAGTGAAGAGGAGTGTATAAATGAGTGTATAGAACAATACAAAAAAAGAATTAATATATGTTAAAATGTAAAACAAAAGAAATGAGTTATTTATTTAATAAATGAGTAAGGACTACAATATTCTACTCTACACAAAAATCTATTAAAAGGCAAAATTAATGATTAGAAATAAAATTTATATAAGTTAGCAATACAGCATAATCCCACAATAACCATAATATTCAATTTTGAATATTCAAATTATATTATCAAATTGCGATGTATTAAACTTTTACATAGTCTTTTGTTTTTATTTAGGTTAGCTTTGATTCTGTATCTTCTCTGTTGTCACAAATGATCCTTAGTAATCTTAAATTTCTTGGTCTTAATTAAATTCAACGGTATGTTGTTTGGACTACAAAAATCCTTGTTTCTTTTGATAGACATTATATTTTTGGATGTTTTTAAAGAACTCATGATTCAAACATTCAATAGCTGTAGGTCTCAACTTAGGATCTCTTGATAACATTCTTTGAACAAGATTCCTCAATAATAAAAAAGCGTACTGTCAAATTAGCAGGCAATAATTATAGAGTTAAATGAGAGAAATCAATATTGCATTTTTTGTTGAGTTCCAAAACATAGGTAAACCCAGATCCTGGAAAAACATCTCTGCCTGTTAGCAATTTGTAGAAGATTACTCCACAACTGAAGATATCACAAACCTTGTCATAAGTCTGATTACTATTTTGTAGGTTAACGACTTCTGGAGCCACAAAACCTGGAGTACCACATTTAGGATATCTGAATCTTTCTAGATGTTATTTTAATAATGTTACTCAAAGTACTGTAAGTAGCCAATCCAAAATCCACTATCTTAAGTCGAACTTGCCCGCCTTTTATTTCTAGTATGATGTTTTCTGGTTTAATATCTCTGTGCATGATGTTCTTAGAATGCATGTATTCTACTCCCTCCAATAAGGCCTCTAATATTTATTGATCTTCATACATGCATTATTGATTTTGTTTGTTCTAAGGGTAAAGGTTTGTGATGTCCGAGAAACGATTATAAATTTTTACCTGACAATAGATCCATCACTATATAATAGCTGGTCTCTCCTTAATACACTTCCTTGACCTTAATAAAAGCAGAATGCTATAATTAATTATTGATTTCAATCTCCTGAAATTGCATTTCTTCCTTCTATACACATTTTGCAGCAAAGAATTCCCCACTATCAATTTCCTTCACCAATAATACTTTTGAGGAACTTCCCTTTCCTAATGTTTGTAAAGGTATAAAAAAATCTTGAACTTTTGAAAAAAATAATCTTCCTGCCAAGATTTGTTTTAGTTTTTTAAGTAAATCACCTTGATGACTTGTAAATTCAAATCCCTTTATTGAAAACCCAATCAAAAGATTTTTAATAACATGCCATTGGATTACATTTGGAAAGCAGATTGAAAAATAAATAAATGGTTCATCTTCCTTGTATATGTGCACATATTCCTTCTTTAAAATCAATCGATATGGATCCTGCAATTTGATTTAGAGTATTGGATCAGTATCTAGAAATTAGAGTTGAGTTTACAGAACCATCTAATACACTTTTTCAAGACATGGAAGCATAATAATTTATTGATAATTTTATTATTTTATGAACAAATCGTTTAAAATCTCATACTACTATTACATAGCCCTCTAAAACAATCCAAAATCCTCTCTTATGTTTTCACTTGAATACTCAATTTAAAAAGAAAACTTGCCATTTTCAAAGATGTCTAAGTCTTCACAATCATTCAATAATTCTATTAAGAAATTAAATAAGCCTCTACTCAGCTTAATTATCATTACAAAATCCCATAAAAATAATACAAATTCTTCTCTTCTTTTAAAAGTTAACTTAATATATATATAACTCGATTTTCTAATATAATTTTAGAGAATAATTTTAGATTTTACACATTTCTAATTAGAATTCTTTCAGAATTATTATCAAGATATTTAAAATTTAGAAAATTGTTGATTCTAAACAGAAAAACAAAACAAGAAAAGTTAAATGATTGTAATCAGATTCTGATATGAAGGAATTTCTTATATTACAATATTAGGAAAAATAAAACTATTGAAATAAACTTATGCTCGACTAAGTTAAGGGACATTTACAATAGGATAAGGTTAATTTGGTAGATGAAATGATAAATAAAGTGAAATAATAAGCTTAATTTATATTATGAGTACTTTCAGGAATTAAATTGATAAGGGTGCGAACTATAAGGGATGATAAGCAAGGAATGAGTAACTATGATTTTGGAAAGAACATTGTATTATGAGAAAATGTTTATTAATTTTATTTAATTGAGTTGATTAAATTGAAATAGCAAAATAAGAAAGTAAATAGGAGTTCGTCATGAATTGGCATAGTTATTATATTGAATTTAAATTAATCAAACTCTTCCTCCAATTTCCAATTGATTTTCTTATAATTTTTTGTTAATGAAATCTTATATTAGTTGTGTTCTCACTTGCAATCCATTATACCAGAAATATCCAATTCCTGGGATGTAAATACAAAAAAAGATGACCATAAAGCAAATGACTGTGGCTTCAAAATTATTATGTATACCAGCCATACCTAAAGATTAAAAGTCACATTACACACAATCCAAATGAATATAATAACCATATATGTTAACATTATCAATCCAACAATGGCCAACCATTCCATTAAGGTTGTTTTTTACTCCTAGGATTCACTTTTGTTTTATGGGACATCATCATAATATCCATTTTGTTACTACAAGAATCCTTGTTACATAATTTAATTATTTAAGATTCCATATTTTGCTGTGAATAAATTTCATTACTGTATGATGTAATATATAGAGGCAATTAATAATGAGGATTAATTTGTGCATATTATAATTTATCAATCAATCATTTTTGCTGAATCTGACAGTCTTAAATTTCTTATCCAGATTTCTCTAATCTCTGCATTGGCCAATTGCAACTAGAGGACATTGCTATCTTTTTTCTACCATTCCCTAAATGATACATTAAGTACAAAATAGGAAATGTTAACATGGGAAATGAATAATTTCTCTAGTATTCTTTTAACATTTGATACATAAATCCTATATGATTCTCTATCTCCTTCTTGTCTTACTTTTCATTCTTTCCTATTCATCTTGTCTCAGTTTCTCCCCCAATTCAGTGATTTAAGCCTTTAGATCCTGAGTTTCATAATGTATCTTGTTTCTTTTGTCAGCATAGATCTCAACTCTTTAGAGTAATTTTTATTTCTCTTTTGCAAAAGAATCAGCTAATTTGAAGAATTCAGATTGATTAGTCATATCATTTTATATTTTGACTCTTTAGACTTAATAATAATGGTCAAGTTTGCTGCTGCGATCTTGGAGATCTAGGATCGACTATTATTATAATTATGACTTTACTGATTCAAAGTCATTCTATTACTTATTTTAAGCGGTCAATTGAATTCTTAATTGTGTTTCAAGATTTTCAAGTTTTAGAATCTTTTATTCTAAGACTTTGCTTTCTTCAATTTTCTTTTGGTCAAATTTAGATTTCTCTTATTCAATTTATTTTGCTATTTCCTATTATTCATTCAATTACTTTTGTAGTTCTAATAAATCTGTATTATCTGAAGGTTTATGGACAGATAAATTCAACAATTGTTCAGATGAAGTTGGGATGGCAATGATAACCCAAGGTTCTTGAAATTGAACTCCAGGAAAGGGGTTCACGTCTTCATGAATCAATATCCATAGATAAAAGAACTTATTGATAGCTCTCCTATTCATATACATAATATGTTCCTCAGGATTGGTGAGAGCAGTCTCCATAAATTCACACACTTTGGTTTGTTCATACAATTTTTGACTCAGATTTATATTGTGTTTAGCCATTAATTGGTGAAAGGAATCTTTTGTTAGTTTATAAGGGTACTCTTTATTGATCATAGATAGATCTTTGTAATGATTGAATAATTTATAATAGGCTGACTCTAAAACCTTTGATTGTAACAAGTACAATTACAATTTCTCTTTTTTATCAATTTATAGATTCTTAATTTTTGTAATTGTGTCTCTTGGAGTATTCAAGCGAGGATCAGCTTTATGTGAAGGAAACACATTATCAGTATCCGAATCCTTACCCGCGAGATAATTTTCCTTGTAATTTTCGATAAGTTTGATGATATCCCATTTTCCCTGCTTAGATAGATGTATAGAATGTCCTGGCATTTTATCGAATACCTTGGAAAAGGTCTTTGTTTCTTCAGAATCTGTGTGATCTAATAATTGCTGGAACTCCTCAAAGACCTTGAGACAGTTATGACACATGTAGTACTCCGAAGATTATCTGATCTCTGATCTCTAATTTAGTAGATGGCACTTTTAAAGATGCACCAAATAATCCCAGACGTTGTTGAATACAATAGTGTGAAGTTGAACAGAATTGTAAGGACATTCTTAATTAAAGAGTGGTTATTGAATCGATTCTGGATTTTGCATAGATAATATTAAGGAGGCACTTCAACGAGTACTTGATGGTTCGAAATGCCTCATTATTTTTTGTTGGAATGATTAATATTTTTCAATTTATTTATCATGGGAAATCAAATCATGGGCAAATTCAGAAAGAACAGATTCCAAGGTTTTTCTGACAATCAAATTGATTACTTAAGGTATTAGCAACAATTTAATTTTCAGTGACAAATGGCTGTAAATTGAAAGCAATGGACTGATAGATCTAAATAAGTTTGCTGATCAATATAATGTAACTCACAAGGAAGCTATTAAGGTAATTGTGTTTTATTAATATCAAATAGATTATTAAGTTAATGGACTTTGATGAAAGCGGTCGAGTTGACTACTATAAATTTAAAGTAGGAGTTGCATCATTATGTTAAAATCCCATGACTGTAATCTAAGCATATTTATGAGCTACTAGACAACAGCAAAAACTATTTTCGATCTCTATGATGAGGATAGGGATAACAAATTGGGACCCAAAGAAGTGGGAATCTTTTTAACTAGCATATTTAATAATCTACACTATTATGAAGGCTTAGATGACCCCACACCCTAAGAACTTGAAGAAAAGCTCTAGCAATATCTGGTGAAATGGGATTTGGATAGAGACGGAGGATTTGAATATGAGGAATACTTAAAATTGATGCAAAAAGATCCTGATGTGTTAAAAGTACTATTCAATATGGGATTGGCAAATAAAGATGAGATGACAATAGAAGAGACTTGTTATAATGACATTGATAGCGATATTGAAATTGAAATGGAGAGAAGATTGTTGCCTAGAGATGAGAGAGTTGAACGTATCAAAAATGGAATTGAACATACAATATCTGCACAAGCTAGCGATGAATTTGGAATGGAAGAAGAGGAAGTCGTAATGGAATGGAAGGATTAAGCTAAGAGATTGGAACCAAGCAAAAAACCAGAAGGAATGGATGCTTCTCCTCCTAATGCAATTCTAGATTTAGAATACGTTTATGGATATAGATGTCATGATACAAGAAATAACCTAAAATATGGAAATAAAGGATAAATTGTATATCATACAGCAGGTGTTGGGATAGTCTTGGATCCAAGTAATATGACTTAAAAACACTTTTTGGAACATAACGATGACATTTCTTGTTTGGATATTTATGAAAACTTAGTGTTAACTGGATAGGTCGGTCTTAATCCAATGTTGATGGTGTGGAATATAGATAATATGAGAATGGTTTGTTTATTTAATGATGTCTTGAAGAATGGTATATCTAATTGTTGTTTTTCAAATGATGGAAAGAGTGTAGCAGCTATTGCAATGGATGATGATCATTTCATGGCTGTATATGATATTGAGATAGCCATCAATTCAAGGAAGGATCCAAAGAATTAAGCATCTCCCTTGATTGCCAGTGGAAAATTAACTAAATAAGAAATCTTTGATATTAAATTCTTACCAGGCGATTGGTAAATTGTTGTTGCTTGCATGAAAGAAATCAGCATTTGTACATGGAAAAATGGTACAATTCTGGCTGAAAGAGGAGTTTGGAAGGAACAATAACCACAACCAGTCTTGACCATTGCTATCAATGGAGAATACATTGTTACAGGTGTTTTCAATGGAAATTTCTTGTGTTGGAAGAAAAACATTTGTGTTAAGAGTGTGAAGGCTCATGTTACTCCAGTCAAAGCAATCATGACAAGATCAGCAGGTAGAGGAATCATCTCTGCTGATAAGAGAGGTATCATTATGGGTTGGGATCCATAATTTAATAAAGTGTTTGAAATTGACACCAAAGATTTACCACTCAAATTAAGTTATCCACCCAAAGGATCACCTAATGTCATTTCTATCTGTGAAAGTCCTGAAGGCAAAATATTGTTCGGTACCAGAAGATCTGAGATTGCAGAAATCCTGAGTTATGAAGAAGGATAAAAAATATAATGTAAATTACTTATGCAAGGACATTTCAATGGGGAATTGTGGGGATTAGATACACATCCAACATAAAATATATTTTATACTGTTGGAGAAGATGAAATCTTAGGTATGTGGGATGTCAAATAGAAGAAATTACTTAAATCAACACCTAATTAATATGCTAGCAAAACACTGAGTGTTAGTCAAAATGGTAAATGGGTAGCCACTGGTTGTTCTAATGGAAGAACATTTATCTATGATGCAAGTTCTTTAAAAAAATTATCAGAAATCACTGAAGTAGTTGACCCTGATAAAGAAATCATTTCATTAATAAAATTCTCTCCAAATAATGAAATGTTGTGTGTTTGTTACAAACCACCTTTTTCTGAAATTGCCTTCTACTCAACAAAAACTTGGAAAAAGCAATTTAAAATACCTAATTGCAAATATCATGTATATACTTTAGACTTCTCTGCAGATAGTAAATTCGTTCAATTAAATACAAGCAATTACACTATTGAATTCTATGATGTAAGTTCAGCACAACCAGTACCATTTGAAGCAGCCAAAGATATTTAATGGTTCACTTGGACTTGTATTTATGGCTGGTAAGTTTAAGGCATATGGCCAGATTGTTCTGATGGTGATGATGTCAATGCGACTGATAGATCTAAAGATGGTAAATGTTTGGTTTCATGTGATGACTTTGGTAAAATTAAATTATTCAAATATCCTTGTCCAAAAGAAAAAAGTGGATGTATCAAATATACAGGACATTCCTCATATGTTTGTGGAGTTAGATTTACAAATAGTGGTGAGCATATCATTTCAGTTGGAGGTGATGAACTATCCATATTTTAATGGAGATACATCTTTTCTCCATCCCGATTAGATGTTTAAGACATACAAGAGGAGCCTGAAAAAGTTGAAGAAAATGCTGATGGAGCAATGTTTGAGTAAGAAGAATTAGATAAGGGTGATATGATTGGAGCAGTCAAACCATTTTTAGGTGAAGTTTAACACTCAGTTCCATCATGGTACAAACCAAATAAGGCTAGAGATAATTAAGAACCCAAAGGCAATTTATCATTATATCATATCCATGGATTCAGATTCTCTTATATTTTGGATGAATGCAGAGACATGTTAGGTTGGACAGATAAAAATAAAGTTGTTTTTGTATCAGCTGCTTTAGGAGTAGAGGTTGATCCCAAAACTTAATAGTAAGCATTCTTTAACAAGCATGAAGAAGATATAGTCAGTTTTGCTTTGCATCCAAATAGAAACATAGCTGCCACAGGATAAATGGCTTAGGCTGGTAAAGCTAAATGCATTGATATTTTCGTGTGGGATATCGATTCAAAGGAAGTTTTGGCTAATTTCAATCAATTCCATTTAAGAGCAATAGTTTTGTTGAAATTTTCACCTGATGGGTCTTTATTGCTAACAGTTGGTTAAGATGATGACAACTCATTAGCCATATATGATTGGTAAGGAAAAAGGTAAATTTGTACATCCAACATAGATAAGGCAAAAGGTTAATGGAGCAGCTTGGAAGGATAATGAAGAATTTGTGACAGTTGGAAACAAACACATAAAGTTTTGGAAGATAAGTGGACGTAATGTTTAAGGCAAAATGGGTTAATAATAAGGTAAATTCGAATCTTAATTCTCTGTGGCTTATGCTTTCGATAATTAAGTCATAGTTTCAGGAGGAGGCAGTGGAACATTGTTCTGCTGGAAAGGTGGAAGTAGTGATAAAGGAGTCAAGGGTCATGAAGGCAAAGTCTGCTCATTTATTATGGACAAGGTCAAGAAATTATTATATTCTGGTGGATTAGATGGCAAAGTAATCTCATGGGGCTATGAAGGAGGCTAATTGGTGAAAAAATAAGAAATTATCAATTTGGCTACAAATCCACTCTTCCCCCCTGGAGTTGTTGCTATGGATTACAATGAAAAAACTCAATAATGGTTATTTGGTACCAATGGTGCTTAGATATTCTCTTATGATCCAGCCAAAAAATAAACTAGTATTGTAGTGTAAGGTCATTATGGTGAAGAATTATGGGGAGCTTGTGCTGCTCCAACTGGACACAAATACGTTACAGGAGGTGGTGATAAGACTGTTAGAGTTTGGGATATTGATTAAAAGAAGATGGTTTGTGTTAGTAAACCATTTCCAAGTGAAATTAGAGCTGTTGATTGGTCATCTGATGGTAAATTTATTATTTGTGGTGATCTCAATGGATTTTTATATCTATTAGATCCTAATACTTTATAAATTATGGATACTGCTAAGACCATATTTACTACTATGCCTAAGAGATAATCTACATATTGGATTGATGATTTAAAGATATCACCAGATTGTAAAAGGGTAGCCTTTGGTGCTCATGGTGGCGCATCACATTTAGAAGTTTGGACTATTGAATATCCAAAATTTGGTAAATAAGGAACCAAAATTTAATGTGGTTTAACTTCAGCCTTGACTGCTTTGGATTGGTCAGTTGATTCATCTATTGTAATTGTCAATAGTGGAGCTTATGAACTTAAGTATGTGGATGTAAATGCCAAGAAAAATCAACCATCCTCTAGTTAAGCTAACACAGAATTTGCTAGTTGGACTTGTAAATTAGGATGGCCTGTTTAAGGTATTTTCCCTTCAGCTGATTACAGTGATGTCAACACTGTTTGTAGAAGCAATAGCAAAAAATACTTGGTTTCTGGTGAAGATACTCAACACGTTGTCTTGATGAATTATCCTGTTGTTGTACCCAAATAAAAGAGAAAAGAATATATTGGACATTCATCTCATGTTATGAGAGTAAGGTTTACATGTGATGATAATTTCTTGATTTCTGTTGGTGGAAATGATAAATCAATTATTGTATGGAAAACTGATTTCGGAAGTGCTTAAGGAAAAGTCGAATAAGTTAATTTGCAAGAATTATGTAAGGAAGAGGGGGCAGATGATATTGATATGCCTGTTAAAAAGAAGAAGGCTTAACCACCTCCTAAAAAATAAATCAAACAAGATGAAAATTCTGTATACTCCCAAGAGGAAACTGATGAAGGAGATTAATTTATGGCATGTAAACCATGGATGGGAGCTATTAAAGAACCAACTTACTAATATTACTAAAGTAAAACAGATGGACATAAGCCACCAAAATGTGATATGGAAATTGAATATGTACACGGTTATCGTACAAAAGATATGAGAAATAATTTGTTCTTTTTAGCAAATGGCTAAGTATTATATAATGCAGCAGCATTAGGAATAGTTTTAGATGTTGGAAGTAATACCTAAACTTATTTCAATAAACATGAAGATGATATCACAGCAATCGATTTGAATCCTGTAGATAGAATGACAGTAGCTACTGGTGAACTAGGAGCTAAACCAAATATTTTTGTGTGGAATGCTGAGACCAAGGAAGTGAAATGCTAGTTCAAAGCCCCATTATAAAAAGGTATTATAGCAATGGCATTTACTCCTAATGGCAAAAGATTAGTTGCTGGAGCAGTTGATGTTGATCATTCTTTGGCAGTTTTTGATATAAGTGGAAAAGGAGCAGTATTGTGGTCAGACAAGAGTGGACCAGATGTTATTGTTGATTTAAGATGGAACACAGATGATGCATTTGTGACAGTAGGTGTTAAACATTATAAATGTTGGAAATATGATAATGGTAAATGCTAAGGAAAGAAGGGATAATTTGGAAAAGGGGCAAGTAATAATTTATCTGGAATTGCTATTAATGGAAATGATACTTTATGTGGAGCTGCAGATGGATGTATTTAAGTATGGAAAGGAGAAGCATTTATGAAACCATTACCTAGTAAACATGCTCAAATATGCGATTGCATTACAGTAACACAAGATTATGTTTTCTCAGGAGGAAGAGATGGAGTATTCTTTGTTTTAAGTAAAAATTATGAAGAAATCTTGTCTGTTAAAGTCAAAGAAAAGTGTCCAGATTCTGTGTGTCCTAGTGTCAGAGCTATATATGCTGATTTACCAAATTCCAAATTATTAATTGGAACTTTGGGCAGTGAAATTTATTAATTCTCTTGGGATGGGGGTGCTATTAATAGTTAAACAGACTTTTAGGTAACAAATCTCATGAGAGGTCATTTCTGTCCAAATTTGAAATGGACCAATGAAGTTTGGGGATTGGATATATTTTAGGAAGATTAGGATAAATTTGTAACTTGTTCTGATGATGGCACTGTTCGTGTTTGGTCTATTGCTGATAGGAAATAAGTTAAAATCGGTAGTACTCTTTTGACTGCTGATGGCAAAGAAGAGAAGAGAGATCTCAATACTGGAGATTTTACTGATTAATGTAAAGCACGAGTTGTTTGTACAAATCCAAAAGATAAAGGATTCACTGCAGGAATGAAGGATGGAACCATTAGAATATATGATGCTGAATTTAATCAAACCAAAGTATTTAAATAGGCTAAGGAATGGATCAGTGAAATTAAATTCTCTCCTGACGGTACTACTTGTGTTATTGGTTCACATGATAATGCATTATATGCCTATAAATACCCTTCATGGAAAGCGATAGGTAAAAAAATGCTAAAACATTCATCTTATATTACTCATTTTGATTTTAGTAGAGATGGTGTTAATTTGCATTCCACTTGTGGAGCATATGAGCTCTTGTTTTGGGATGTAGCATAATGCAAATAGGTATTATTTATATTTATAATTTAGTTACCTGGTGGAGCATCTGCATTAAAGGATGAACTATGGTATACTTGGACAGTTACTCTTGGATGGCCAGTATAAGGTATTTGGCCTGAATGTGCTGATGGTACTGACATTAATGCTGTCGATCGTTCCAATACTACCATAAATGGAAAGAATGATCCTAAAACTTCTTACCATTTGCTTGCATCTGGAGATGACTTCAGCCATGTGAGAATACTCAGATTCCCAAGTTTAAAGAAATCATCTGAAGCAGTTGTTGGAACTGGACATTCCTCCCATGTTACAAATGTCAAGTGGACAAAAGATGATTCGAGAATAATCTCAACTGGTGGTGAAGACTAATGTGTGTTCGTTTGGAAGGTTACAAAAAAATGAAAATATGAATATATCATAAATCAAATGGCTTACGCAAACGATAGTTTTTTAAGGTTCTGCATGTTAGATCTGGAGTTAAACATAATTCTGTTGGAGATCTGTCAGATAATTCAAGTTTTTATTCAGTTTATTATTTTTTGAATTGGAGTTATCTCTAATATTATTTTTTTGAGTTTTATCTTTATTCTTTAGGAGGTTCAGCTATTATTGGACTTCCCAAATGCACAATTTTATAATGCTCTGTAGCTTTACATAGTTTGTACCATAGATCAAGAGGTAAAAGATTATCTAGAATAACTTGCATACTTCTTTTTTATAAAATATCCTTAATTAAATATATTATTTGAATTGCAAAGTAGTGCAAAGAGCTCTGAACATTTTGAAGGTCATTAAGAATTATCACTCTTTAGGATTCAAATAAAACTTAAAGTAAACCATAATTAAACAAAATCTGCTGAATCAAATAAGCGGGAGCTTTGGAAAATACACAATTCAAAAATCTAAGGAATTAATAAAAATTTTACTTTGTAAATTATAATTAATAGTTATTATTCTCAGGGTAATTCACTAGGTGTTATTGTAGTTAATTAAATATTTTACTGCTTAAATATTTATAAATATTAGATTCTAAGTAATTTTGTCTCAATTAATTATTCAAAATAAATCCATTAAAATAAATTGATGAGATTAGATGTCTCTTAAACCCAGAATTCTATTATTTCTCCAATAGTAAAATCAAAGCTCCAATTTCTTAAATAAAATTATAAAATTATTCATTCAGCAATTCATAATAGACATCCAAATGCTCATTCAAAACCATAGTAAATAAACTATTTACTATTTAGCCACAAATTATCCCATAATCATCTTTCATAATCTTGCTAACAAAAGTTTCAAAGATTTGAACTAAATTCTCAGTTGTTAATATTTTGCTAGTTTTATCAACCAAATTACAATCCTTGCGACTTAAGAATTTCTTTTAGAATTATTATAATGAACCCAATAATCTATAAATAAATTAGAGTGATTCCATTAATCCAATATCTTTGATTTGAATGCTTTATTAATTCTATTTAAACAAACTTGCATTGGTTTTACCTGTTGCCTAATAGATTCTAATTAATTTATTTTGCGATAAAGTATCCTCTTGATTATCTGATCGTCTTAAGCTTGAAGAAGATTATTTAGATTTTTAACTCAACTATGCATCTTTATCCACTGATAGATTCTTAGAACTTTCTCGTGATAAAGGAGAGTTTACATTTTTGAGAGGAGATTTAAGAGAATTGGTATTGATTTTAGGCAATGAAACCTATTTTTTCTTTTGAGGTATTTCAATTATTTGTCTTCCATATTTTGATACTCTTTGTGAATTTGCATTTTGATCTTCCATTTGGGCCTTGGGTTCTATCGAAGCTTAATTCTGTTTATGCTCTTCAATCATTTTTTCCATCTTTTGAGGATCAAAATTTTATTTATCGTCGTTGAAATGCTTTAAATTATCTATATCTTTGCTATTTAGGAAATCATATGATTGTAATTCATTAAATTTCTCACTTGTGCTGAAAGTTTAAAAGAAATAAGATTGATTTGGAGTCACTTGTTGCTTTATGGAACCTCTCTGGTTTCTATTTAATGATTGCAACATGCTCAAAACTTAAGTCTAAATTGAATAATAAATATATTATACTTTTCTTTCACTCTGATAGTTTTCATCCTTTTTACTTACATCAATGTTCTGTTTAAATAGAAAAGTAAATAGATATTAGAACCAATCTGTATCATTTACATATGACCATACTTATTCTTGAACAAAATATCCAAGTTGATATTTATCTGTGTCTAAATCCAAAATTTCCAATACTATATTAACAATGGAGGTATTATAAAAAAACTAAGTAAAGCAGAACAGTAGATTTAATTTAATTATTTAATATATTGCGTGTTTGGGGCACATTTCTAATATTTTATTTATTAATGAGCCCAAATGATACAAGTTAACATTTTCTTCTGGATCTCGGAGTACCTTGTATATCAGATGAACTAGTTAAACATATTTTATTACATATTTTTGGTATTAAATTTTGCATCTTAAGTTTCAAGATTTCTAATTTTGTACAATGTAAAACTGAATTTAAAGCCTTATATGATCTTACAATTAATAAATCCTCTAATTCAGAGCAATTTATTTTAAATCCTTAATATTCTTTATCAAGGGTTGCTTCACCATATTTAGTATTCCAGTCATCAGTTAATTCATACTTCTGCGGTTTAATGATCATTTTAAGAAATAAGCATAAGTCGATTGAATCATCAATCAGATTGACTTAGTTTTATTTGCATAATGCTATTTAATATTATTCAATTTGCTATTTATGAACAGCTTTTTAGTCTACTTATGGGCTGTTTTCTTCGGAGTTTTGATTATATTAAGATGGATTTTCCATTTATAATTTGTATTATTCATAAAGCTATTGCAAACTTTGTTAATTCTGCTTAAGTTTTAGATTAAATCTTGATGGGATTAAGGTTTGCTTATATATATCAATTTCGGACTAGAATGTATCAACCCAAGGTAAATTCTTAAATGTTGTCTTTTTCAAATTCTCAAATGATTCAATTAACGCAAATATCAATTCCTTATTATTTGTATTATGCAAATAAATTCTGTATATGTCATAAATTCTTGACATATCAATTCTTAAATCTTGTGCCAGGGAAAAGTATTTGGAGAAATGAGAGCATACATACAACTTTACTTTTGTCATTTATTGCTGAGCGGAATCAGAAAAGTTATAAAAATGGTCTAAACCAGTTTTACCTTCCTTTCTTACAATATATCAAAATATTACAATTTTCTTTGATAAACATCAAATATGGATTATTTCTTATATCCAGCAGCCTTACTTTCCTAAAATTCTCCAATCTAAGAGATTGCCTAAGTGAATGCCCAAAAGAATTTCTCATTTTTGTAATAATCGAAAAATGCTGAGATCAACATATCAATATTTTACTCTTGGTAGGGGTAGCAACATATTACTAATTAAGATAGTAAAATTATTTACAGAACTTTATGAGTGCTGTGCTTTCAATTGTCTCGATTTTAGGCATTTCGGATGTTATTTCTTTGATACCTTCGCTTAACAGTTACAGTCTTTGGTATTCATCTTCAGTTTTAAGCTAGAATCAAAAAAATTTACTTACAGCTTTATAGAGAAGCATAGAGCAGATTTATTAAATTTACAAAATTAAATTATTAAATTACTTCTTGTTTAGTAAAATGCTTTAATGCTTGATATATGAATTTGTAATTAAAAAGGAAAGCCATTTTTGGATTGTAAGTACTAATTTTACTTTTAGCATTTTTTTATCATAAATAGTATATAATCTTCTGTAAGTATCATGAATTAAAATATTACAATTAATTGTAACTATAATTTTGTTTCCAATGTAGTTCATCCATTTTTTTGAAAATATCATCATAAAAAAAACAACTCACTTTTCTCTAGAATTAGGCAGTTTCGTAATAACAATTTCTTGTAAGGTAATTCCTTATATAGATAAGTTCACTTATCAACTGATAAAATTAGAAAGTAGAGTAAATACAAATTCTTATAAATACTGTCTTTTTAATTATAATGGGGATGAATATTAACGAAGTTGATGTTTTTATTACGATCAATTCATCAAGTTGTATTCAATTAAAGAAAGTTAAGATATTGCAAGGTATGTGAGAAAAATAACACTAAAAATGTTGTTTTGAGGTTTAGGTAAAAAAAGAAATATAAATAACTAATTCATCATGAGATTGACATGAGAGGTTCATTGTAGGTTTAAGCGTTTCATTTTCTTTTTGAGAATTTTCAAATCCTTTTATGAGAAATCTATTTACGGATTATTATATAGACTTTCTTCGTCCATCGAAGAGATCTTTTATATTAAAAAATCTAAAAATTTAATTATAATAACTACTTTTCCATTCAGTTTCATACTAGATATTTGCTCTGAGGTTCTTTTTGTATTTCATTTTTCTAATCTGTTTACTCTATCCAGTGCGTGATCTTTTGCTTGAACCCCTTGACTATTAAGGGGATTAGCTGACTGTGTAATACAATTCAGTTGCTTGAGGATAATCTCTATCTGAATTGTTTAATTGATCCTCAGAAATATATCTTTGCTCTTCTTCTTCATTGTAAATATTCAAGCTCATCGACATTTAATAAATATTTATAATTAATATATCATTAATTTATTTAAAAAGGATCATATAAATTTAATTTTGAAATTATGGAATGATTGCCTACATCAATAAATTTTAGTCTAATAAATTACAATTAAATCTAATCTTAGTTGAAACATTAAGAGTATTAGACTGGTAGAGTACAAATTTACACTTTTTGGAGTATCTTTATTTTTGATGATATAAGTTCAATCAGGATGATGGAAAATATCTCATTTTTACTAATAGTGTCTAGTTTAATCAGTTTATCTAAAAGTTGGTAGCCTTTTAATTCAACAAATAAAGTATTATTTTAATGAATTGTAATTATTAAAAAAAGAAATAAAATACTCGAATTGTAATAATATTTAAAATACTGTTTTTGGATCATAAGGAAACCGTACATTTTAATTGTAAACCCATTTGCTTGTTTTCTAGGTCAGTCAAATCATCTTATATTCATAAATATACATTTACCTAATAATATTAATTCTTAGATATTACCTTAAGCATCTTCTAATAGGGAGAACAATGATTAATTATATTAATTAGCAATTCGTAAACCAGACATGGTAGAGGATAGTCTAATCAGTTGGTTTATTTAGTTTATGACTCTTGTAATAGTGATATTGTATCATACATTCTTGTTTGAATTTTCGACTATTAGGAAGAGAAATTAAAAGCCTATTTAGCAACAGGGGCAATAAAAGCCCTTGTAATGGCAAAGAAGCCTCTCATCACAAATAAAATTAATAAATATTATAATATAATTTGTGTACGATCGATTTATTGTTTTTTTGATCATCTTCTTCCAGGGCAGATCCTGCTTAAGATAATAGCATTAATTCATTATCCCATCCATCATTCAATTCTTTGTTTTGTTATTATCTTAATAAATTTAATTTGAATACCTGGTAGCCCATCCAGCATTAACATTATCAAGATTGTTTTGAACAGTGCTTAAATTGGTTTAGGCATCTGATAATAACCCTTATTTTAGTATTGATTTCTCCATCCTTGGTTTCGATGCCTCCTTTCAATTATGGTATAATTTCAGTGTTCAACAAAAAAAATTGATAGTCTCTTCTAATGAATTCATAATTTTATTATTATTGTTCTTTCTACCTATGCATTCATTTACAAGGCTTATTTGAAAGCTACTAAATCTCCTCTCAAAGAATGAAGTAATTTAATTGCATTTCCTACTTATTCTTAATCAGCAAACCTATTGTAAATAATGTAGATTACCCTGAAGTGCTCATTTCAGTGAGAACCCTTGATAAGGGTTCAAATAAGTGAGGAAGATGGGATAATTCCCCTAATCTTCTAGAGAAAGTTGCTGCTGATACACTTAAATCTTGTAAATCGATCTCGATAAATGATAATTCTTTATTTCACAATAATGCATACATTTAAGGACTGATAATTTAGCAATATGCAACATATCATCTAGTGCTGTAAACAAAAGACTAAAGTCTACATCTGTAAATTATTGCAATGTTATCATATTTAATATCGTTTTACCCAATTTACTGTTACTTAGTTTTCCTAACTATTCATCAAACATACTTGCCTAGCTTATTCATATATCTGACTTAAATACTTTGTGATCTGAGTGCATTATGTTATTGCTACCATGCATAATAGTGCACAAACTCTCATTAATGAAATGGATATTAAAAATATATTTATACAAATATCACATCATGATTTAATCAAATTAATTGATTGAAATCCTTCTAACTATTTTAGCATTTTTTTATCGCTGTTCTATTGAGAATCCATTCCTTCTGGATTTTACATAATCGATCTTCTCACAGATTCAGAAGAACTGTGATAGGATAATTACCTTTGCTTCAGTAAATATTCTTCCACTATATCAGGTTTTGGATGCAAAAATAAGATTTTATTAATCTCTATCTTAAATTCAATAAAATTTAGTAGAACTTCTAAACACTTTGTTTTATCTTGCAAATAAATGCTCATATACTATATTAATATCTTAATAATTACTTTCTTAATTGAGATCTCAGTCCCAAATTCTTGCATTTGATCACTAACATCATAAATCTTAAAAAAGATAAGAGCCTCCTTCCCTTCTATAAATAGTATAATAAACAATCTCTTCAGAGTGTTCAAATTACCAACCTTATGTAAAATCAAACTTCCATCCTTTTTTGCCTACTCCAATGTCCCTCTGTATATATTATAATGATTTTTCAAAATTCTATTTCTAAACTTCTCCTACATAGGCTTGATTGAGTTTTCCACAAAAAACACCACATTTCCTTCGTATTTTAACTTTATTAATTATTAGTCTTAATAATCAAAGCATAAATAAATGAATTTGTTATTTGCTATCTATATTTATTGAATTAAGATATTTGCAATATTTTCTATGGTAGACTGATGAGTTATAATTTATGCATCATCAGGAGTCAGAAACCAGAATATAGGTTATATTCTTTCTTTTAAATCTAAGACTTGAGCCTTGATTTCGAAAATTCTATGATGGTCATCAAATACACAATCCCTATCTTATAACAATAATTTGTTGATTTTTTTTCTAACATAACTTATTACAATCAAGTGTTTCTTACCCTAAGAGTAAAACGTTCTTTTTGACAATACATTATTGGAATGAGGTCTTTAAGTTAGTCTCACTTTTTTAAAAAATTCAGGAATATTTTATTAAGATTCTTATTTATTTTTTGATAAATTGGTAGGATTTATGAAAGAAGATTAAATCCTACTTTTATCAATAAGTAAATTTCCACTATTTTGCTCTACTTTGACTCCTTTAATTAATAAATTTGAACTTAAAATTTTCATGGTGTTAGGATTATTAAAATTGAAGTTTGGATACAGCTTTTTGACTTCTTATAGATCAATTTATAGTTTTGTTACATCATCCTAAATATCTTCTTCTTGCTTTTTATTAATAGTGTTTTTTGAATTAGTATAAACTATATTAACAATAGCATCATTAGTTCTGTCTTGATCTATAAGTATTTCCTATTAATCTTTGGTGATTAATCTACCATTATCCTGTGGGACTTCTTCATCCTTTTGATTAATTAATTATGATTAATTGAATTTATAATTTTCATCAACTTATAAAAACTTATTTTCATCAAACTTTATTATTTTTTCTTCTATTTTAATTTTATTTATGAAGAATTCATATAAATTTTACTATCCGAAACTTATTAATTAAGAATTATCATAAAAGCAGGTTGTTTTTAGTTTATTCTATCTATTTTATTTCTGAACTGGAATTAATTCAAAAGTCAGCTAGATTTAATCTTCGATTTTTCCATCTTATTTATACACATTAATAATATAATAATTTTAAATATGATCTTCTTAAATTAATTTAAAAGTTCTCATGACAAATTTACCAGTAAAGTATCTATTTTTTTCTTGCAATTATCTATTTCTTAGAACTTTCAAATGTATCCAATCTTTAAATAACTTTTTTCTAAAAGCTGCCTATGCTGTTAAAATACAAACTATAAAAATTTAATACTTTGATTCATTCTTAATTCTTCTTTTTCTTTTCTTCTGAATATTCTTTTCAGTAAAGGCGATTGGAATCTCAAGTTAGAATTAAAATTTAATGAAATTGATGTGCAGGTTCTTTTGTATCAATTAAATCAAAGGATTTATTAATGCTCTATAATATTCTATTGTTTTCATCTTGTCATATGATTACAATTAAGCAAAGTCAATTCTCTAGAAATCTATTTGATCTTACCTTTTATGCAAAGATTAATACAAAATCTCCTTCTCCTACTACAACCCAACTAAATTAATTATAAATTATTTTTCTCTGAATCTCCTTTTGTTTTGTTCAATCTTACCTTTCTCTATAACCCTTCCTTTATGGGTTATAAAACTCAATTCTCTCATTGTCAATTGTAAATGGTAATTGTGTTTAATTAAAAAGTAATCTATTTCTACATAATTCGAATAATGATTTAAGATAAATTTTTAAAGAAAAAGCTTTGATCGTTTTAATTGCTTGTAAATTTTAAATTTCTCAACCATCCTTTTTACCAAAAGCATCCCTTAAATCTTTAAAACAAACTTTTCCCTCAAAAGTAAGGATATCCCAGGCCTCAACTCTTCAAAATTATGAGTGTACTATATTTCATTTATTATTAAGACTTTTGTGAGCGCTTGTGCAAATCCTTTGAAGAAGTTAATCACTCTAAGATTAGATAGGTTTTGTAGATTATCATTAATGTACTTGGACTGAAATTCATTTGAATCAACTTCAATAACTCGTTTTTCTGAACCAATTTAGTATAATAGAATAATTCTTAAGAGCATAGGCGCTCTTTGAAATTCAAAACTTATTGTAGTTGAACCCTTCTAATAATTTCCAATAGCTACTTTATCACTATGCAAAGCCTTGTATGCCTAATCTGTATTTTTGGCACTAATTTAATTTCTCTCTAGTTTAGTTGATTTATCTTTTTATGATTTCAGATATTCATCTATTATATATTGCATTTAGATTTCATCGATATTAAAGATTAATTTATCCTCGATTACACTCAAGCATGGCAACAATAATTTACTGAAGTTTACCTTAAAATATTCATCAGGTATTTGATAATACTCTTAAAGCTAAGTAATTGTAATTGAAATTTCAGACACTTTTTATGTTATTTAATTTTCTGCTTAAACACTAAAAGTCTATTCATTGATTAAATATAATATCAGCAATTTGAATTTCGCTTCATTAAATTCAACTATTAATTCTCCAACAAATTCTTTTTGGAATAGAGGAGAATTTTCAGATTACAAATCACTAATGGAATTCTGACCAAGCTAGGTTTCTTAAAATAATGTAGGATTTGTTCCATATTCGGTACAAGGCAATGTATTTAAAACGTATGTCTTTATTGATGTTTCATCATACTCTTCAACATATTTGCTTTACTTTCCTTTCATGTTCGTTCTGTGTTTGTGAAGCCTAAATAATGATTAGAGAACTTTGATAAAATTCATTTGTTTGTATTCTTCTAGCTAATGATGTATCACCATAGGTGGAAACTCCACATTGATGATAGTAGATTATTATAAGTACTTCTAAGTTAAAGTGGAACTGATAATTTGTCTTGCTTATATTGTATTTTCTCTATAGGTATCGTCATCCTATTAATCAGGATTTTATAATGATATGAATTAATTGTAAGTCTACTCTACACTTTTACAGTCAACTTTATCAAGACCTTTCTTATTTTTGATAATTTAAGAGAATTCTATCATTTTTTGTGCAACTGAAGTTATCTCACTAATTTCCAATGGTTGAAATAATCTTTAATAATAAGGTAAAACTGTATCAATAGAAAAGGCATGTTCCAAATGCTTAGACGTTATAGTAATACTTTGATATTCACTCTTCCCAGTCAAAGATGACTATGGATCTGTCTTCTCAATATCTAAAAAACATGTAGTCAAACATGCCTTATCACCAATATAAATCATTGCTCTTCTTGCCAACATCATTCTTTCAATCACTTTGGACGGATCTTTAGTTAACCGTTCTTCAATGGCATTCCTAATTTAACATCTTCTTCTCACCAAATATCTCATGACTGCTCTTTATATAATTATTACACACATCTTTGCCTTTGTTATTTATTCCCATAACCTTGCTGACCTTTGAGAATACTCTTTCTCTCTATTTATCCAATACAAAGCTTCATCGGTATATTCAATATAAGGTGTAACTAAATCAACGTTAAGTATTTCAAATATATTTTCACTACAAACATCTCCCATTTATTTAAATACAACTTGATGGATCTCTAGGTCATTTGATTTACCTTAAGTTTCATGATTTATGATATAGAGATAGTTCACCTTGCTATGGATATTTCTTGACTTCACTATCTGCAGATATTAATTCTTATTTGTTCTAATCAAATAAGTTTCACATATTTATTTTGTCTTATTATTAACCCATTTTGACATTCTTAATCTTTATAAATGTCCTCTGACAAATGATTATATGTATTTTATTGCCTTTTCTTCATATTAGGTTAATTATTTATTGTATAATGGAGGCTTCATGACTCTAATTAGTTCATATTATGGTACGACATCTGTATAATCAAAATTATTGATGCCTTAGATTATTATTTTATTATTTTCAATTAAGACTAATTCTTATAAAATTGCTCCTATTTTTTCAATTTATACTATAAATTATTTATTTGTTTCTGTCTTAGCCCTAACGATATATTTGCCATCCACTTCATTTAAATATAGAAATTATTAGGTTAAAGTCACCAGATTTCTGATGTTTCTCAATAGTTTATTTTCCTCTACAATGAGACTCTCCAATTCCTCACAATATTAAAACAATAACCCTAAAGTCTTTAAAAAACTTTCTATATCCATTTCCAAATACAAATAGTTCTCCTTTCTTTTTTCTTTCATCGCATTCACTAATGCAAATCTCACAAATGAGTTATCGTTCATAATCGAAAAAGTGAACACATAAGGCTCCTCTGTTTGAATTCCTTCTTTTATTATAGGATTACAAAAGCCCTATCTGATAGTTTGAAACTACTTTGCTTTAATCAAATACTGTTAGAGTCTTCTTTATTGGCTTGCTTTATATTTTAAAAGATAAGTGACAATCTTTGACATGGCTTTTTATTATTTTTGATAGTACTACTTCAATCTGCTCTATTGAATTAATTTGGCTTTAATTTCTCTGAATTTCATCTCTTAAACCTTTTTTTTAATAAACCTTTGTAATTTCTTTAATTTTAATTCATCAGACTTTAATAATTTACCCTTATCTTTAAACGCTTTTTTAAGGTTGTAAAAATTCTTCCTCTCCTTTTTCATCCTAATCTAAGCTTGTATCTTAGTTATTTAGTCTGTATTATAAATCTACTCTTCTACTTCTCTGATAATCTATTTTTCCTTCTCGATTAATGAATTGTCAAAATAAATCCTTTGAGGACTCTACTTATTAAGAAAACTTAATCTAAGATCTTTAGCACTATTTCTCAATAAAATGGATCCCCTATTATAAGGAGAACGCTCAGTTGACCTCTATTATTTAACTTCCTAGTCAGAATGCTCTGAATTTGACCATTAATCTATTTCAATTTTTTCAATCTATGTTTTCAATTTTGGTTTAGTAGAACTAATTACATTGAGTGCCAACAACTTCGCCTTAATATCTTGAACTTTATCTCTATTAGTATCCTATCTTTCTTGATCTGTCTTTCTTCTCAAAATAGAGGATGTATGATCTTTTTTTACTGTTTCATTTTCAATAAAATTTATTTTCTTTCTCTATATCAACTTTCTGGTTTGACTAAGAGGACTTTATTAGGGCGTTGTTTATTAGAAGCTTTCATCTGTAAGGACATCGAAATGTTTTTTTAATGATAAGACCTTTTTGAAGAGAACTGGAGATTATTCATTCATGTGAACAATTAATTTTTATTTGGCCTACTAATGTCCATTATAAATTTTTTTAAATAATGGATCCTAATTACCTAGGTGCTCTACAACGAACTACAGAGATCGCTTGTATTATTTGACTGCCTCTTTCAAGCGATCCAAGGATTCCAATTCAAAGCCATAATTATAATGAGCCATAGCTAAATATCTAATGGTTTAGTTAGAGTTTGAATCAAATTCTTATTAACCTGATTAGATGGCACTCTTTGCTTCCTTTAAAGCCTTTTCATGCCTTAGGAATATTAAATTTCAAAATAATACAGATTCATTTGACTCAAGAGTGCTGTGATATTCAAATGAGTAATGGTTTTCATTTTTAATTGATCATATTACTAGATCAAGGAGAGTGCATTTTCAAAAGCATTAATTGCCAATTGTGTTTGGTTCATCCTCCTATAAACACAACCTAAATTATTGTAAGCCAAACATCTAAAATTCAAATTTAGTTATTATTTTACATTTAAGTGGGCATATCTTAATAATCCCGACGTTAGATTATCCATTACAGAATGAGTATGCATATCTCACTCAATCCATTTTGGTCCAAAATCTTCATAGCATATTTGTTGAGAGATTTAAACATATTTTCTACTTCTTTTTATTAAAACTGTGTGCCTTTCAACGCAATCAATTCTAAAATAGCACATTGTGAAAATACATTTCTCTTTCAGTCCTAGTAACTCAATAATATTATTTTTTTTCAATGGCTACTCTGATGTTTCGAGATAAGAAGATTTGAAGGAATTCTTATTGTTAATTTGTTGAAAAGATATTTTCCTAGAAATTGGCGATGACTCCTTTCTTTGAGCAGGAAAATAAGCAGAGTTCGTTCGTATTGGTTACATTTAGTAATATATTTATTTTTCAATTCGATTAGTTTAATCAACCAAATACTTTTTAACAAATATCCGTCTCCATGGCTCTTTTGAGATCAAACGTTCTAATCTGACGGTAAAATATCCCATACATGATTAAGATTAACAATTTAGTTTAATATAACAAAATCAAAAAATCTACTCCAACATAATTGTACTGAGTCTCCTTATTAAAAGAGGTGACTTATTCATTTTCAATTGAGTGCTCTTTATTGTACTACTGGAATTGAATTCAGAGATTTCACTGTCAGAATCTAAAGTTTTTTAAGAGAAAATGGTTTGTTTTTTAGAGACTTCAAAATTTATCTATTTTTTTTGTGGATCTGTTAATTGTTCAAGCCTCAAATCATTATTCAAATACTGAATAATGTTTTTCTCTCTTTCATTTAATTAATCGGTTAGCATCTAAACATCCTTACAATCATTCATTATAATTTTGCTTATCTTTATTATAATAAAGTGTTAAGATAAGCATAAATTTAATTAAAAAGTGCCTTAAATCAAAACTTATTACATACTTGCAAACTAATCGCATTGGAATAAACAAAAATGTATATATGAATAATCCTCTCCTATTGGTCAGAAAAGATTTCAATTAATTAAAAATACTTAACTCTCACTATATATTATTTAATATATAATAAATATATGGACATATCAAAGATTGGAAGTTCGGCTATTGATAAGTCCTTTGGTAGAGGAGGACAGGGAAAGGATGCAGTGGTAATAGTTTCTAATTTGGAAATACATAAACCTGTTGTCACTTTTTGTGATATGAGTCAGGCATAAAAAGAATTTGCATTTGAAACTGCTGAACATGCTTTTAGTAATTAGCTCTTATTAACTCCAAGAATTATCGGCTAAAAGAGAAAAGAGATACTTCAAAGACATAGCAGAATACATAAAAAATGAGTTTGATAATAAATTTTAAGGGACTTGGCATGTAATAGTAGGTTTGCATTTTGGGTCATTCGTTTCTTACGAGAGCCAATGCATGATACATTTCTACTTGAATCAATTGGGATTCATGATTTACAAGTTTGGCTGAGCTATTTTGTATGAACTATTATAGGATTATAAGAATTAATATTTGTTTTTATTCAAAAAGTACTCTGTTTTAAATTTAATTGTTACTTTCCTTCTTAAAAACTAAATTCTAAGTAATTTTGTCGTAGAATTCAATATACAAATGCTGTCAGATGCACAGCAATCAAATTGAGTGCAAGAGGAGAACCAGTCTCTTTCATGCACTTATTTTAATATGTGAATTTTTAATATGAGTTTTAGATCTTATTTAATGAACATCTATATATAGGAATCAAATAACAAATCCTACTTCGGCACAACCAAAGTTAGTTCCCTTAGCATTTTAGAACCACATTTAGACAACAATTTTGCCCTATGCACATATTTTAAATATCTTACAGATGGAGTAAAAGTTGGGAAGTTTTAGGTCAATTCATAGGTGACACGATCTCCTTTGTCATAGACTTCATCTTCTGGGTAATTGTCTTCAAAAGCATCCATGCCATTCCATTTAGCTTTGAGTTGTACGTTGGCTAATTCTGCATGCTCATTAGCTGATCCATAAAGTGTGATTGTTTCATCTACACCCTTAGCTGGAGTAACACTGAAGGTTGCCTCAGTGAAAACAACTTTTGGATTGGCCATACAATTGGTAACTTTAGTTGGAATAGCTGCCAATATGGTTGATACTAGCAATAAGGCAATAAGGTATTTCATTTTATATAATATTATTAATATTAATGTGACTTATAATTTCTGCTTTGAATACCCACATTACGCAATCGAATTTATATCTCAATGAATAATATTATTTTCACTCTTTAAATTAAATAAAACTTATAATTAATATAGAATGAACCTCTTTAAAAAAATAATATTATCTCTATTATCTATATGTACGGCAATAATCATATAATGACTTAATCCAAAAAAAATCAAACAATTTAAAAAAAATACATATTGAATTTTTAGAGGTATTTGTGAAGATGAATTGATGCTACCTTGCATAAAGTAAACTTAATACGCGATATTCACATTAGATAATATTGTCATCATACAAGGTTGGAGAATAAAATTTATCAATCAATTATCAAGATTTAAAAAAAATAGACTTATTTCAATTAAAATTATCGATGCAGTTAAGACTAACCCCTCTAAATAAATTAAAGATTAATCTCTCATTCAATTAAATGCGTATTATCTCGGTTTTTTTTTGATTACGTCAATTTTAAGAAAGATCACCAGAAGTGATAGTTAATACAAAAATCAAATTAAATAATGACTTTAATTTATCAAATTAGTGGATTTATGAAACAATTAAAGAATTTTTAATGATTGTGTATGAAATTCTATTTTTATCATTTCAATCTCAGGATTATGCCTTTGAATATTGGAATACCACCAAAGGACAACTATTTCTTATGATATATACTATACATTATTCAATTAATTATTATTGCACATGGATTGGGATTTCTTCTTAGATAATTTGAATTCCCAAGAGCGGGATCTCTCTCTGGGATCTTCAATTGGATCTTCAGCTGGACCACAAACTGGAGTCGTTAACTACAATTTCATCAAATCAATTACTTGAGATTTGGCTTTTTTCTAACTCACATTAGGAACAGCTCCAGCTTCTCTCTCTTTTTTGATCAGAATGAGTTATTCCTAATTTAAATTAGATACTAAATACCTTCTCGATCTTTTTTAGATGCAAACATTGTGATTTGAGAATGAAGTTTTTCATAATCAAACTCTTGCACACTTCTTTGCATAAGAGGAGAGTTTTAAAGAAGTAATCTAACTGTATTCTTCTCTCCTCTACTAACTCATCATTCTGGTTGGTGGATCTCCACCAATTAGTCGGAGGAAACTTCGGCAAACTGCCTTTAAGAGTTTATAATGATTCATGTAATTTCTTTAAATGTGAATAGCGATAATCGACTGAAAAGGAACACCTTTAGTTATTCTCAGTAAATCTATATTTAAGTTAATATGAGTATCTTACACTAACTAGTAGTATACAACATCATCATTTTTTTTGAAGGAAGGAACGCAAATTGAAATTGCAAACTCATTTTCTTACATATAATTATTTTTATTAATGTTTGATAATCTCTTCTTTTATTTTTATATAATACATTTTTTTGTCAAATTATAGACTTATTGATAAAAAAGACATCAGAATCTTTCTTTGAGTCACACAAATTCTAAAGGATTTTGGATTTTTTAATTTTTAAATATAATTTAAAATTCATTACTTCAATTCTGTAATTATCTTAATATTGAATAATTGTTAGATGAAAATGAAATGTATTTGAAATCGTTTTCAAACTAACAACTATTAATAAAAGATGAATTAAATATTAAAAACAAAAACATAATTAATTATTCATTTTTCAAATTTAAAGGTGACCAATTTTCTCTGTTTAATTCCCAAAGTAGCTTGAGTTGACATCTTTCCTCTTAACGTTTATTTGCTATATTTAACATCAACTAAATTGTCTTAAGTTTCTTCTCTATATTCTTCTTTTCGAAACAAACTCCGAATTCTCGAGAGTAATTTAGCAATAATCTTGTACTCTTTTATCAAGAATTCATAATGTTGCTTAATATCAAGAATGAATTGATATATGATCAACATTGTACAAGCCCCAATAATAAACCATCCTATAAATAATTCCTTATTCTCATCTGGACCTTGTTACTAAGAGTAGTATAATCCTAAAATCAAGATTTCAGCTATCCAAATAAAAAATTCTGATCCAACAGTCTTATAAAATTCATACTTGTCTTCTAATGGAGTGTTATATATGATGTAAACCGAAAAGATCACGTTAAGCATGGAACACGTTATGATTTATAAGCTGGCATCATAATAAACATTAACCAAAAAGAATATGAAAAGTATCTTCTTGCAAAGGAGGACAAGATTGTAATAGTTAGCGTAAGGCTTGGTGTGTTAGATGTATACTCCCTCATACAAGGATCCATATTTCTATTTGATAAAGAATTGTTCATAGAAAAATGGTTGATTGCTCATAAAAGTAAAACCCTTGAACAAAAAGAACATTTGGAGTAATAAAAATACTATACTTAAAGCAAAGCTGGATTACAATAATGCATTATCTGTATTGGGTGCTCTAATTTACAAGAAGATGGAGAGATTGTAATCATAGGTAACAGCCATGAAAGTTCTAATTAAGCCTGAAGTGAACTCTCCAATAATGTTAAGGAACATTTTAGAAATGTTTCTGCTGATTCTGAACAAAATGAACTTGATAACATTAGGTTCTTCTTCTAAAGAGGTGTCATTCTCATCGGAGTAGTATTGTAAGAGCTTAGCCAAGAATACAAATCCGACTCTGCAGCCAATAAAGATTGCCAAAGTTGTCAAGAAGACTATCAGAACAGCAACTGAGTTGATATAAAAAGTAGTGGAATATCCTTACAAAGCAAACTTGTAATCTGGCTCAGGAGAAGTGACATGATTATTGATGATATCCTCGATATTAACTACGCTTTTGATGAAATCGAATTGAGCAAAATCAAATAGTTAGAAATATGTATCGACATTATAGGGATACAAAACATTGAAAAACTGCAAATATGAAATTAATTACAAGATATCCAGCAAGTTCCAAAAGATCTGCAATCCTCCCACTAGAAATGCAAATATGGCTAACCCAAAAAGTACATACAACACATATTTACTAAAGTTCAGAAGTCCTTCTGTTGCTGCGATGACCGATTGAGATTATTTATAAAATGGTATCAAGGGGAATTCAAAGGAGGTCTCTTTGAATGTGAACCCTTGTTCACTGATATAATTATCAGGGTTGAGTATTTTACATACTAAAATTGGGTTTTCAGTTCTCTCATTGATTTGGAGTTTGAGAACTGTTTTTAAAATGTTGTAGTCTTCTTTGGTTTCTATTTAAAAGTCAGAGATTAAGATTTCAAATGACTCAGAATTCTTAAAAGAATATAAACATATGTTATCAACTTTTCCAGTAACTTTGAGTTTGATATCGGTGGTTAATTCTAAATTTCTGATTCCATCGTGTTTATTATCAAATTTAGATTCGGTCAATTGAATGATCGGATAGAGTATTCTTTCACAAGTATTTTCACATATCCATCCATCTTCAACCTTACATTAAGTGCATCCATCGCCACTTTTATCATTGCCATCATCACATCCTTCCTTATCTACTTTGAGTCCATCTCCACATATGGACACACAACTATTGTCTAATATTTGATAACCCTTATCAATTTAGCACATAACACATTTTGTATGATTTGTATCGTATAAGACACAGGAAGTGCAATTATCAGATCTAGTGACACATGTCAAACAGGATTAATCACAACGTTCACATTGATTAGCTTTATTTATAAAATAGCCATCAATGCATTTAACACAAACTCCCATTTCACATTTAGAACATAAGGCATTGAAACAGTATGAATTTGGTAATAAACACAGATAACAACCATCCTTGGGATCTGAATTACCATCATCACAATCTTCATTCCATTAGACAATCTTATCACCACATTTACTATAACAATAATGAGTAGTTGGGGGATTAGAGTAATTTCTACAATCTGAACATTCCTTCATGTTTGATTCATAGTAACCTCTCTTGCAATTACATGCAAAGACAGTCTAACTGATGGAAGGTTCTCTGGATGATGGACATCTAGTGCACATATCAATATTTGGAGAAGGTAAACATTATTGACAAGAGAAGTGACAACTTTGACAACTGAGTTGATTTTCAACTTCAAAATGTCCAGACATGCATATGCAAGTACTATTTCTGATACTCAATCTTCTATTTTAAGAGGTGTAACAAGATAAGCAATTCGTTAGACTAGAACAGGTTAAACATTTAGGATTGCATTTAGTACAAACAGAGATGCCTTCATCAAAATAGCCATCTTAACATTCACATTTTCTATTGAGAATGGTTCTAAATTAATCTGGATAACAACTAGTACAGTAATTAGCAAAGAAACGACAAGTGTAACAGGTTTATTCACACTAACTGCAATCTAAAAAGTTCTCTTGCTCATAATACCCTTGTTTGCAGTCACATTATTAATAGTGTAATTCTCGATTCAAAGTGGCATCACAATCAGTACAAATTCTGGGCTATTTTTGACAAGCCTTGCAATATTTAGAACAAGGCAAACAAACTGAAATATCCATGTAATAGCCTTCCAGACATCTGCATTAATCTTTATCCATCCAATAATGTTTAGATTCATCGCATTTAGCACAATTCTAATAATAATTTGGAGAAGACATAGTTAGTAATGTTAATTGCAAGCTTTATCCACATACCAAACATCCTACTTGACAATTTTAAGAGGTCGAACAAACTGAATAGTTTTCAAGATTTGTACTACAAAAACACTATCCATTTTGATTGAGATATCCAGCTTAACAGGTTGTACATGAGTATTCCTGACAAACCAGACATCCACTCGAACATTATAAACAATCCTCTTCCTTCGAATTATAGTAATATCCAATTGCACAGGAACCAGAAGATAAAGATGTTTTAATCTACCAAACCAAGCATCCTGTGCTATCACAACTATCACAGAATTTTGGACATGGTTCTACCATTACTCGAAAATTGTATATGCCATAGTATTAGTGGATACCTAAAAAATCATTTTTCTGAAGAGTGATCTAAAATGAATTTGTTGAAGCTGTAAGAAAAGGAGTCTCTATGAATACTTCTGAGTGATATTCTAAGTCACTTTTTCCTATCTTATTCCCAACGGAAACAAATTGAAATTAATCTCCGACTCCTTATCCCACATAATAGGCTGGTACTGTTAGACTTGTGGTAATTTTAAACTTGTCATCAATTTAATAATCAATTGCAATTACATTCATCTTTATGTACGCCTTGTAAAATTAATAAGGTGATGTAACAGTATAAGTTAATGACACTCCATCAAAAATTGGCAAACCCCCCAGAATTGAGTATTCAGTCATTCCATAAATAAATTTACTAAATGGCACATCCATAAAAATGGTAGGTTAATTTAATACAATCTTGGTCATCTCGCTCTGATAATTGTTGTTATCATAAAATGAATTGAAAATATATTAGAATGTACTACCCATCCCATCTTCTTGGCATAAGCTTCCAATCAAAGTTGTTTGAAGGGGACATTGAGTAACACATTTATCATCGAATAGGTAGTACCCAGTTTAACAAGACAAACAAGATTTCTTATTGTTTTATTTACAAGTCAAACAGTTAGTCTAACACTCATTTACATTTCCTGATTAAGTCAATTTGAAGATCTGAAAATCCTTAATCCCCCAACCTCTATATGGTTTGAGTATAGTGAATCTACCTTCAAATGTCAATTTATTTATCTCATAATCCAAATTGGTCACAAATTAGATATCTCTATAAGAACATCGTTGAAAAATTGCAAATTAACATTCATTAACATTGTTTGCTTTTCCTACGCCTACATTAGAAAAAATCAGAACATCATCATAGTCATCCAATTCTAACACCTTGAATCCATTAAATTTCACATTGATAAAACCTCCCACTTGTTATGATTGATTATAATGCAGGAAATATAATCGAAATTTCACTAAAATCAGGGAATTTGCTATCACCGACAAAGGAGAATAAACTACTTCTTCGTTATACATAAATGGACCTGCAATCTTCTCTCCATTAATCTCCATGATTCTATAACTATTATCATTCTTATCAGAATAGTATTTGTCTTTATTTAAATAAAACAAATAGGATGCAAAATTACTCTGCAAGTCTTCGAACAGTAACGTTGCTGTTCCTGGCTGACATAAACCATTCCAATCTGGCACGAATCCAGAAGGACATTCATCTACCCATTATAAATCAGGGTTATAGAGCTTTAATTTCGATTTATTCTCAAATTAACAAATTCCGTTCTTTTATATGATATTGTTCTCACATATCAAACAATTGCCATTTCTATCGCATACGTCACAGTATTTGTCACAGAACTAAACATACAAATAAAAATTGGATAATGCAAAAATTCTCGTTATTGGCAATCCTAACTTCACTATTTCGATATTAATTTGGTTTGCTGTAAAATCAGAACTGTGTGATACTTTGTTCAAATAATCATCAACGGAATTAGGACCTCCAGGGACCTGACAATACACCACCGATGGAGTTGATGGGGATGATTTAAATGTGCTATCATAAATGATCTCGTTATTCAGATATATGATTGTTCTGGTGTTGTCCCAATAGTCGATATAATATAAGTCCAATTCAATTCGTATTGCTGAAAACTTGCGGTTTGTTGGCAATAAAATCCTTCTCCATATCTTATCCTTCCCACCTGCCATATAGGTGGAGGAAACTGAAGTGCACAAAGTAGAGTCTATTGTTGTTAAAGAACTCAGAGTTGAATCAGAATTTAAACCTATCCAATCACTGCTTGATGCCACGTCATATAATTCATGCTTGTAAACTTCCCATTCTACTCTCAGTAATAGATAAACTTACCACAAATTACGACATACAACTAAGTAACTACTATTAAAGCTTTCATTTATATACTAAAAATAAATATGCATTATTTCTTTCCATATTAATACAAAATTCTTATTATTTTAATCAATTGTTATTCTTCTGTAAGTTTCCTACCTTGCTCCTCAGATTTTCCCCCCTCTAAACATCAATCCGCAACTTCCTCCCTTCTCAAATGTCAATTAATAATACAGGTGCATACTACATAAATTATTTCAACTTTATAAAAGAAATAAATATTTCTTAATTTTATTATAACCATAATTATATTTAACTTCATTTGAAACATCTAACCATTATATAATCATTCATTCTGCTCTCTCTGTCTACAGAACACTTGCTCCTCTTTGGCAGTTTGGACACCAAATAGAATTAGATCAATAAATGATAACTTAAATAATATATCTAATATTTAATTTAAGTGAAATGATATCTTTTTGTATCTCTCTTTTTTGTTCATCAAGAATATACAAGTGTGATCCATCCATTAAGTCAAACAATAGTTAATCATTTATAAATGAATTTTGATTGGAATTAGTTTAGTAAATCTTCAAAAATGATAATTAATGGGAAGCAATGGTGTATATCATTTAATTAATATGCAAACTCAATTTAAATCTTTAAGCAAAATATTTATTTAAAAATCAAAATATGCAAACAAAAGAAATTCACCAATAATTAATACCTCCCCAAACTACTCCATAATAAATGAAGACCATCATTTTCATTGAAAACTTAGATTAGGTATGAATCTCTTCACAATCAATTCTAGGGTATTTCAGAAGATTATCTGTATCGTAAGTTTAAGGAAGTAGGAGAAATCCAAAGCTTAAAGATTACCAAAGACAAGATCACTCAGAAATCAAAAGGATAAGCATTCATTACATTTGCTCATCCAGATTCTGCTGAGGAAGCAAGAAAGAAATTCAATAGTCAAGTCTTCATCAGAAATACCATCAGAGTCAAACCATACTTCAATTATCACATTGCTGATAAAAAAGCTAACATCTTCATCAATAATCTCTCAGAAGATGCTGATATTTTGGAATTGGAGTAAGAATTTTCAAGGTTTGGTACTGTGTTATCGGTTGATATTCACAGAGACAGTCAAGGAAAGCAATTAAAGTATGTTATTGAGGATTACAATTTTTAGTTATGGTTATGTTCAATTTGAGAAGAAGGAAGATGCTGATAATCTGATAAAGAGAATTATGAATCACCCAATCACTCACAAGGGGAAGTTGTTGAAATTGGAACAGTTCAAAGCCCAATCAGAGAGAAAGATCGAATCCAGTTCCATTTATTTGAGAGCCTTTGCTAAGCCACTTCAATAGAAGTACTTCGAAAAGGAAAAGGTCGTCAGAGCAATCGAATATGGGTGGTCCTTAATCATCAAAGAGTATTTCACTAAGCATGGCCAATAAGTTAAAGACTGCTTTGTCAAGATTGACTTCCATACCAGACAACCTTGGACTATGATCTCATTCGAATCATCAGAACAAGCCAGAGACAATTTGGAAATTTGCGAATAATAAAGAACACATCCATGTATCAATTCAGGTGCTCATCATGCTTTGGAATTAATTAATAAGCATGGCCCACCTGTCAATAGCGATGCAAGTCAAGCCTTCACTGTTGCTGAAATTACTTAGGCATTCAAAGAGATGGCTCAGGATCATAATGACACTTTCAAAGGAGAAAGTGAAAATTTCTTTTACAATATGGTCTACAGCAAAAACTTGAATCCTGATGACAGATTGATTCTCGTTCAAAATATAAAGGAAGATGTAACTAAGGAGCAAATCCAAGAGTTCTTATCACGATTTGGAAAAGTTATTCGTTTAACAATCAGAAAAACCAAGAATCCCAGATTCTAAGTTTAATAATGCTTTGTTCATTATTAAACCATGGAAGATTCAAAAAGAGCAAGATCAGAAATCTATGATGACAAAAATGAAGAGATTATCAAAATTAAGAAAGCATTTTTCAAGGATGGCCACGTGATGATGAACATTTTGTTGTCCAAATCTATGAGAAAGGAATTCAAGGAAATCAAAAAACAAAGTCAAAGCATCTTCCAAAATCCAGGAGGAAGACAACTACTCTAACCACCTTTCGGTGGAAACCTCCCTATGATGCCTCCTCAAATGCCCTTCCCCCCTGGAGGATAAGGAATGAGACAAATGCCCCCAAGAGGAGGAGGAAGAGGCGGTCCTTTCCCCATGGTTAGACCATAAAATCTTAGACCTCCCCCCATGAACACTAAGCCTATCTAACTACTCCCTAACAAAGTGAATCCTCCTTAGTCATTCATCCATGAGTTTTCTGATTACGCTTTAGTCTAAAGTAGAATGGAAGATTTCTTGAAAATCCCTGTAATTGATTAAAGAAATGTTCTTGGTAATCTACTTTTCCAAAAAGTCTTCGATGTTGTAAAGGATAAAGAGGCAACCAAAAAAGTTGTAGGTATTTATTTAGTGTCATCATTTAGGTATGTTAATTGATCCATCATAATTTGAAATTGGTGACATCTTGAATATGTTTGAAGACAGCTAAGAACTTCAAACCTATATTGACGAAGGTCTTTCATTGATTAAAGAAGATACTCAAAAATGAGTTATTATTATTGCATTATGTACAAAAAACAAAAATAAAATAAATAATTTAAATATAACTATCTTCTTTCATTTTAATTTTCAATCATAAATCATCTAAAGAAAAATCATTTGAATTTATGATAGCAGTATCCTTTCGAAAGGTTTGTGCCTTTTCTCCAAGGTGCTATTACACTTAAGGTGACACTCTTCTAGCAGTCTAACTAAAATTTTTCAAAAGGAATTCCATCTTTTTTGATTTTTAAACAGCAATCTACTTAACTTTCTTATTGATTAATAGATTTCTGTTGTATTGACTCAATCTATCACTTAAACTACAAGCTGATTCTGAATTATCGACCTTCTACTCTTTATAATAGTCCATCTATCTTTCTACTACTCGAATGAATTACGTTTAAGAGGCTGAGTTGTTTTAAAGTTACTCATATTAATAAAGTAACATTCTATTATTATTTTCTGTTTTGATTTTATTTTTTATCTTTAGTCCTTTGACACTAGCCATCCATTAGATATCTCCCAAACTGTTTTAATAGAATTACTCATATTAATTGATTGTTTCCTCCCAATTATTATGCAGATTATACTTTAAATTCAATGATAACTACGATTTTTGAATCTTAAAGTTTTTATTAGATATGTCCTCTACATTCTACATATTCAAACAATTTTATTTGTATTTTTAAATACAATCTTAGTTTTAGTAAATAAAGTACTCATTAGCACTTAAAGGCTTTTAATATATAATCTTAATTTAATTTAAAACTGAAATAGTAGATGTACCTATGTTTGATTAATATTTCCAGCCATATTTTAATTTCATTATGATTAAGTTTACAAAAATAGCAATAATCAACTTTTCTTGAAGGAGTTCAGTGAAATAATATAAATTTTTCAATTCCAAAAGAAGATTATCACTATTTTAATGTTGTTTAATGATTTAAGAAATGTTCACTAAAATTTCCTGAATTTTAGATGGCAAAGACTGTTGGGATGATTGCTATTATCGATTAGCAAATTGACCGCTTTATTCTCTCAATTTTACTTAAGATAAATTTAATCTGACAGCCCTTCTATATTACTATTAAGATTAAGGGGAGAGTATTTAGCTTTTCATCTCTGTTGCTTAAAGATTCTAAGTTATTGTTTAGTAACTATCGAGGCTTATCAAATTCTCATTCTTTTATGAGGTTCGAAGATCCTCATCTTCTATGGATAGTTTCTTTCGTAAGTAATGATTTTCATATTTCCTTTAGACTTTAATTACTTACAATGAAGTTATAGACACTTATTTGGCTGTTTTATTCTAAAAATTTAAAGAGAATGGATTAACATTCTTTCCTTAAATCAATTACAAAATAGACACTAACCCCATCGAAGCTGCACTATGAAGAGGAGTGTTTTTAAATAGATCTCTCTTGTGGAAATCAAATTTTGGAGAGGCACTAGCTAATCGTACAGCAGCTAAAGATGGAAATTTTACAGCCGCATGCAAACTAGTTAATTTCAATCGGTTTCTAATGTTTGGATCGCATCCCATGTCTAAAAGAAGCTATTCTTTAAGTTTTAAACTACTTTGACCATCATAGATGCTAATTATTATTGTCGTGCATTTCTGCCAAAAGATGTCATTGCTACATGCATTACAGTTGATCCATCAGTAATATCAATTTGATTATGTCCATTAATATCCTTTTCTATTTGATAATCCAATTTAATCCCATTCTGAATTAGCATTTTCATTAAGTGAATATCCTGTCGTTTTGCTGATAACATAAACAAAGTTTACATCTCAATTATATTTTTCTTAAAAATGGGCAATAGACATTAAATACATTTCGTTCTATTCAAGTTAAATGCATAAATAAGAGGAGAACAATCTTCCTCGTCTTTTATCATTATCAATTCTGGATATTTTTAACTATATTGCTTTAATAAGCCTATGGAATCTCTGGAAATAAATGTAAATAAAATATTCTTACCACTAATATTATTATAATTTAATACTTTTAAACCAGTTACTCAATATCAAACACCTTGCCAACCATGTAATAATAAAATAATGAAAAGGTGATTATTTCTTATCTCTAAACTACTCTTTGGCCCAAAGATACTAGTTTTTATTTGATTTACTCGTCTAATTCACAATTTATAGCACAATAATCGAACCAGTCAAGATCGAAATATTACAATGAGTCTAAAATCTACTCATACTTGGCTGGAAGGGTAGTAAATTAATTTGATCTTAGCCCAAGATAAATTAATTTTAATTCAAATAGTTCAGAAGGTAAATATTCTATATTATTGCTATTTAAATTTAACTCCTTTAGAGTCTTTAGTTTAAACAAACTCGACTGCAGTTATTCTAAATAGGGTATGAAAACAATTATACTTATTTAATTTTCAGATAAAATTAACTTTTCTAAATTTGGAAGATAAAATTTAATTGGAATTTGTTAGATCTGATTATTACTCAAATTGAGGTTCTTGAGGTTAGTGTAATTTCTGAGTTACAATAATACATACCTTAATTGATTTGGGAATTAATCGAATAAGTTATTTGATGCATCTAAATCTTATAATGATTTTGATAATGTATCCATCACAAATGAGGTAGGGAAAAGAGATTAATTACTCAAATTTACTTTTAAAGGGGACTCTGTTATATATTATTTTGTACATTCTCTAATTCATCATCTTTTCTTAATTTAAGTCTATCAAAAGGAGTTCGCATTGGAGGTACATATGCTTTTTTCGGAATTTCCTGTTCACTGTCTAAAACTTCTTGAGAACTTTTTGATGACAGTTAGCTCATTAATGACAGCAAAGATTGCATTTTTTATGATAAACTCTTTATCTCTAAAAATATAAAAATAATAATATGAAGTCATTATTCATAAGAAACTTATTCTTATTATTATATTAGCCATGAAAACCTCTTTTTTATATGATACAACAAGTCCCAGTCTTGGCCAGAAGGACAACTAAATGTTTAAATATTAATTATACGTTGTATGTCCCAATTACTTCTGAACGATCCTAGGGCCTTCCGATTAATTTAATCTCTCTATCAAAAAGTATATCTAAAACGATTATTTATGCAATTATTACCTTCTCTATCTAACTCAAATTTTCATCGTCATTATACGAGATCTCCAAAGCAGAGAGGGCAAGAGATTCTACGAACATGTGTTAATCAATGTGGCCACTCTTGATATTTGAATTTTCTTGATTCTCATATAATTTGGACAATATCTAAAATATTTAAACTATCTTATTTTTGGTCAATAAATCGGGGAATATTGAGAAATCCTAATAATTAGTTATAATATAATTACTTTGTAAAATCTCAAAAACTACTCAAAATTCATTATCTATTTACCAATGGTGTATTATTTATAGTAAACTAAAATTGATTTATGTAACAATCCTAAAAACTCAACGATTTCTTTATCCTTTAAAATATTCATTAATTAAGAGAGGAGATCTTTCATTTTATTTTCAGGTCCTTGACTCATTAGATGTAATATATGATCATTCAAAATGATTCTTAACACATGGATGTCATTGGTTAGCAATTAGAGACCCTTTAAAAACTATAAGAAATTCATTGTTTATTTCTTTTATTTGATTGGAACTGAAGTTCTATTGTTTTGAGATACCGTACAGGCTTTGGTAAATATTAGATCAATTTCATTGTGAGGTACTTAGTATGATAATTTACTATTTTTATCAATTAAATTAATGTTAACTAAATTTGCATCTTTTAAAAATTTCATCCATTTACTGCCAACTAATTCGTTATCTTGTCCAGTTTATTAGTTAATTCCTGAATATTATCTATAGATATTAAACAATTATGTGTAATTTTCTTAAAATAATTGTTGGCATTATTCCTCGAATTATTTATTAATCTATATCGATGGTCGAACTCTATTAGTAGGTACTGTATTGATTCTTTTGACTTATTCATCATAGAATTCTTCATTTTTTAAATGATGAATCTTCATTCTTTGAGTTGTAGAGTTCAAATATTGAATTGCATCAGGATCACTAATAATTAATTCTATAAGTTCTTCTGGTACTTTTAATTTCCAATTCATTTTAGAATTATTTGAAGGTATTTCCAGATTGCTAAATCCCTGACTCAATTCCATGCGTTCAAATAAAAAGGCCAGTTTTTATAATGGAGTTATCATTTATTATTCTTAAGTGGAATCATCGAAGCTTTGAAGTGTCATCATCGCTAATTTTATAATATAACAACAAAATTAATTAACATCGAATTTTGACTTTTATTTTTTTTATTAACAAATTTGAGGCAAATTGGGGTCAGCTTAAATGGAATCTAATAGGAGATAAGCAGATCCTTTAGTAATGAATTGAGGGCCAGATTTCAAAATCTTTTTAAAAATAAAAATAGAGACGATCGGAATCTATTGTTTCAACATCAATTCTTCTTATTAGTCTTTCAAATTGAAATTCTTTAAATTAAGGAGGGAAAATATTTATTATAAATAAAAGGTAATGGGTTGTATAACAACTTACATTAACTTTAGGCAAATTGGATCAATTTCTTAAGATAATTTTGTCTCCTCATCCCCCAAATCAGTTGATGAGATTATATTCTCATATAATGGAGTCAAATGGTTGTCCATTAATATTTAAAATGAGTTATCCTCTCCATATAGGGTTTCGGATAATAATTCTAAAAAGTAATAGAAGTTTTCAAAATCCATGTTTGGTTTATTTCTATTTGCTTTAACAAATAGTAAATCAATTTATTACTAATCTTGTTTTTGAAGTCTGATTTGTGAGTCTGACATCAATTTATGTATTTTGTTTGATCTGATATAATCAATATTGGTTCTGTCTCCAAAGGATGCATAAAATTTGAAAATTACACTCAACTTTTTTTTATCATCCACTCTTTTGACTTCAACTACAGGAATCTCTACTTTAGATTTTTGCATTTGAAGTTTCTGCTAGTATTTTGCTCCATATGAATATAATTGATTTTTTGTTGTTTGGATTGAACAATTTTCTTTGTTATCGATTCTTGAATATGTGGACTCTTCTTTTTTATTTCTGATTCCACTTCTATTTCTCAATTCAATGCTATCTAATCTTGATTCTAGCTTTTGGAAATCTCTTTATAATGAATAGTTAGAACTTGAGCTTCTCATTGGATTATTCAAATTTTATAATTAAAAAAACAAGTTAAATCAAAATATCAAATCAGTTAGAATACAATAACAATACAGAAGTCATATAAATTTCATTAGTTTCTTCTATTATTCATGGTGTAATTAATTAAGTTAGATTTAGCCTAAATGCCAGGGAATATTGATAAAGCTTATTTTTCAAATAACTTATTTTGGGCATGTGTAACAATTTGAGGTCCAGCATAAGAAGAATTGTAGGAGGTTTGCATTGTTGATAAATTGATTTTGTTTTATTGTATATTTGTTCTTGTATTAATAAATTTAGTAGTGAGCATACAATTTCTATTGTTATTGATGTTTTAGGGAAGAAAATTAGTTTTAGTTTCCTACTTTGAAGCATTTCCTAGAAAGTCATTGTTTTTAAGAGTTTATCTGAATTCATTTTGAATGATAGCCTCTTATTTCACCTAATTTCCAATTTTTACTTATGGTTCAGATTTTTTGATGTCAAGTGGTTTTTCTATTTCTTTTTCATTATGATTAACTTGATTATCATCTGATTCTTTTTAGTTAGATTATTTTTCATTTTCTTTAGGTGATCTTAATTGTTTTTCAAATAGTTTCAATTATCGTTAAAATCCACTATTTGGACAAATGACAAATCTTTTGCTCTTGACATGAGAGAATGCTTCACTGTATGTCCATCCTTTATTTCTCATGAGATACGCTATTACTATGGATGCTGACCTCGAAACTCCAGCTGCACAATGAACAAGAACAGATCCAGATTTCAACCCATTTTTAATGTGATAAAAAGAGTCATCAAAAAACTATGCTACATTTGCCTATTCTGAGTCTAAAATTGAATAGATCTACAATTTAGAGATAGATTACTTTATGATTCATGTTCTAATCATTATATTTGATATTAAGTTAGCATGCAACTGTTAACACTGTTCTTATTCCCTTCTTGTCGAGAGTTGGCTTATCTTAGGCAGCTGTGTAATCACCCAGCCACAACTGATTCCCATTTTCTTCATGAATTACATTCATGGCTTGATAAGAAGAATGACCCAAATTTCTATACATATTAAAATTAATTCAATATGGATAAACAATATGAAATGTGTTATTTATAATCAATTAAAAATTTCTATAAGAATAATGAATTCATAATTAAATGTTCTCCAACAGTTTTAGAAACTCCTCTTCTTCTAGAACTCCATCTTAGTTGAAATCACATTTTTACAAAATATCCTCCCAAGCCTAATTATCTATTTCAATTCCACCAAAAATACTCTCCAATTCTGATTTGCTTATCACTCCATTTCCATCTAAATCAAACATCCTGAATGCTAATTTGATATTATTAACTGTAATCTTTTATTGTTAAACCAATGCAGCAGAGATGAATTCTGTAAAATCCACTTTTCCAGACTCATTAACATCCAATTCTTAAATTAATCCATCTGCCATAATCTCAGCTTTTAGATGATCAATATCCGCACTCAACATACCCTTCATCAGTTCATCCTTTGTTAAAACTCCATCCCCATTCTAATCTAATGTCTTAAATGTTTAAAATAGTTTTTAACTCTCCTCCTTATTTACTAATTGAACAGAAATAAACTAAAGAATTGCAGCCCTCAACTTATTCTAAGCTGAAAATTGACTCAAATTCTTGATTAAATTCATATCTTCAATCTCATTCTATTAGATATTCTAAATCCAAGGATGATTAAAAGCCTCCTACATACTTATCCTACTCTTAGGATCAACTACAATCATTTTCATAATCAAATCTTTTGCCTACTCATTTGTTCTCAACCATCTCTCACTATTGGTATTCAATTTTCCTTGTCTTGCCAATCTCAAAGTCTCTATATCACTGCCTCCCTTAAATGGAGGTCTTCCTATCAACAAAATGTACAAGATGACTCCACAAGACCATACATCCACCTTCTCATCATATCCTTAATCTGACAACACTTCATGGTGCTACATAATAGGGAGTCCCAATCTTTTTAGTCAAAAAGGATGAGTCAATCATCTTCTCACTTGCTCCGAAATCTATCACCTTTAAATTGGCGTCTGGATCTCTTGAATCAAACAATATATTTTCAGGCTAAATAGTTTTAATTAACTACTTTTAAATCTCGATGCACTATGTTTTTCTAATGACAATACTAGATGGCTGAAAACACTTATCTCATATATTTGGCTGCCAAATTCTCGTTGTAATTTGTTATAGTCTTTATTCTCTCCAACAACTCCCCTCCTTAACAATATTCAGTTACTATATAATAATATTTAAAATCTGCAAATATCTCCAAAACCTTTACTATATTTGGATGGTCCAAAGTCCTCAAGATTTCTGTCTCCTCTAACAATTTCTCCTCACAATTTACCGTTTTCCTCAGAACTACTTTCGCAGCCCTCAAATGTTCTGTAGTCAAATGCTTCACCAAATAAACCTCTCCAAATCCTCCTTACCCTAATTTCTTCACTATTTCGTAATGAGCTAAAAACTTTTCTGTTATGCATTGCTTTCTCACCAACATCTCAGGAGTCAATTTCATAGTTCCGCTAATAGTTTTCTTTATAAATTCTACTGTATCTCCTTCCTTGTGTTTAGTTTAAACTTACTATTATTCGAGATCCTTTGAATATCCCTACTCTTTTGATAAGGAATTTGATTTTATGAAGCTAGTTTCTTTGTCTTGAATAATTATTTTAGAATTAGCATTAAGCTATTAATTCTCAAATTCCAGTCCTTCCTAAACTTCATCACTTTCATAATATGGATTCATTATAGCTTATTTTAAGTTTACTATTTTACCTTTGTCGTCAGTGTACAATTTACAAGAGCAACAACCCATTCTATGTAAAGACAATTAATAAATATATGATATATTTAATATACACAATTCTTATTGCTAAGTCTATCAATAAATTGTTCGATGATCAAATCGTTGACATATCCTCCTCAAAATAAATTTAGCAAAAGCAATTTTATTTCATTACAAACAATAAGAATTTAAAATGTTGAATTTCTAACTTACCCATATCAATGCATTCTCTTAAATCCTTCCACCACTACAACAAATATTACCCAATAATATTATATTCTAAAACAACAGTCTTTTGGATAAATTAATCCTTCATGAAATCACACCAGTGTTATTTGTAATTAATGTGAATTGATTACAGTAATAAATATATATTGCTTAGTCTTATTACTTTTATTTTCGACCATCTCATTCCTCATTATTTATTTGCTAAACCGAAACTACATAAAATTGTAAGTAAAATTATTGATTACTACATCTAAATTTTAAGTAAAAGGAGAAATTACTCATAATAGATTTTCCTCTTAATTTATGTTTTTTCTCTTTTATAAAAAGAGAAACTAAGGCTGATCATTAAAAATATAGTATTACTCGAAAAGAGTACTTGTTATATATCTATAACATGAAACTAAATAAAAAATCATTTTTATTTTATATTTTATATTCTATATTCCACTTCAATTGTTATCAAAATTGTAATATATTTTTTAATATCCAATATGGTTTATAAATTAATCAAATCCTGATGGTTCGACAACTAGAAAAATAAATTTTTTCATTAAAAATACAATTATTGTTAAGAATTCTACATTTCCCAATAATAAGCAATGTAATTATAATTGTTCAAATGCAGCCAATTAGAATTTTAGGAATTTAGAGAATCTTACTTAACTACTTAACTACAATAATTTATGCTTGATATTATTTTGAAGACAAATGCTAAAGTATTAAGTAAAATCGAATCTAGCCCAAAATAGTAAGTAAAAATAAATTAAAAATAGTTTCGATTAAATAAAATTTGTAAATAAAATACTATTTTTCAATCATTTCTAAATAATTTTTCATTAATAAATGCTCTCTTAAGGGCCTTTTCTCTTTTTATTTCTTGATCGGTCTTTGTTATTGCCTTGATTTACTAGAGCTTACTTAAAATACAATACTTTTTCTTGCAAGTCATCGTCATACAATTAAGTGATTGGTGGTAGAAGCTCATGCTAAGATTTACGTTTAACAGAAAGAAATCTCTCTATTTTTTCATGTTAATCACCTTAGATGTTATGTGCACTTCTAACAAAATTAACTGGTAAATCCTATGAAATATATCTAATAGCATACAGCACCGTAGTTCTTTTTAATATAAAATTGAGTGATGTTTTTAGAATCCTTGATAATTTTTCTGATTTGATAAAAGTTCTTTGTTTTTCCATTGAAGGCAGAACCCATTGGACTTTTTTCACTCTCCTCTGAAATCACAGCCTTAGATATTAAATGTTATTTACTTTACCAGGAGAACCTGCAAATTGGAGACTCTTTCGAGATTCCAATTTTCGAATGGTTTCAGATTCATGAAATTGATCTAGATCATTGATTTTGGATTCTGGTTGGCTTATGGCCTTAGTTTAGGCAATGATAGCATTTTATAATTAAGATTAAACCTTCTATCTCTTAGCTTCTCCTTCATACAATCCTTTTTTCATAGCCTGATTCGAGGCTTGACTCTAAATTCTTGTGATTTCATTATTATGTAGATTGATTTGCTTAAGTAAAACATCATAGTCCTTTTTCATTTGTATGATTAATTTATACTCAGTTTCTTATAGTTTACCCTCTAATTATTCCCTTTCTTTCTGTTATTTAAATAACAAATCACTGTGTTATTTTTCAATACGATATTTCTATACTTTGTACACTCTATCTTATTCGTGTTTCTCTAAGTCTTTCAATTCTTTTCTAAAGTCTAGTGCTTCTTCTACTCTTTCCTCCAGACTAACCAACTTCTCTTGAGTTTGTAGATCCTTCAACTTTTTTTTTGGTTTAACTTTCATCAATTCAGTATCTTTGGAGAGTCGATCCTCCAATATTCCTAACTCTTTTTCTTAAGATATTTTTAATTATGCTCTTAATTAACAATATTAGAGTACCTTCTATCAACTTTATACTTTGTTAGTTATTAGAATTCTTAATAGTATTTATCATAAAAATCATCCAACTTTTCTTATCCTATTTCCTTGTACACCTATCTTTCTTTGATTGAAATACGTTATCTCAATTAATTTTGATAAGCTGCTATGTTAGCTTCTAAAGTTCTCAATTCTTTCATCAACTGTTTGAATAATATGTATTCTTGGATTTTCAACAAAGCAGTTGCTACCTAATGCATTTTTTCTTTGATAGCTGAAAACACTAGAATCTGTTCGTCCTCATTTAAAATTCTAACAGAAATTAAGCAATTCTTACCCATCATTATCTTAATCAAAGAGCTCAAAGAAATCTTTTTCATTTTACAGTTTCAGTAATTGTACGATCTCACTTCTACACGCTTCAAATATTCTTTGCGCAATTGTAAAGTTTAGTTGAGCATCTGTCACAAAATCATTTTTTCTCATTTCTATCCAGATTTTTGCACATTTGTTAGGTGCTGTAATATATAATTCACCTAATACTGGATTCTTATGATACCTTCATTTTTAATTTAATTAATAATGTGTCTGGGTAGATTAGATAATGCAGAATAATTGGACTGCTATATTTTAGTGCTGATTGTCATTGATTTCGATTCCATTTAATTTATTATTCAATTATATTTATAAATATAATTATTTTCCTACAATTGTTGCATTCACTTCTTTTCAAACCTTCTCATTGAAGTATAGACACATCGAAGCAGTGTTACATATATTATGATAGTGAGAAATACTTTGATTTTTATGTTTAATAAATAAGGAGTTTAAAGTTGTTATTAATAATTTACGATATAATTTATATGAATTATAAGTAAATAATGTTATTATTTTTGCTTTTTATATATGTAAATTCATATTTAGATGCTAATAAAATTAAATACGCTGTTGATGCAGGCAACTAATTTTATTACAAGGACAGACAAAAAATATTATATCGCTATGATCAAAATTATAAGGGTGGCTAACAATTAATGTTCTATTAAAAGGTAACCTCAGATTAAAATCATCATTTGATACCTCTTTAATATTTGGATTATTATGTATTCTAAACATCGAGAACAGTATCCAGTGATCAAGATTTTTTCAAATACTCAATCACCATGAGGTTGAGTGGGAATTACACTTTAATTTTATGTTTCATTGAAGTATAAACTATTTTTATATATTAAATAGTCAGAATAACGATCAGCACGCTTTTTCGATATTTATTTGGAGGATGAGCTAATAAAAGAGCAGTTCGATATTTACAAGGAAGCAGGTGGAGTAAATATTCCACTCTATTTTGCCTTTGAATTCGAATTCGATGGAAAAAACATCACAGCCAATCGCAAGATCATATATCAGATGAGTGACAATAGATTGCACTTCGATCTCATTTTTAAAGGCAAGGGAGCTTCAGTTAGTGCAATCATTCTGTATTAGGGTAAGATAGAAGATATCTTAATTGATCTGGAGAGTGCATTGCTTTCTAAAGATCAGATCGAAGCTACCTTTATAAATCAAATCGAATTTGTTAAAGCATTAAAACAGAAAGCAGCTCGTTATGCTCACAAACAAAAAGGAAAGGGTAATGAGAATGTAAACACTTTGATGAATTAATATCTGAGTCCATTTCAAAAATTAATCAATAATTTCGATATTGTAAATAATGTGTATAATGAAATTTCGAATGGTTTGGAACCATCTCCTTTAGAGTTATTCTTGGATGCCTTATTGAATGTAAATTACTTATAAATATATGTAGAATATCTTGGTACCTTTGGGAAATGTTTTAATTCAAATCATTGATTTCATCTTGGATAATAAAGTTCTCTCTACAATTTTGATAACTAATTTAATATTCTATTATTATTGTTTTGGCAATAATAAAACTCTATTTGCAAATGTGCCTGTTGGTTTAGTAACAATTTTAATTAATTATTTAGGTTTTAGATGCTGAGGTTGAGAGTGAAATGGAAATGAATTACATTGCATAATCGCCAAAATCACGACATGTTAATGTATTGAAATCAAAAAAAAAGAAGAAATGATTTATAAAATATTTTAATCAAATTACAATTAATGAGAAATAACAGCTAGTAAAAGGAGAGTATTTCATAATTAAAAGAAGTAATTAAATTAGTTCTAATTTGAGACAATTCATAAATTGCAATAGAGGGATGCTTCATAAAGATTGGAAATAGCGAAATTAAAAAGATTATTATTAGAAAGAAATCAAGAGTATAAGTTAGTATCTGAATAATTGTAAGATTTATAAAGAGTATAACAAAGAGTAATAAAAAATAGTATCATTGATAGAATAATCAATACATATTGAAAATCGACAATTATGTCGTCAAATTGAAATAGAAATTGTAAAAAGCAAGCATCAAGATTGAATCACTAGAATCAAAGTTCTCCTCCTCGAGAGTCAAATAAAATAATATTATTATTGACGAATCTTTTAATGTGAATGACTCCTTTCAAACTGAGCATTCCCCAATTTCTACTAAGTATCCAATCCTTAAATAAACATCTAATCGTTCTAATTAAGCACATTCTGTTAATAAACCTAAATTAATTTGTAAACCCATAAAAGTCCAAATGCCTTATCCTAATAAAAGTTATACCGAAAATTAAGAAATTTTAGAAAATAATTCTCTTATTAAACCATGTCCATTACAGGAATAAATTCTTAACAGAATACTCGATGATGAAGAATTCATGAATAACTTCAGTAATCAGTTTGATTAGATGCAAACAGATTTATTCTCTTATTAGAAAAGCCAGACTCAACCTCTCAGTTTCTCATGCAACTCAAGATAAAGTAATTTCAGTTTTGTGAATAGCGAAAAAAAGTAAAATTGGAATGATAAACAATACAAATAACCTAATCGACAATGTATTTGGATTATTATATTAATTTTAGACCATTCAATATCAATTGAGGAGAAGGAAAATAATAGCAAATATTTTAATTGAAGAGACTCGTTTGTGAGTATATAGACTAATTTTAAAACATATCTAAATATTTAATCATTTTTATATATTATTGTCTCTAATTGCAACATTATGAGTATTTTAGAGTTGCCAATTATTAATGTTATTTTCGTTAAATATATTGGTTTAATTTTGTTTCGGTGTTAATAATTGAGCATATGCTAAACTTGGAGTAAAGCTATTGTTTCTTGTTGTCATTGAAGTCGATTAATTTATAGTTCCAATAAGATTTAAGTTTAGAGAAGGAATGGTCTTCTTTACCCTTTCAGTTTTCGGAGCAATATCTTTTTTGTTGGATATTAATTTTTTCATATCCAATATTTACACTTGTTTCTAATGCTGTTAGGAATTGTTGTTTCTTTGTTAACGTTAATTTTAATCTTGGGATCTTTTTGAATTAGTTTTATTCTGGATTTTGTTAAAATTTAATTGTCTAAACGAATCAGGGATTTTGAGTATTTAATAAAGGGCCTTTTGATCCAAAGATAGAATTTAATTATTACTGTTTTGGGAAGGTACTTATTTTGATTCATGATTTGATAGATTATTGCTTTTGATATTCTTCATTTCTTAGAGACTTTTAATTATTTTCAATTCAAGTTGTTTGATTTCTTGAATCGCTTTGTTTTGATCAATTTTTTTGGGTGAATTACTTTTTTTATTCTTCTCTTCTAATTTGAATTTTTTACTATTACGGTAAAATATATTTCTTACATGAATTATTCTTTATTTTATTTAAAATCCATAATTTTGTCTCTTGAGATGATTTAAGAGTGTTTATTTTAAAGTTTAGCTTAGACTATATATGGTTTCATAGAATACTTTAATCAATTAGTTTATTGGAATAAGATTATTGATATCGTGCTGATAGCGGCATTTTAGCTTCTTGTGGATTTTAATGAGTTCTAGCAGACAAAGACAAAGCAAGTTCATCCAATTTTAGTGATTTCTTGCTTTGAGTCTTCTTCTTTTTGAACCATTGGTATTGTTGTTTTTAATTTGGAGATTCTGATTTAAGATTAAGTAGGCTGATCATTTATTGTATTTCTCCAATGGGAGGGGATTCGGGGACTTATAAAATGCGACTGATTTCTTGGGAGGGTTGAGGTTTCTTATTAGAGAAACTGATTTCTTTGAGAATGTTATCGACATTAACTTTGGATTACGGTTCCGAATTCTCAGATTAAGGTGTTGAATCACTTAGTAAAGGTTTATCGCCTACAATACCTTTGGGTGGATCAGTTGGATTCATTTAATTTTCGATTTCAATTTATCTTTAAATTTTGTAAAATTCAATTTTCCTTCGCTTATCGTAATAATAATTGAGAATTTTGAGTATAGGCTATTTTAAGACCCATCTTGGCAAATCCTTATGATATTTGTAGAATTCTGTAAGCAATTTTGATTTGGAAGGATATTCATGCATTTCATAAAATCTTTTTATATATTCATCCTCTTCATCGTAACATATATAATCCTTGTGATATATTTGAATGTTTTACATTATACAGAATGGTTCTGGCAGTAGAAGTTTTGGATAATATTTCATTAATGTCTTTGGTAAAATAATAATTTTATGAAGTCGCGTATTTATGATAGAGAGTGTGTCTAATCATTTTATGCAAATTGATTTCGCAAGGGAAATAGTTTTTGATATATCCTAGAGTTGTTCTCTTGTAGCAAAATTAGCATGAATAATTAGACATTTTAAAATTAAATATAAATAAATATAATATATTTTCAAACAATGTAAACAGTTTGGACCCTAATACATCCAACAAGGATCAGTGTATAGAAGACAATCAAGAATTTATTGCCATCTGGTTAAGAATTTTTTGGTACTGTAATTAGAGACAGTAGAAACAAATCATGCAGAGTAAATATATCTAATTGAAATTCCTAGGTAAAAGTAAGCTACAAATATTGGCATAAAAAATATAAGTCATACTTTGGTGATACATCTGAATTCATAGCACATGATGAAGACAATTTTTGTAAGGTAGGCGATAAGGTAGTCATCAAACATTGTTAAAAAACAGGTGGCAAGTATTACTATGTGAGAAATGTGGTCATTCCAGTGGGCAGGAATCCATCTGATGAGTAAGACGAAGTTATGAAAGAGCTCTAGTAATATTTGTTGCTTATAATTAAATTAGAAATATAAGAACACAATTGGTTCAATAAGGCTTGTGATTTATTATTCATACATAAAATATTTACAAATAATTATAAAATACTCTTTAATTTAACTCTTTAGTTTTAAATGCTTCATACGCCAAATTCTTAAAAGCATTTAGCATTTCATTATTGTATATTTAAGTAACTAGAAATCCCTGAATATTAGAAATACTAATTGCTATTAAAGGAGATTGATTACAATAATTCTTAAGCAAATATGAGTATATTCAGAGATAATATTTAAATACTTCAAATAATATATATTACAACTGATTCCCTTTCTGAATTTCAGAAGGTACCAAAAATTTACATACCCCAAGATTTCTCAATATAACCATATTTATTACATTTACAGATAATTGTGTTGAGTCTATCTTTTACAACGTAGAAATGACTATAAGATTACTAATTATGAAACAAATAGAGTTTGAGTTTCGATGGTCATTAATTTATTATTTTATTTTAGGTTATTTAAATTATCATTTTATATAAACTCAAATCTGCTATTCTTATTAAATTATTTAGATATGGAATTTTGTAGGTACTTACAAATTTAGGGCTGTAATAAAAGCTGAATAAGGGAAACAAATTACATATTAAGCTTTTTATAATTTAATTAGATTAATAAACTTGATCTGAAATAAATAGTAAATTAGGTTGGGACAGAAATAAAACAGGAAATTATAAATTAAATTACCCGGCAAATCTGGAGTTTTTAATATTTCCCTCTATAATTTATTTAAATAATTAAAAAGATTAGATGTTCGAAGCCAAGTTTGAAGATGGTGTCTTATTTAAAAAGATTGTGGAAGCAATTAAGGAATTGGTAAAAAATGTAAATCTTGAAGCCAATGGAACTGGAATTTCATTATAAGTATCATTATGATTCATTTCAATTTAAGGCTATGGATACATCTCATGTAGCTTTGGTTGCATTATAATTGAATGAGAAGGGCTTCAAAAAATACAGATGTGAGAAATCACTCACTATGGGTTTGAGTATTGAGAATTTATAAAAAATTTTGAAGTGTTCTGGAAATGATGATTAGATTACTCTTAGAACTCAAGAGGAAGAACCAACAACATTATCATTCACTTTCGAATCCAAAAGTATGTTTTTAATAAAAATGAAATTAGACCGAATAAGTGAGTTCCAATTGAATTTAATGTCTTTGGATTAAGAACAATTAGGTGTTCCAGACACCGATTATTCTTCAGTAATCAAAATGCCATCGAATGAATTCACAAAAATCTGCAGAGAGTTAGGCAACATAAACGAGGCAATCGGTATTGAAACATCCAAAGATGGAATCAAATTCTATGTGAAAGGAGACATCGGAGAAGGATAAGTGTCAGTGAAATCAAATGACGGAGAAAAGAAGGAGGAGAGAGTTGAATGTGATGTAGATGAACCTGTGAATCTAAGTTTTGCTGTTAGGTAAACAATACAATCTATGTCTTATAGATATTTCAATTTGTTCAATAAGGCATCTGCTTTATCACCTTAGGTTATATTGTCCATGTCTCAAGATTAACCATTAGTGATTGAATACTAAATTGAAAATATGGGATCATTAAAATTGTATTTAGCTCCAAAAATAAATGATGATGAATAATAATGAATAATTGTTTCTTAAAACATATTTAATTTTATATATTATTTTCTTTTTTATGTAATAATAATAAAAACAAGCAATTCAAGAAAGACGTAGAAGAAGTGGAGCTTTGCATGCTTAAACCTGTGAAGAATATTTAAAAGTACTAACAACCATAAAATATAATACAGAAATATGATTAAATTGGACAGATTAAAATAAGGGAAAGCTAAAGAAAAAAAAGCTTGTCGGAATCAGCCTTTCTAAATTTTGATTTCATTCCAGCTGATGAAGGAGTTGAAGACATTACTTAATTGAAGATCTTCATCTACTCTCCGAAGGTAAAACTCAATGAATAAGAATTCTTGCAATTATTGAAACGAGTCAGGAATCGCTCAATCACAACTGACAACCTTTCCAAAAAATCCTTTACTTTCGACTTTGAGTTCTTCTATAAAGAGTATGAAGTAAATGAAACCCAATTTGGCTTGCATTTTTGGATACAAAACAACATCAAACACTAGCATTCCTAATTCTTTCAAGGTAATTAAATTTTATTTACAATTATTTTAGAATGTTATTATAAAGTTTTTAATGCAGCAATTCTCTTGTAGAGAGATACAACTATTGAATAATAGATCAAAGATGCCAACCCCAATTGCATGGTTAAGGTCTTCCCCTTAGTAAGAAAATAATATATTTTAGATGGACGAGTTGCTGATTGAATCGTTGCAATCTATCATTGCTGAAGTAAGATATATAAAAAATATGAAAGATATGCCATAATCACATTAAATCTTGATCTATATATAACTTATACAACATCCAACTTATTTTTATATTGTCCTTCCATTGTTCACTCATCCTTTAAATTATCTCTACTTCCTTAATTCCTAATCTTCTCTTGTGGTCACCCATCTATCGAACCATGAACTCATTCAAAATAAATATAAACAATTTTAAATCCTTCGTTTGTTCAACTTTCTCTAAAAATTCATTTGCCAATCCTAATGAATGGATTATCTTAAATAAGAATGACAAAATTATTCGATTCTTGTCACCATAATATTCTCGAAAATAATAATCGACAAATTAGAATTTTGAAGTTACCATTAAAACTACACTTGGTGATCTATAGGTTCCTAAACCAATAAAATATGTAATCGCATTTATGGCTCTAATTTTCCTGATCTTCACCTCCACATTTTGTTTCTCTAATTCTACTAACTCTTTATAAAGGATTTCCCCTAAAAATCTTTCACTAGTCAATCTATAAGGGACATTGAGAAATTAATTCAAATATTCTCCTTCTCCTTTAAATTATTCGTAATGAGCTTTCACATGTTTATGATTCAACAAGAATTTGTATGGGAACAACTTTAATGAATGATATCCCAAATTTTTTAGCCATTTCTTATGAAATATTTCCTGAGCCATATTTTTTATTAAATTTTAGTATAATCAAAATTCATTACATATATATATTCAAACTTTCAATTCACTAACACTCCCATTTTCCATGTTGCTCTCATCAAATTCATCATTTCTCTAGATAATCCTACAGTATTCAAATTATTGATATTTATAAATTTAATGAATAAAGACTCACGCTTTGCATATGTAACAATTAAAATTTCCTAATGAAGACGAAATCCTCAATGTCTCCAAATAAGAACTTAAGGCAACCTGAATAGAGTGCTCAAACATATTCCACTGGCTTTACAAAAAAAAACGCATTCAAGGCCGCCTAATAAAATTAAGCAGCTATTTTGAGTTAACTTCCAGAGATTCAAAAAAAAAGGAATAAAAATGATGTATTTGTGCATTCGCAAGAATTCTAAGAAATCCTTTAAATTGAATAAGATGAAAGGTATAAATTTATAAACCTAGCAAGGTATCGCTATTTAATAAAAAATGGTACAATCAAGAAAATAGAAAACGGAGGCAATATCATCTTTTCTGAATTGCAATAGATACCAGGCATCTGGGTCTGTTATAGAAGACCATTAGAGAGATAAGCAAATGCAGAAAAGTTAAGTCTTGACTGGCTTGATCTATCACATATGCCATTGTTGGAAGGTGAAGAAAAATTAAAAATATTGACATTTCAACATAATCGAATTGGAGTAATTTAAAATTTAGTCTCTCTACCAAATTTGCTGTATTTAGATCTATATGATAACTAAATAAAGGAGATCGAGGAATTAAAATAAGTGTAAAAGCTAAAAGTTTTGTTAATGCCAAAAAATTAAATACGAAAAATACAAAACTTGGATTACTTATTAAAATTAGAAGTGTTGGATCTACACAGCAATAAGATTACCAATTTGGAAGGTCTAAACAAATTGAAAAGCTTAAAAGTGTTGAATCTAGGAAACAATTTGATCCAAAAACTTGAAGGCTTGGAAGAATTAACTTCACTTAATGAATTAAATTTGAAAATCAATTAGATTGAATTCATAGATCATATCTCAGGTATTTTATGTATCAAATTATTGTTAGTTCTCCCATAATTGCAGAAACTATTTTTATCTTAAAATAAAATAAATTAATATCCATTCATTTTTGATTTACTGGAATTATATTTGGAGAACAATCCAATATCATAAAATAAATCTGAATATCATAAATATATATGTTCCAATTATGAAAAACTTCGAATATTGGATGGGAAACCAGTAGAATTAGTTAGATAAGACATATAATTCTTAGAAATCCCTAAAAGTGAGCCAATTAAAAAAAAAAATTTGAATCAATTGGTTTAGTAATAATAACAAAAGAAACCATAAAAATTGCATCAATTTGGATTGGAGATCTAAGGTGTAGGTTAAGATTCTAAATTAAAGGACGATGCAAATCAAGCTTAATTATCAAAGAAAGATGCAAACAGTTCAAAAAATTAGACTAAAGATCTGTAATTAAGTCACAAGAATTCAATATCATCAAATGGAGCTGAAGATGAGATAATATCTTTGATTAAGAAATAATGGGTTCAAGAAAGCAAAAGGATTTAAGAATTAGAATAATCGTATCAAATAAACTCGAAAAGTTGTTTAGAACATTAAATTCTAGAAGGAGGTCATGCTGAAGTAGAGGATGTATGATTTGATTTCATTTTAGGATACATTCTTATTGATTTATGGAACAGCAGCAGGAATGGTGCTACCAACTTAACACTTTAATCAGATAATAGAAAAGATTCACTTTCAGTATATGTTTTTTGATTCACTTATCGATTCCCAATTATAAGTGATTAAAGAGTATACTAAATTAAAAGAAATAATTCTTAAGGATAATTATATCAACAGTCTACTTTAATTAGCGAAATTAGAAGTATTTTCACAATTTAGATATTAGCATTTAGTAGACATTCAGAAAATCACCATTTAGAATAATCAAATAAACAATTGCTCTTTTATGTTTTCGTTTCTTGTATATAGAATTCCTACTTTAACTCAAATTAACAATAAGGATGTAAGAAATGAGGATAGATAGAAAGTATGGTTTATTGGCATTTTAAAAAGGCAAAATCGCTTTTCTCGAATTTCGATAAAGCATTAATCGTGCATGAAAAAGGATAGAACAGTGATAATTTTAGATAATTGAAAAGCTATCAAAAAAATAGACAATATATTAAAACGTATCAGAAGGCTTTAAATGAAGTTGTGTTTCAATAAAAAATAGTTATCAATTAATAGAAATTAGTAATTTATATAAATTATTTAGTTTGATAATATGTTTGAAAATTACCTAAATTAAATAATCGAAGTCTGCAAAAATAAGGAAAAATGATATCATTTTTAATTTAATACTTTTATTAAATTCTATGGACATAAATTTTAATTACTTCGCATAGTTAAACTGCTGAGCAACATTAATAACTGTCTCAAATCCTCATATTAATATTATTTATATGGTATTATGATTAATTATTATTGTCTATGAAAAATTAGGCTGTGCAGACTATCGAAACAGGTGCCATATTTAATTTTTAACCTTTGGAAGTTATTGAACAAAAACGATCAATAATAACTAAAGATCTTGTTAAGAAGAAGGCAAAAGTGTAGAGATCCTCTTTAACAGATGATCCTCTTCCATATTTAAAACCATTAAAATAAAATAACCAAATAAAATTGAGGCAACTCATGTTACCAAATATTAAAATATAAGAAAAACCTTAGATATCAAAATTAAAAGATCGCTATTTATCAATATAACAGAATTCACAATAAATTTCTAGTTGCTTAACTAAATTAAGAAGATACTCTCATTATGATTTCATTTCCAGAACAGACAGAACACTCTCAATTTAACCAACTTAAAGTTTGATAACCAGCAGAGCATACATTAAATAAATTTGATGATTATATCAACATGATAATCTATTACTAATTTTTTTGTTCAGCGCTTTCTTTTGAGTTTCGGAGTCTTGCTTATCGAGTATTTTATTTTTGGATTTTCATCTTCAATAAGGTGTTCTACCTATTGATTTTGAGTACAATTCGTGAGATCTCTAAGTATATTGTGATTTTACTCTTAACTAGTTTTATCTTCTAGGAATCAATAATTCAGAATAATATACATATAAATTCTATTTGAATTTCTTGGGTTGAACCCATGATTTCCCATTCTCCAAATAGGTAATCATCTTTATGGAAATATTGCTCTTTTTATTATAAGTATAATAATTTATAACAGCCTTCATATACATATAAGTTTAAATTTAAATAAAATTGTTAACTACTATCATCTTAATTATTTAAAGGGATCCTAGCATATTAAATTGCTCAAAATTACTAAAACTATTGATTCAATTTTGTTAATGTATAATGGAGATCCTCCTTGAAATCTTTGAGATCTTGTAAATATAGACAATCCTTCTTCCTGTTCAACTTGAATCCTTCCAAAATTACATTTAAATCCATAGTCATAGATATAACCTTCTCCTGGTTCATCGAATGCAATATGATTTATTCAATATAGAGATTACTATTAGGTATATCCAAACCTTATTCGATATTTGTACAATTGCAACGAAAAAAATTCATTATTAAAATGTATAATATTATAATCATCTTCAAACCTAAGCTATTAATCGATGAATAATTTAAAGATATTTTCTATCTTCGAATAATGGTAGGCAGAAGTGAATAATTACAAGTTGTAAAATACATTTGAATAGTATCAATCACATTAGAATCAATAATATTTATGTAAGGTATAATTAAATTATTAAAATGATGATCAATTTGTAATATACTACCAATTATTTTGATTCTGTCTACAAACTAGACCATAATCTTATATTTGTTTTACAATAACTTTACATCCTTTTGATATCATATAAGTTGCATATATTATACTTAAGCTGAGCTACATCAATAACTATAACTTGCTAAAATTGCACACTCAAGAATCATCATAATTGATGAGAATAGTAAAATTGGTAAGCAATTTAATACAAGATTGTCAAATAACATATAACATAAAAAAAACCTAAAAACAAAAAGAATAGTTCTCTTTAAAATCGTATATTTACAATTTAGTCAAAAATAATCATAGTATAAATCAAAGATATTGATTTAAGCTGAATTTAAATAAATTGTGTAGATTTCAAATTTCAATACTATTATTAGTCAATTATATTTATTGTCTAACATTGCAATTCTGTATTTTTTAATATTATAACCAAATAGAATAGCAATCGAATTTTCATATTTTAGAACCTAATATTTGATAAAATTTATCATTGTTAAAAAATCTGAATGAATATAATAGTTCAGCAAATATGCTCATTAATCATCTAAATATTAAACATATCCTAACCTACTAAAACCATTATTTGTTGCAATTTAAGTTTGATTAATTGATAATTAGGTGGGTCGATTGTTATCCAACATTTATTAAGGACTTATAAAAATAGGCAGATGATCAAATGATATTAGACATGAGTAAAAAATTTGGATTTTATAATGAACTAAAAATTATGATAAAGGCTTAAGCATGGAGTAAACATCATAAAAAATATATATTAGAAGGGATAGTAGTAAATACATCAAAATTAATGAAAGCACACATTTTTTCTAAAAAGGAAGAAAGTAAAAGGCTGTATGATAAAAAAATATTGACGTCTGTTTAATGGCCTTCAAATTTGATCAAGGATTATGAATAATAAGTACTCTATCAATTGTCTAGAATAAAATTAGAATGAGAAGAGATTGCCTTGTTTTATAGCCAGATAGAATTATTTTATTGGTTTCGATATTTTAAATATTCATAATGTTTTTTCTTTTTATTCCACTCTAAACTATATTTTGGGTGGAGGGGAACTATCGATCATATCATTTCTTAAAGTAAATCCTTCGGTACTTAAAGATCTATCAGACTTTTCTTTAAAGTTGCTTGACAACATTGTTTCATACTAAAGATTGAAAAAAGTTTGACCTTATTTATCAAGATTTTCTTCAGGTTGAGTTTGATTCCTAAGCTGGCTTTTACTTAATTCATCTATTTGATTAGGACATTGATGCTCATTTGGTACAACTTTATTTGCCTAACTGGATTAGTAGATGCTCACAGCCTAAATTATATTTATGGGATTTTAAGTTTATAATTGATAAGGTTTTGTTTTATTCCTATTTACAGGAATTTCGAGTTCGCAAGGTGGTGTAATATTTAGATTAACACCCTTGAGGAGTTTGATGTTTTGTTAAATATCATCGTTTTGATATTGCTATTTCTGCTGGAAGTCAGAATTTGGTTCAATATGTGGAATAGCACATGGGCATATTTTACAAACACCCATTATTTATTGAATATATAATTATAAAAAAAGATCTTTCTTATAAAATTAGATTTATGCATAAGCTAATATTTTATATTTATTTGACATTTGATCATCAGTTTGTTATATCAGTTGATAGCTAGAAGATATATTAAGGCCAAAAGAATCACGTTTATTCTGCTCAGGCATTTTAGGTTAATCAATTTATTATATAAAGTTTTAAACAAATATATTTAATTTTTTTTAACCGAATTAATGAATTTGGCAATTTCATCAAGTTCAGAAGAAGAATCATCATATAATGCTAAAGAATAAGACAGAATATTAAAGAATTCAAATATTTTTAAATAGAAAGCTAGCTCTCATTTGAATTGCTTGAAACATCCAAATAAGAAAGTATGAAACAAATTATACATAGGCAAAATATTATGCCTAAAACGATAAGCGAACATTGTTCTGTTCTAAATGTGCTTTGAATTTAGCACTTAAGGGACACAAAATTGAAGAGAGCGCTGGAGCAGAGTTAGAATTCCAAAGACAATTGAGAATTAACTAATTTTAGGAATCGATGAAATAAACTTTACAAGCTTGCAATTTTAAAATAATAGACTTTAATAACATGTAAATAAATCAAAAGCAAATGCTTGAAGATTAAAAAGCTAATTGCATAAGATTTTTTGAATAAGTGATTGAAACAGCTTAATAATTAAAGTAAACCTACATTCAAAAGTTTCAACATGACCATTTAAGTCTGGAGTAGAATATTTTGGATTGTTAATAGGCAGTGACGAATTATGAGAAGCAATTATAGCAATTTTAAATTGATATTGAGAAAAACCACTCTAACATAGTGAAAAAAATGGAGATGAAACCCTTTGAAGACATAATGTAAAGATACGAGAAAAGAGTAAAGAATATTTAACAATTATTATCAGAAATGAAATTAGATTCTAGTGTAAAAATCAATTAATTTGAGTAATCATAAATTTTAACATTTATGAATAAAATGTGCTACAATATTTTATTAAACGATTAGATAAAGTCTAGAAGTAATTCAATCAATTATAACAATCCTTCTATTGATATGAAAGCATTTGATGTCTTAGAAAATGATGATATTTATTAGAGCACATTCTCGAACACAATTAAAGATAGCAATAGCTAAAATCCTCCATCTCCCATCTCTAAATTGCCAATTTATAAAAGTAATGGATCTAATCCCATTTCCACAATCTAAAATTCAAGAAGAGAAAGCAATTCAAACACTCCAGAAAGTTGGAATCACACCCACATCCAAAATTGTGATCAACAATTGCAGATTCCCTTATAGCCAAACAGTCATAATGTGAGTTTGAATGAGTAGCCAATTACGATCAACTAATAATAATAGTAGCCTAATGAAAGGTTCAATGTTTAGGAGATTGTGAAGTAAGCAAATGACAATGTCTAAATATAAACTAGTGAACACTTGAAAAACCTAGAGATATCACCTTTGATTCAATAGAAGAGTTAATCAAATTTACCACAATCTGTCAAGATATACAACAGTCAAAGAAGTAATGTAATTGATATATCCTTAGACTAATACGATTCGAACACAAATAATAAATCTCAGGATCAGAAATAAAGAAAAAAACAGCCATCAGTGGATTATTTTGAATAGAAACGATGTTACATTATAAATCAGAATCAACAAAAATCATAGTTGTAATAATAAGAAGATTCACTGAAGGATAGAATTTTTAAAGAATTAAGTGGACATTCCAGTGAATCCGTTTATAATTAAGTTTTAAAAATAAATACTACTCAACAAAAAATTAAAAAGGGAAAGGAGAACACTTAGATTGATTGGACAAGTAGTTTAAGAAATAAGTAAAATTTACTAACAAAAAAATGAGTAATTAAAAATATTGATAAAATACTTTTTTCCTTCAGAAAATTTCACTTTATAAATTATATATACGTTATTTTAGCAAAGAATAATAAATATGAAATATTTTTTCTTAATTTGGTTTGTTTATTTGACTCTCGGAAATTCAATAGTCGGAAAAAAAGCTTCAGGTAATCACATTCAGTATATCTTAGAATAGTTCTTCCCACTAATTATGGATTGGCTCAAAAAATAAGAATAGAAGATTGACTAAGCTTTGGCTTTCAGTGCAATAACTGAAATTATTTAACAAACTGATGAAGAACTATTGTAAATCAATGAAAATTCGGAGTTTGTTAATTCATTTCAATAATAAGTATTCTGTTAGAGTAACATTATCAAGATATTGAAATATTGCAAAGTGAAACAGGATTTTGAACATGATAGGATAGGGAATATAGACAAATTCATACAAGATGAACTCAAACACAACTCCAACTATTTCAAAATTATGATCAAAGACAAAGAAAAAATGATAGATTAGGATAATAAAGAATTGGAAAAAGTCAAAAAATCCATCAAAGATCACACCAAAATGAAAGATAAATTAAATGATATTCTGGAATTAATCCAAGAAATCGATATAAGTAAATTCAAATTTTTATATGATAGGCTTACAAATAGGAACTGCCGAAAAGTTATATAAAATATTAGAAATTATTGAATCAAAAGCAGTTATCGGGTTGTTTAAACAACAATCTGAAGAAATATAACTTTATTTAACACATGTTGATTAACTTTTCAAAACCAAAAATTTTCAATAAGACTAAGTAATTTTTTGATGTTCATCCTAGTTTGAAATAATTAATCTGATTTCGATGATTAAGAATATCTTATTGGACATGAAATTTAACATACAACTGAAAATGTAGGAGGACGATATGGCAACTCTTGAAACAATAAGGTTCTTTGAAAATACCAAAATTACTCATCAAATAGCACTGGATTATTTTAAGGGTGAATCCAATCAATTCTTAGGTAATTATTGTAGCTATAGGAATCATAGGTAATTTAATGAAAATATGGGAATAGTCTTTTGATAATTAAAATGAGATATACAAGGATAACATATAATTTTGTTAGATAATTGAAAAATTATCCTAAGAAATGAATAAAGTTGATTCTCTTAATTCTACACCATAATTTACAAAATACTCTCTAAAAAAGACAGAAGTCTAATTCTTAAAGCAATAAAATTGATTTGATAGAGTTATTGATATATTTTTTTCTATATATAAATAAATTTCAATAATTTAATAAATAATCAACTATTTTGTAGGTCTTTTTCTAATGATCTTTCTCTAGAGAGTAACTTATTGCTTATTTTGTAGATCTCTTCGTAACTACAGATGAACTTTGTTTTTATTAGGAAAATCTTTTGTATAAATGAGACAAGGCAGATGACAATGTTTAAGGTTGTTATCTTTACATGGTTTTCTTCTATTAAACTTACTGCTGTTGTATTTGTTGTATTTATTGATTTGATTATTTTTGTTTTTATTGATTCATTGACTCATTTAATGGTGAGGGCAATTAAAAATGTTTTTTCTTTGATTGAATAGATTTGGAGGTCCTGATTTCGAAATTTTCATGAGAAGTATTGGCCTTCAATTTATTTTAAGAAGGTAATTCTTTTTGATAAGATGATCTCACACGATATCTTTTGTTGGTAGAGGGACTTTAACATTTATCTTGAAAACATTATAATGTGTTATTATTAACATCAAGACTAGGTTTAGCTTTAAAGTGATGCTATTATTAATATAATAATGACTATTGTTGTTAATGCGATTGATGATATTACTCAACATACTTGATGATTTCTTTAGTGGATTGTTATGTTTAAAACAAGCTTTCAAATTCTCTTGTTTGTGGTATTTGTTTTGGACTTTTAGGAGTATTTGCATAAGGAACTGACTCTTTTTGTAGTGATCTTGAAGAAATGAGTCTAGAATTGAATCCTGATTTGATGTCACTGATATTACAATCCAACATACTTTAACGAGGGGGGGATTGTGCAGAAAACTGATCCATTTCACTGTCTATTAAATCTGCTAATTGTTGTTTCTTCTTAACTACTTATTTTTGTTTTGGTGATTTATCTACTAATTATTAGAGTTTAGATTGTATTTGTGATAAATCCAACAGGACTTCTTTGCTTTCAAGATTAAAAGATGATGAGGACCTTATTGAATTATCACATTCTAAAAATATTGCTTAATTTAAGGAGGAATCTCTAGGTACAGATGGAATGCATGTGTAATGACTAAATGGAGTAGAAGTCTTGCTTGAATAGTAATCTTCTTAATTGTTATCGAAATTAATGAATTGATTACAATTTTTATCGTCAATTTTATCTTATTTGATGGCTTTGACTGTATAATCCATAGTTTCCAATCTCCAAGGTTTCTTTTCTAGATATTTGCTTATGCGTAACAAAATTAACTAATTGTCTGCTTTTTTTGAAATAAAATATTCTAATTTTTGTAATCTTCTACAATAAAACTATTCAATTTTTTTAATCATTTTACGGAAATACTTCTCAACTTCCAATATGGGACTATTTTGTTTTTCTTGATTTATTAATCTATAAAATAATTATTGTATATTTGAGGCAAGACTTCGTTATGGTAAATCGTTAATTAATGATTCTAATTCGTAATAAAAATCATTCATTATTTAATATAATTAAATAAATACTGTTATTCAAACTCCTTTCTTTTTTAATTTATATAAAACGATATAATCATTGAGACTAGCTTTATATATTGGAATACAAAATCCAATAATTATCATAAATATTTACAAAAAAATTAATTATGCAAAAGGTATATAAACATCATACATATCTATTCAGAACGATTACGGTTTTGCTGGCGATGAAAAAGTGAAGAAAATCGATAATGAACACTATGATGAGGCAATTGAATTGAAGGATGATGAAGAAGAAGAAATAGTTAGTGGTGAAGAAGACGAAGAATAATGTAATGATTATACATACTAATCCGCTAGATTAAGCTGGAGCTAGAGGACCCCAATAAGCTGCATAAAGTGCTGGATTTCAAGATGGAAAAGTTCCTTTGCCTGCAGGAGCTTACAATCCAAATGATTATTCAAATTTATAAGTAGGTGCAGAAGTCAAATAATTGTTTGAATACATCGCTAGGTATTTCTCTTCATATAATTTCAGATACAAAGCTCCTTAAATGGTTTTGGATGCAAAATTAAAACCATTCATACCAGATTATGTACCTGCCATCGGTGAAGTAGATGCATTCATCAAGATGCCCAGACCTGATGGACAACCAGAGACACTCGGTTTAGTTACATTAGTAATCTATTTAAATTAATTATAGGATGAACCTGCTCTTAATCAATCCAAAAAGGCCAAATTGGATCTGTTGATGAGAGAATATGTTAAGGTAGCAAATAGAGGCAAAAACACGACCATTCATGCTATTGAAAATGCAGATAAAAATCCAAAGGAAATTACTGCATGGATTAATGATGTGGCAGAAATACATAAAAAAAAGTAACCTCCTTCAGTTTCCTATTCAAAAATTATGCCTGATATAGAAGAATTAATGTAGGTGTGGCCACAAGAGATTGAAGACCTATTTTAAAGCACACAATTACCAGGGGACAATATTGACATGGGTTTATAAGAATATTGCTAATTCTCATGCAATTTATTAGACATTCCTGTTCATACAATTAATAACAATAGAAATATCATAGAGTCTTTACATGTTTTATTCACATTGTTTTCAGAATTCAAAACCAATTAACATTTCAGACAAAACAATGATGAAATTTAATGAATATTCAATAATATAACATTATTTTCATTTTCATTCCTATTCTCTCAGATTGGATTCATTTTGGAATATTTATTATAATTATTAAATGCACACGCTTATTATTTCTGTTGTATAATATTTAAAGAAAGGAAAGAAGAAGAAACCAAAATAAAACAAGTAACAATTTCTAAATTATGACAAAATTTTTGATAGTGATGAAGAAGCAGCCGATGAACTCATTTCCTAACCAAAAATAATGCCATCTTATATATATGAATTTAATTTTGAAAAACTATTCAATAATGGAATTTCTTTGCCCTTTTATAACTCAAACATCCCAATCACATTGGTTATTGGTGAAATAAATGTCGGAAAAACCCATCTAATCTAATAATTGATGGGAGCATCATTATAAATTATTCTCAAAAAGCATAATTCAATTTTGTGTTATCAAGATCAAAAGCAGTGTTTCATTGAAGTTTCTATTGATTGGAATGATTTTGAGTCCGTCTTCATTTGCAATGTTCTACAAAAGATATCCAACCTTACAATTTTAATTAATGATTCAGTTAATAAAAAAGTATTATCCTAATACGAACTTTGGAATAATGTGGTGTTTGTACATAAGTACCTCATTAAAGAATAGAAAGACTTTTTAATTGAGTATAGAAAGTTGAAGGAACACAACACTTTAAATAATTTCTACTACCAAAAAGGGTAGATTCACTTATTTTATGAACAACATGAGACTTACAAATAAATTCAGAGTATTAATCTAAATAATAAAAATACATTAAGTATTCTCGAATCAGTACAAACAACTTTGAATTAATCAACCTATTTATTGCCATTTAAGATTGATCTTGTCTATGTCAATAAAATTATTTAATTAAAGTAGTAGTTGTAAAACAAAGACATTGTAGTCTAATATATCAAAGATTACTATGAGAACAATGAGTAAATCTTGAAGTTTAATTAAAACAAAGATTACACATTAATCACAATCACTAAGCCTTATTTAAAGATACAAAACACTTCTGTTGAAATAGAGAATTCTCAATTACTATTAAACATAATGATTAGAGATTTAAGATTTGCATTTATCATCCCATTTTTATACAAGAGAAAATGTGGATATGCTCAAGTCGAGACACATATTTAATAAGATGATTTTATTATATTATCATTTAGTTGAAGAACTATTCATAATAATAATAATAATGTTTATGAAAATAAAAAAAAAAAGGATTCATAATAATTTTGTTTTGTTGTTATTATTTCTTAATAATAGATCAATATGTCTTTTTAACTCTTTCTGCATTTTTGGGAGAGTCATAAATGGTGGGAGGTCTACGCATTTCATGTTGGAAGTGATTATATTCAAATGTTCTGTTTGATCTTCTAGTATATGCCAATTCCATTAGGAAATCAAACATATCATCCTAGAATGTATAATTGGAATTTGAATACAGTGCAAGCATAAGCAGCTTCGTAATACATTGCATAACAAGGATAAGCTTTGGCTCTCTTAAGGTAATCTGCTTCGGTTTTGTCCATTTTGAAATGTTCAGCTTAATCGCAATCGAACCACTTCTAAAATCTAAGAGCACATAAGGTGAAATAATCTTGTTGTGATTGATATGTTGGGTATGGCACATACACTTTTTGTTTAGGTGGTAATCCAACTTGGAAACAATTCGTTCTGCCAGTTGGAGTTGTACCTCTGAATGGGAAGAGACAATCTTCAAGTGCCCCTATATAAAAAATCACTTTTCAAGTTCTTACATCCTTCGAATAATATAGTGTAAACATCATCAGGTTCCATCAAAGAGTATTTGTTTGCTGTAGTATCAAAATAAAAACACTAATTCGAAATTGAGTCTTACCTTTGTATACAATCTAAACCAATCCTTTAATTACTCCTTTTCCCAGACTGCATCTGTTCTCAAGATAAAGTCCTTCTCATAATCTTTCCAATTAACTCCTTCAAAGTTTAAATGAATGCATTTTACCTTTGCTGGAGAAATCGTAATTGGGTGGCATTTTATGGAAATCCTTTGGCAATGTCTCAAGGAGAGATTGAGTGGCCATTAAATTTAATTAAAAATAAAAATGGATTTTAATGATATATATCACTATTAATTTTGGAATTACAACACACATGCATATTACATTTATAGTTTCTAAGAAAATCAAGATTTGCTCTTCCAATATAATAACATTTAATGATTATTCGATAATATCTAATTATATTAATATATGGATAAATAATAAATATAAAAATGCCTCTTTTGCCAATAGAAGACAAGTCTCTGTAATTTAATTAACCTGGTACTTCTAATATGAATTCTAGGCACTTTAATACAAATATGAGCACAAAATAGAAATCACAATTGACGATTTTGTTGACAGCAGTAAAAAGAAAGAAATTGTACAATTTTACGAGAAAATCTTTGATCAAGAAGAGGAATATCTAGAAAAGCAGTTTTAGAGAGCAGAATAAACTAGAAAACTCAGAACTCTCACTGAATATTATAAATATGAAATTCATACTCCAAGATTATATATGAAGAAAGTCGAAAAAACAATTAGAGATTATCAAAAGCATAAGAAGTAAAACTCAACATCTTATTTTAGAAACTTTCACTACAATAAAATCAAATACTAATTGGGATTAAATCAAAAGGAATAATAAACCCAGAGAATCAAAACAGAACCAGAGAAAAATAATCATATAGCAAATAACTTAGTCTTATTTGATTTAACATAAGAAGAACCTTCAAAATCAGTCATTGAGATGTTGAATCTCCTCACCAATCAAAGTAAAAAGAAGGTCCATTTTGCAACTCAAATCAAATAGGTTCCATGTGTGACTCCTTCAATTTAAAATTCAGCAAGAAATAAAATACTACAAAAATAACTCAAAGCCATATTATAATCAGATGTAATACCAAAGCATTCGAACGCTCCTCTAAGTAAGAGATCAGTAGTCTCATTGAAAAGTTCAACTTTAAAATCAAACACGTTTCACTTAGCTAAATCTCCCGTGATTTAAGTAAGTAGAATCGCTATTAAAATGAAATCTTCCCCTCTAATTTAACTACCCAAAAGCAATAGTTAGAGCAAAATACAAGTAAGTCCCAAACTAAAAAATCTAAAGCTGTTGCTATAACATAAATCATGAATTCATTCTTATATTTTATGTTATGTGTATATATGGCAGAATTTAAGATTTTGACAAATAAATAATAAAAATTTTAATTTCAATGTTCGACACAATTATGAAAGAATACAACCAGAATAAAAAAGTCTTAGATAAATAGGATGGTATGGTTTGAATTAAAGCAGAAAATTTAAGAAGGCATATCGGAATATTGGCTGAACCAATGACAAAAAAGGTCTTGCATGGATTGAATGCGAATATTGCTATACTGCATCAGAATGAGTAAATCATTGAGAAGGAGACCAAATAATTACTAAAAGAAACAGCATAATTGCAAAAGGAATCTCAATAGTGGCAAATTCTTTACAATAATCTAAATGAAACATTAAAAGTAATGAGTTTGATTGTGATTAGATAAGAAAGTGGGGGACATTGTAAATTTTGCATAAATTATAGAAAATGAGTTATAAGAATTATGTGAAAGTTGATTAATAAAAAATAAGTTAATATAAAATATATTCAAATGACTAATCCTTGGGTTGGTCGATTTCCATTTGAAATGAAAGTATAAAAATAGAAAAAAGAAGACTTGCATTCACCGAATAGAAGTGAAATAGATTTCTTCAATGTTCCATCGATATCGGCTTCTGTTGGTATCAAAAAATTATAATAGATTAAGTTATGCAACCAAAAACAGTATTCGAAGCTCTAAAAGCTTTGATGTTTAGATAAAAGGAGAACTCTGTCTCCTATGATGAGTTCTATTCATTTTCTCGCAGATTATACATCTGCGAAGATCCTGTAAGCAATTTATACAATATTAAGGATTAAAGTTTGAGAGTATTCCGTTAAATAGCAGGACAATCAGAAATTATTTAATTAGAGGGTAACATACACAATTTTAAATTCAATAGATTTTTTTTAATTTCTCTCCAAGGATCTTTTAAAGTTGGATCTCACTAAAATGACTCAGTTTGAGCTTGTGATCAGAATAGCTTTGGAATTGTTTTAAAATATGTGTGATGATGATAATTAATTGGATTTGAAGAGAACAGTTCATTTTATAAAAGAAGAACTCTGTGAAGACATAGATTTTGTAAATTAAATTATTAATATAAGTTGGAAACAATAGACATGTTTGGTTTTGTATAAGATCTATTCTCTGGTAATTTAGTTACAAAGATATCCCTTCAGGATTTTTTCTAAAAGGTTGGCCCTTAAATCAGGAAAGCCTTAAGCAGTATAATAATTAGGAAAATCCAATAGATTGTTGGATTTAAGAAAATTCAATTCCACACTAGATAAACAAACCAATTTATTCAAAATAATTAAGTTAAGTCTGATATTTAAAAATTGCTGCAATAAAATTTTAAAATCAATTTTGATGTCGAAATTGATGAATAACCAAAATAGCAACAACAATAGAAGGTTTAATAAGATCAAATTGTTAGTTTACTTCAATAAAGCAAACCCAAAATAAGAGGATGGCTATAGAGATTGTCAATAAAAAAAGCAAACAAATGGCAATTGTTATTCTTACAAATAGATCAAAGTACAAGATATCTAAGAGCAGTTAAACCTGAATCTATTAAGATTAATCATTCTGTTCAGAATACTGAATTTATTTGTTTATTAGAATTGGTCACAGTCCCTACCAAAGGAGTGCATAGGAAAACGAATTCGTTAAATTCAGGACATCATGAGAGGGAACCTGAATTGTAAAGACCTATACAAACAGAAAATGCTAGCAGTTAAATAAACCCTTTTAGTCATTCCTTTATTTTGAAGGAACAAACTTAAACAAAAATAACATTAATAAAATCTTGGGATATTAGAGAAATAGAACAGATTTTTCATGAAGTTAAGACTTCCATTGATCCATCCTAGAATTATTCAGGGATTGTGGAATTATGCCAAATGAATAATGAACCTTTAGAAAAAATTAGATAGAAATTTAAGTAACTTGTTTTCAAAGAACATTTGATGGTATTAAATGAAGGAAAAATACATTTCTATACAGTCAGTTTAAAACATTGCATAGATTTAAGTAAAATGAGGATTTCAGGATATGATAAAGATTTACCATTTATTCCGTCTCACCCATTTCCATTTTAAATAGTTATAGATGAGAAGGCTTAAGTTGTTGGATCTTATTTGAAGGTCCAAAAGTTTGAATAGCCAAATAAACAGAATAAAAGTGGTATGTCACAAATTAATGAATTGGAAAATGAAAACAGTGACAAAGAAGATTAAAAAAAAGGTTTTTTTGATTAAATCTACGATAAATTTAAAAAAAAGCCAAATATAAAGAAGAATGAAATTAGAATAGTATTTGGGGCAGAATCTGAACCTAAAAGAAGATAATGGATATTCTCTTTGAATTATTATAAGTCTAATCAAACTGATTTGGAAGAATTATTAAAGCCTTCTTATCGATCATCCTTTTAAACACCTATAATGTCTCAAGGGAATTATACTCCTTCTAGATCCTTCATAAAATCTGCATAGCACACTTTACCACAATAGCCTACTCAATAGAACTTCTTTATAGGAGGGAATCACACACATATAAACGTTGGAATCTTCTTGAATGATGAGGATGACTATTACAATGTGTTTTAACATTAGAATCAGTTTTAAAGCACTAGTCAAGCTCAAAACTAAATGATGAATCAAGATTTGGGTTCAAAAAAACAATTGACTTAACCCAATAGGATACATTGTCATACAGATCCTAATGATTCCCCTCAGAAAGAATGTAAAAATTGTAATTGATTTTTAGAAAGACTAATAACTTAGCCCTCAAATGGGGCTCAAATAACTTCAAGATAGATCTATTCAACTTCATCAGTGGAGTTATGGCAAAAGTTTATTTTAGCATTTTTTCGATTTTTAATAAAATCAAAAAATCATCAACCTGAAGAAGTTCAAGAACCAAAAATTTAACAATTATATAACAGATAATTAAAGATATGTAAATAGAAATGATGAAGATTAAATTTAGTAATTTTTCCATAGTATTGTTTATTTGATTTATTAATTTGTTATTATTAAATAATGTATGAGACTTTCGGAGATAAGGAAGAGAAAGAACTTCATGAGATGAGAAGGAGATTTGGAAAATTGAGATTTGAAACAGATCACAATATCGAGAAAAGCAAATTAATGAATACATATATTGAGTAAACCAAATAAGATGCCAGAAGTGTCCTTTTAAATCAAACCCCATAAAGTAAAATGAACTTGAATTTGCATATGAGTCGACTTTAAACTAATACTTCTATCCTTGATTCAAATTCTACTAAAAGGACTCTTTTAACAAGAAAAACAACTACTACTAATAATAATCGAAACTTCAGCGCTAGAACTTTAACAAATAGAATTACCTCTTTACCAAACAATTACTTTTTCAATTTTCCTAAATGGATGGATGAGAGATAGGATTTCCAAAAGTGGAAATAACATGAGTAAAACATTATTTTAGTAATAGAGATTTTGATATCCATTTGAAAATTGTCTCAATCTGTAAAAGTGAATCATTTAGAAGGGATGATGGTCAAAAAACCATAGTGGCTCTCTATCTCTAGACCTTGAGTTTATTCAAACTGATGCCTTTAGAAATGTTAAAGGAATTGGGAGGTCGTTTAACCTACATTGAATTGAAAACTGAAAATGATCTAACACTTTGTAGATATGGAGAAAAAGGAGAATGCATGTTCATAATATTTAAAGGAAAAGTGGATGTCATTAGCTCTGATGTACTATCATTAAATATCTAAGGGTAAATTACTGAAGGTCTTTGGTAGTAATGAACATGTTGGAAGAAGTGCACTAGAAACAGATGCACCAAGAAATGCTACCTTGACAACTACATTCGAGTCTCACATTTTGAAATTATAACGATGGGATTTTTAATAATGTCTAAATAATTTATTCAAGATTGAAAGACCAAAATGGAAGAAGTTCGTTGAAACGATCCATTTTTTTGATAGTTTTCATCCTCATAAAATAGAGAGAATGTGTGATGAATTAAAAGGAAGATTCATGTCAACCAAAGATTGCTTATATAAAGCTGGTGATTAAGTAGATAATTTTTATATTGTTAAAAATGGAACTTTAGTTAAGAATGTCGTTGTTGATCTGGAAGAATCTAATAGATGGCCCATAGGAGCTAAAGAATGGGAAAAGAAAACCATCACTACTTGCTAAAGGATACCTTTGCAATATAAAGCCTAATCTTTATTAGGATATTATGAGATAGTAACATTTGAATAACTTCAATTAAAAAAAAGAACAGAAACAATTGATGCAGCAGAAGATTCTTTTGTCTTATTTATTCCCAAAACATTATTTACAGAAATATTTGATGCTGATGATTAAAAGAAATTCAGAGATTTGTATACCAAATTACATCCAACTAGCTTTGAAGTGTTAATCTCAAAAGTAAAAAGTGAGGAAATGAAAAAAAAATAAGAATTTCAAATTATTAACAAAGCAATCACAGATGGTTTAATTTCTGTTCCTCAACATCTTTTAGAGAAAGTATTCAGATATATCATAATATTAGAAATTTTCAAAATATTCAAAAGTTTTTGATAGTGCTAAAACTAAATTAAAGTAATTTAAATAATCTAGGGAGATTATTAAAAGAGAGAAAAGAACTAAAAATATGATTTCCATCTATGAATGAGTTTGGTTTATTAGATTTATATTCATATAACTATATCATTTCTTTATGCAAATTAGAATAATCTTTATCTAAAAAAGGATCAATTATTTGAAAGAATTTAATTGATCAATTTAGTTTTATTAATAATTTTTCTACCAAATTTTGAAAAATAATATCATTTTGATAATTTATAAAATTTTAAATAAAATTGATTAATCCAATATTTATAAGTAATTCAATTTTATCTTCCAGATATTGTATCGTTACCATTTATATTAAATTACATCGTAGCCCTTATATTAACATATAACTTATACTTTTAATCAATGATTTGAATACTAACTCTTTATTATTATAACACGATCAGGGAATTAGTTTTTACCAGACGATGTTAGCAAAGATTCTTTTCCGAACTTGAAATTATGGGAGTTATAGTTCTAGAATCTATAAATTATTCACAATGATGATCAGATTAATAAAAATTGTATTTTTCTTAATTTTTCAATATGATAATTTATTTAGCAACTCTTAAAAGATATGATTTTAATTTTTTAATTAAATACTTTTACCTTTCTTTTTTCACTTTGTGATTTTTTAATATTTTTGAAATTGTCTTAAATTTCATTAAACATGGAAGAAATCTTGCTACTTTCATTTTAAGTACATTTAGTTTTTACTCCAAATCATTAATTTGTTACCTTAAAAATTCTTTGATAATTTTAGATAGCAGGTATGAAATGGAATAAAAATTCAAGCAAAGTAAGATTATGATAAATATATATGAGATTTCTGTTGAACCTGAAGATTATGAGAAGTAACACCCAATTCCCAAATTAATTGAAGTTATACATGTGTTAGTTAAGAAATAATCCAAATCATTTAGATAATTTACATTATAGGGTTTAAATTTTTTGTTCAACTCTAGGTAAAGGATTAAAATCAAAATCACAATTATTGCTTTGATTAGGATACTATCCTCAAAATATGTCAAAGACAGGATAATCAATTCCCTCTGAAATATTTTAACTATCTCCCAATAATAAGCAATATTTCTATATTCTATGTACAAGTATCCCCAACTCTATCTGACCAATTTTTTATGGAACTTATTTTTGTTTTAGTAAAGTCCAATTAATAGGTAAAGAGGTATAGCAATTGAAAATAAAAGAAGTGTAGGTATGCAGAACCTAAATATCCACAATTGATGGATGTATGTATCATACCTCTAAGATACATTTGCAGAAATCCATTTATAATCTGAGATCTCCCTAAAGGAAATCAATAGCATAAATCCGCCAATCAAAGTAGGCTATAAAAATATGTACATATAAATGAGAGTTGTTGTGATGACACTTTTGTTGAAAATTGCATATCCAAATTTGAAGGCAACAAAGTAAATGAAAAAGAAGAAGCCAGTATAAAAGAAAGGTGTGATCAATTCCCAAATCATTCTTGCATAGTGTATTTCATATGCCAATGTATTTGATAAAAAGCAATCTAAAGAGTAAATCATAGATTCAAATGGGGAACTAATTGTCGATAAAGTACCTTATACCTCATCGGAAAAGTCTATTTAGAATGTACTTATAGTATCCAGAATTTATAAATAATTTGTTAACAGTTTCATTAAAATTGCTGAGTTATCCTAATTAAAATAAGAAACACGATGAAATACAAACTTAAAATCTGGCATTATATCCTGTGCTGCTTTTATTGTTCCTTAAACTGAAATGAAACAGAGATTAAAGTCCTTCCATAAGATGATATTATTACCAAAAACTAACTAATGTAATGATTAACGTATTTCTTTATGTTTCTTGACATGAACCACAAGCAAACCTTGAGCCAACAGAAAACTCTCCATCCCCTCTCGTATTATACAAATCGCATTGTTCACATAATGCTCCAATATGTCCTCTAGAACATGATTCATCACCCTCTATTAATCCTCCCAAGCAATTACTGAGTTAATTAAGACAGCTGGATACTTTACTTGTTCCTATATAAGGTCGCCAAAATCCTTATTTTAGGTTTAACTAAGATGAATTCACGCTTATTGTGGATACATCATCTTTTACCTCGCATTTAGAAGAATTCTATTTTATAGAGAATAATCCTAGGCTATTATCACATAGAATGCAAGAGAAGTTAATAATACTCTTAATTTCGCCAAATTAACATGGCAATGACCTAACTTCAACCCTTAATTTATAATTATTGTGACTGCCTTGAAGATTATACGGTGCAACTTTATTAAAAATAGGAATTGAAATTGAATTACAACTAAATTCTAGTTATAAAGACATATGAGATGGTAATTCATTATCTAAATATATAACTAAATCATCCCAATTATAATCCTAAGTTTAAGCATTAAAATAAGTGTAATTAATATTTGTAAAGTTATATTAGAAATTCTCAGAATCTGTTTTGTTTTCAGAGAAGATGTGTATTCTACCTTATATTTTACAAAAAGTATCAGATAAACTTTTTATAATCTAATCTTCTTAATTTAATGGAATAAGTCTAAAGGTCTAATTCGATGGAATATACTATCGATCCTTCCAATCAAAATATCTATAGTTAGCAATACTTTATCCACTTGGTACAAGTAAATATTGAGATTTCAACCCTTAAACTGTTTTATAAGGCGGTACATAAACTTAATCGATGATTAGATTTTCTTCATTTTTCAATCTAATTGTCGAAAACATCCCATTGGCATTTAATTAGAGAGCTAATTTTTGGGGAGTGGATATTATATTATTTCCATAATTTTATGCTTTATTGTTGAAAATTTAATTATAAATAGCTGGATACTATATAGTTTCTTATTGAAAAATTCCTCCTCCTATATTTGCCTGATTATTTTATATCAAGCAATTGTACATCAAGATCTCTGAGTTTGTGTAAATGGCCCCACCTCTTTAAGAAGCATTATTAGATTGGAAATTGGAATCCTTCAAGTAAATAGTGATATTCTCTGCATTTAAACATGTACCCTCTTTGCATGAATTATTTTCACAAATGTAATTTGCTATTATGCTTTCAAATTTTAAGAGAAATTTTTATTGTTCATTGTATTAATAGAGTATTCTATTCTATTTATCCTTTATTAGATTAAAACATCCTTTTTGCCCACATGATGAGTTTTTAATATATAGATGTGATGCAGAAGAGTATTTTTGGATTTTATTTGAAGTTTTATACTAAAATGATAATAACCCTCTTTGACAAAGGGAACAATTAATTTCAGCTATGTGTAGGTTTTTTACTTCTATTTAATCATCGTAAAGTTGAGACAGTAATATAAGACCTGATTCAGTCATATCTGTTAGATTTTTGTTAAGATTTCTCCAACACAAATTATTTGGAGATTGGGAATCATGAAACATTTGTAACTTAAAAGGTGCTGAAGTCTATGAATCAGAAACCAAACATTAAAAGGTTTTTGAAGCTAATTATTACTGATTTGGAATGGAAGAACAATTATTTTGGAGAAGTTCAAATTAGCCAACTGAAGTATTTTTGATCAATATATTATCTAAATTGATTAAACTAGATTAAACTAAATTATAATATATAGTTTACATTGATTAGATTCAATAAGAATTAAAAAGTTTGATAACTTGGAATTAATAATTTATAAATCGTTTAAGTTTATTCTTCTTGATGAACTCAGAAAAAGAAATGATTCATAAAGCAGATTTTCAATATATACATTTTTTAAATTAATTGATTCCCCAAATTCAATAAAAATCAATGTTCGATTATTATTTAAGCCATATTCTTAATTTGCACTAATATCATCATATTTATTTAAAAATTTTAAAAGTTCTCTTTAAAAATTTTTGATTACTAAATTATTAATATATAAATTCTTAGAATAACTTGATTAACTTTAGAATTATATATAAACGATTGAACCTTACAAAGAATGTATATTATTTAATATTAAATTATCCATCTCGACATTAATATTTTTAGATCCTGCTTTCAAATACAAGAAACCTCCCTAATATCTACTAAAGATTGTATCAGCTCTGATATCATTGATATTTAGATTTAAAGCTAATGATGTTGAAGAGTCGATAAAAATACTTCCTCCTTATTCGTTTTCTTCTTGAAATGATGTCATTATATTATTAAAACTCAATTTACTCAATTAAATCCTGCAGTAGTTTTGTGCGATTATTTGAAATGCTCCTCCATAAGATCCTTAAGAGTTTTTAAATTTGCAATTTATTATTGTTAATTCTTCTACAATTAATTAAGCATTTCCAGTAGATGATTTAGTTAGAAAGATTTTTTAGATATCTTCTAAATAAATTTAATCCAATTTTGAAAAACTCCAAAGTATATGTGGTTGAAGTATTGAATAATCAAAAATTGAATTGTTAAAAAAGTTACAATCACTTATGATTAACGACTTAGCTTTAATCATTATTAAACTATCTGTGCTATTAAATACAATATTATTAGAGAGTTTTGATTTCATAAGAATTATTGAAGCTTGCTGGCAGTCAAGGTTAAATCCTAATGCTGAAACCTTCAAATTATCCTAAATATATTGATGCATAATGTTATTGATGAATGTAAAGTTATGAATCTAGAGAGTAGTCACCTACACAGACTCTATTTTTAGGATGCTTGTGGAAAACTGCTGTTCTGTAATCAATAAAAGATTATTATAAGCATATAAATTAGAGATTCTTATGCTTTCTGACTATTGTACTGCAGATAGTTGGGCCGATTGATATGAAATTATAGGCGAATTATTAGATGAAACATCTTTGATGATCATATCGTCGATATTCAGATTTAAGCAAGAATATATAAAGAGAGATTATAAATAGTACTATTCCTAAATATATTTGAGTTAGCAATCCAAGTATTGATGGATACGGAGTTTATATTCTTAGCCCTAAGTAATAATGGCAGATTTTATTTAAATGAATTATGTTTCAATTATACTTATGTCAATCAACCCTTGCCCTCTTATAATATTTAATCCATTAATATCAATCTCCTCTATAGACAAATATATTAAAGAAGATTCTTACAGATGTAGATTGAATAATGGAGATACGTTGATCATCTCATTGTTTATTATTGAAATATTTGTTATTTGAAGCTAAGATGAGAGGAAATTGAATTTGTGAAACTTCAATAATTTAGCAGTTTCCTCATACTTATTAGATTCAAATTTAATATTAGAGATTTACAAAAAGAATTAATTGATATAAGAGAGTACTTCTGAATTTATTATTCCAATTGACGATTCTATTAATTAACATTTCAAAAATAGTATTTCACTTAAAATGCTATTGTTATTTAATTTTATTAAGGAAGTGTTAAATAGCTATGAATTTTATATAATAAAATTTGAGATTTTAACATAATAAAACCAAAAGAGATTAAAAATTGATTGACACTCTTGTATATCACTCTCAATTTAAATTTAATTCAAAAAAACTGTGCCAATAACTTTATTTTCACTAGTTTTAACAATGCTTGAGTTGTAAAAGTTTCCTTAGAAAATTGAATTTTATAAAATAAAACTGTCATTGTACGCTAAATCAAGATGTAAAAGGTTAATTCCATTAAGTTTAGAATTTAATAGTTAAAAGTCACTGATCTATATAATCTTTTTAAATTCAGTTTATCCGATTGTAATGAAAAAATCACTATTCTAAAGAATGACTCCTTTAAGTATGAATGTATTAATTGTTAATGATGAAACGTTCAAAAATTAAATCTATGATTGGGTAACCGGACTTTCAGAGGTAAATTCGATATTATTTAGCTCAATTTTGAGAGGAAAACAACTTATGAAAAATAGCTATTTTAGTTTATCACTAGATTATGGTATTAATTTAAGATTGCTTATTTTAATAGAATTAAAATTCAAAATTTAAAATACTCTTTCGTATATAAATTGAATTTCATGTAGGAAATTGAATTCTAATTCAACATTGCTAATAATAAATATTAAAAATACATTGCAGAAAATATGTTTTCACTAAAGCCTTATTAAATTTTTGAGCCATCTGGGATGATGCATATCTAACTTGTCTTACTTGAGATTTTTATTTTGATAGATTTAACATATTTCTCATTTGCTTAAAAGTAAAACAGATCGTTTTCATACTAGATATTTATAAAAATTACTTCTCTAAAGCTTTGGCCAGATATCAAATTATCAATTAAAATATTTTCAAGTGAAAAACGTTATTTTTAAAAAGCATCAACTATAGCATCTCTATCTTTTTCAAATTCTTAAGATGAACAATACAAATTTAAATTCATACTATACTATAAAAAACAACCTAAATCTTAATCCAAACAGTTAATAAACATACCTAACTGCTAATCATATGTATATCCGTTATCAGTATAACTCTTTAGACATTAATGAGCATATTTCATATATTTTGGATTTTTAAATAAAGGATTGATTTGTTACAATTCCTCATTTGATCTAACCCGACACAAAGCACAATTTGATGAGCATTCAATGCATTAATTTTCCATCAGTGTTAATTGTCTACCATATTGGCCAAGTTTGCATTTTAAACAGACATTTTAACCATTTATGAATTAACATTTTAAACAATTTTCAGCACAGGACTAAACACATAGATCATTAATTAATTCATATCCAGAAATACATTGACTACACTTTATTTCATAATCTTCTTGATTTTAACTTTAACCATATTCAGAATAAGGATGCTCATCGTCTTTTTCAATAAATACTTTATAATATGCCCTTATGTCTACTTTCCAATTATCTTAAGCAGCTCTCTGTTATTAGTAGCATGAAAAGCATCTTAAATCAGATGGACACGAAAAACATTTACCTGCTATTTAATGTTAATAATATCCATTTGTACAACTCAAGCATTTATAAACTTTTAATTAGTCAGATACTGAAAATTTTCCTTCTAGACAGATTTCACATTAGGGAATTGACGAAAATTCAGAGCAGGATTCAGTAAATTATACCTCATCCACAACTGTAGAAGTAGTAATTAAACAAATCTATTAAGTAGTGCAAACATTTCCTATTGTTTTTGAATAGGCAAGATTACTTAATTATAAATCACATTAAACTAATGTTTAAGCATATCCAAAGGTGCAAGAAGGATTATTCACATATAAACATAATTATTCGGATACCACTAGAATAGAATTATTAACACATCTAGCACATGATGTTATAATATTTTATTAATCGAATTGAAGTTCGAAGTATTTATCAAGAGTGTTGATTTTTTAATCGGATTTTAAATATTAAAATGCATATTAGCAATTTTCAATTTTATTTTCCTAGCAATTTACTCCATCAAATGATAAATAGTATTTAGTATCATCTATACATTTCAAACACTTGAGATATGAATATTGAGTATTGTTATCAAAGTAGTCTTGGCATAACTGGCAATATGAGCCACATGGTTAACATTATTTATTCTGTAAAGTATATTTATCAAAACAAGTTGTACAATGAACCTCCTTATCAAATTTGTTTAATTCGCAAGATTAACAATTCAAAGGACAATTATAGCAGTTATTATTAATAGGATACATATTTTATATGCAACTTTTACAATCTCCATTATCATAGGCTTCTAAACAATTTCGATCTACTTCGTTGCAATCGTTATTGCTTATATAATAATTAGGTTTGCATCTAACATAAAAATATTACCCTTTATTTTGTTCTCTAGATAAAACACATTTGAACTCTTTACGATCTGGATCACAATAGTCTAAATACCCTAATTAGAGATTCATCTAATTTTAATCATCAATAAAATAAAAGTCATAATCCTTTTCGTTTCTGAATGTTAATATAAAAGCGCTTTCCAATGTTTATCCATAATTTATTAAATCTTTTGTGCAGATAGATTATTCAGACCAATACAAAGGAAATTACAAACAATCAATACATAAAAAATCATTTTTGCTGTCTTAAGGGCTAGAGATAAAATTGATTTTACCATTTTATGCATTCATTGTTTTCATGTACTAAAAAGTAACCAAATTAACAAGATTGCTTCACTTAATTCAAGACAAACTCTTATGAAATTGTAGGAAATCTATATTCAAATTTCATACATTGTACTTATCCATCATAATCAATGTAGCCTTATTAACATAAACACTTATTTTCTTCAGGTATGTATACTCTATTTGAATCAGGTATACAAGATAAACAATTTGTTTATTAAGGTCCATTACAAGTTTTACAAGAGTAATAACAAACTAGTATTATGAATAAGTGAATTACCATTGTTCATTAATTGTCTATCATCTTAGTAATTAAATTCAAATTTAAAATCACTCACCCAAGCCTAAAGCATGTTGCTAGAAAAGTAATCTCCTCCAAAAACATAATAAAATTTAGAATTTGTAAATGAAGATTAATATTTATTTGATCCTATTGGAAATGATTGCAATCCTAATTCATTAGAAAATTGAATCTAAAGCAAATTTTTATCACGGCTTTACTGCCTACCATATTCGTATTATATAAAATGCCATTGCTGAATTCCATTTAAATAATATTCACAACACTAGATTAGATTTAAAACTGGATTTAAATCTGGATATTAACTCTATAAACTTTATAAAGGTAATCCATAGAAGTTATTTGTTATAATGTATTGAGTTTTATCTGGGGTATTTTTATTTACTTCAATCTCCAATTTCATCAACTCATCACCTATATTCTTGCCGCTACCATAGTTTTTAAAGGCAGTGATCCTAATAACTGGCATTTTTGAATAATAATTAATTGAAGCGATGTCGATTTTAATCCAACCTGATATACAATATCTATTTCCAAATTAGTCAAAATTACCCTAAATTTAACCTTACCCACTATAATATTAAAATCCTTTCACTATTTCCACTCTTTATTCTCTATCTGAAATTTGAGGTATTCTACAAGTAGAAGTAATAGAATTGCGCATATTCTTATTTAAAAAACCAAATATTTATTCAACAAAAATTTTAAACAACCTTTCCTTTTAAAAATATTTAAATTTA